CGAGCACCCAGGATGGCAACGGGGTTGACCATCTTGTTCTTGACTCCAGGCGTGTAGGGGCTGACGTTATCAGTCTTCATCTCCTCAAACTCGGCCAGAACAGATCTGATCTTGAGGCATTCCTCTAGGTAGTTATCCTGGTTGGCGTCGATAAGCTGAATATATTCGCCACGGTAGAAGATAATCGAATGGTTCTGGTTGTCGGATTTGCCGTCTCCCAAAATCGGGTTACCGGAGAGCTGAATGCGGAATTTCGGCTTGCGCATGCCATTCTCCATGATCTCCGAGTGACCGTCGATGAGCGCAGAGTACAGGCGAGGTTCTTCACCTTCAGCCAAGGGGGGCTCTTCGTCGAGGTAGGCGATCTGAAGATCGGGGTAGGCGCGAAGCAAGAACTCGGCGTTCTCCATCTCCTCCTTTTTGAACTTGGCATAACGCTGCATGGACACACAAAGCTTGAACTTGCGACGGGCCATGCGCTCGAGCTCACGCTCTAGTTTGTCAGAGTTGCCGCCGAACATCTGAACGACCTCTGGATTCTCCACACGATACAAAAGCTTGATGGCTCTGCTATAGTTCATGAAACCAGAAATCGTGCGATAAAGGGTCTGGAAACGCAGAGAGGCCCAAATACGCGTCCGTAGGGTGTACTCTGGCGCAGAGGATTTGAACCCAATGCAGTAGAAAGGAAGGTCGTCGATCTTGCTCTTGACTGTATCCTTCTCGTTCTTTTCGCTGTCGCCGTTGAACTGAGATGTCTCATCCGCCAGGATCTTCGTGTCCTTGACGAAGCAGTCCCACTCGTGAGGGTGAAGTTGCTTGAGGTACTCAAGGAGGGTAACACGGGAGTAAGGCTCATCCTCGCGGATGATCTCACGCAAAGACAGGAGGATCTTCTCGCTGTAGTGCGGGATGAGAACAGTGAAAGTAGGCATGTTATCAACCGGGACAGGCTCTGGGATAGGAGTGGACAGTGACTGCGCAAAGAAGGACAAGCGTCGTTCAGCCTCGCTGTTCGTGGGGAAGAACTCGGTCTTGAACGAGTGATCTTCCTGGGAGACGAAGAAGGTAGGTGCTCTCAGGGTTCTCTTGCCTTCTTGCTCCGAAGGGACCTGGTGATAGAGAAGCTTTTGGACGTGATCGATGGCCAACAGGTGCTCTCTGTACATGGAAATGACGATAGCGTTCCAGACTTGCGAAATAAGTACCTTCGGCTTGTACTTGATTTCCATGTCGCCAGTAGCGAGAATCTTGGAGTAGATACGTTTCGGAAGGCGTGAGAAGACGTTCCTCCAGGGTGTCATGATAGAGGAACCGATGTAGAACGATCTGGCGATGGAGAAGAGGGCGTTGACCAGAACGTACCACAGATACGTATCAAGGAAGAAGAAGATCAAGTCCGTGAAGGTCATCAAGGCAAGCAGAACATAATGCTGGTTTTTGCAGAGTATGTTGCCAATAATCTTGTCACCCATACAATCGATCTGCATGATCGAGAGGTACCGGATGGGATCCCTGAAGGACAGAGTCAGGTATACGTATGACTCTCCGAACTTGGCACCGAAAACGGCAATCCAGAGACCGTAGGACATAGCCATGTCGTTGCCCTTCAGACGCGGGTAGCTGGCCGTGAACGTCTGGCTGGCAACATACTTGCGCGAGTTCTTGGTAAGGTAGCTTCCGAAGAGACCGCCAAGGGGCATGATCGAGTAAAAGAGGAAGGTGATAAGTGCAATAACGAACTCGACAATGGCCAAAATCTCGGCAATCTTCTCGTTCGGATTGGGGAGGACAAAAACATAGACGAATGGCGCAACGTTGATGACCAGAATGAGGATCAAGAACAACATGCGCTTGGTCAAGTGCTGTGCGCCTGCCCACTTGCGAGGGACGTACGCCCACTCAGCCAAAGTTGCCAAAACCTGAATGAGTGCGGCGATGGTACCACCGAAACCGATGATGGAGAACTGCTGTGCTTTCGTCGGCTGGTTGTTGGCCTGCTGCTCGTACTTGGAACCGAGGACAACACTGGGGGCGTTGGCTGAGGTGTAGAACCAGAACATTGTCAAGTGAATGATCCAGATACGGTTGAAGTTCACTAGCATGTGAAACCACGACCGAGTCTCCTTGTAGGTCTTGAAGAAACACTTCTTCCAGTTGATATCCTTGAACTTGAGGTAGCGCTCTGCGGGAGGAACGTCAACCAACTTCGACTTGTCCTCGAGGACGATCTTCTCGATTCCTTCGGGATACCAGAAGAGCTGATTACAGTCGTCGTAGCCGATGACCTTGTCGTGGTCGCGTTCCCGGCGAACATAAACACCGTCGGAGATTTCGTAACCCTGGTCTCTGCAGAACTGGTAGATCGGGGTAATGACGTTGTTGAGGAAAGTAAACTCCTCGACAGGCTCAACCATGTTTTGGCAAGCAGGTGAGTTGAGATAGTCATCGGCGCATTTGAAGATGAAGCACAAGCATTCTGGCATAAAGCGAACCTGATTGGCTTCACCCCAGCAGAGAAGGTACAGAGCAAGCTGACGGACACGATCATGCTGGGACATGCGATTCATGCGAGTCTTCCAGCGGTATTCAGCAGCCTCGAGACTGTTGTCGCCCTCGAGATCCTCGAGCGCATCGGCCTCGTTGTCGGCTTCGCCCTTGTTCTTCTTCTTGTTCTTGGCCTTGCGCCGCAAACCTTTACCCTTCATATTGGCAAACCCGACGGCGTCGTCCAAATCTAGATGGGCAGCAAAATACCACTTGCGGTAGTTGGCGTTGTCGCCACCAATGTAGTCAGCATGGAGAGACAGCAGAGCCTGGTTAGGAGTCATGCGCGAAGCCCTCGAATCCAATAAGATCATGAAGTGGTCGTACATGTTACGCATGCTGTCCCGCTGAAAACCAAACTTCGCGCAGAGGTCAAGGAAAATGTCCTCAATCTCCTCCTTGGACAGAGGAATTTGAGCATCCGAGGTCCACGCAGGATAAGGCTCGCGAGAGGCAGCCGACATCATGTTGGCGTAATCCATGCCATAGTTGGGGGTTGAGGCACCGGAAGAACGGTTACCGCCGTACGAGATCTGAGAAGAAGGGGGCCTGAAACCACGAGCACCACCCTGGTCGTAGCTGTTGTAACGCTCATCGCCACGGCCATAGTAGTCCATGTCGGTAGCTCTGGCCATATCGGACCTCATGGTGAAATCGCTGAAAGTCTCGGAATCCTCCTCGGAACCTTGTCGGCGAGGCGCGCCAGCATAGCCCTGATTGTAGTCTTGGTCATAATAACCATTCCCATTGTTGCCGTTGTTGTAGTACTCATCCTGATACTGCTCATTGTTGTCATAGTAGCCGCCGTCCTGGTGGTAGGCATTGTTTGGATCGGCATTGTAGTAGCCACTAGAAGCGAAGGGTGGTCAGTAATGCTAGACTGCATTCATGTAGGCGGTTTTACGTACGATTCGTCGTAGTAGCCATCGCCGCCCTGGTGAGGGTGACCGTGGGTGTCGTAACCGTTCTGATCGTAATACTGCTGATCATCCTGGTAGTAGGAATCGGTCTGTTGAGTACCATTTCCTTGACCGCGGCCGTGCTGGCCGTAACCATCGTCGTAATCCTGGTGGCCACCGGCACCGGCACCACCGGCTGGGTATCCCGACATTTTGGTGAATAATTATCTACAAAGTCATGTCAGCACGGGCGCAGGTCAATCGATTGCGAGCGGCGCTTCGATGGGCGAAATCGTCGTCATGTTCAGGAACAATGGGCAACTTACCGTCCAAAAGTCATCAGATAGAATCCAGGAGATGAGGGTCGAGGGGTCAGTAAGAGGGCTGGTGTGGGAAAGCCCAAGCTGATGTGGCCGGCACAACGAGAGCAGATAGCGACAGTAATTTTAGTCGTCTTAGTAGCTTGGCCGCGGTTTTGATCTGAAGAAGGGTATTGCAAGAGCAAAATAAAGCGACTGGCGTGGTCGGCTTGTTGATTGTTTTGTCTCGTATGGTTCCGAACCGACGAGTTTGGGGAAGAGGGTGCCCGAACGCAAGGTGCGTTGCGTTGCTCGAGGAAGCAAAGCACTCGTCACCTTGGCAGTGATTGAGAAGAGCTTGACGAACTCCCGAAGAAGGCGACGCGAATTGACTCGGGGTATGAAATGTTTTTTCTTGTTCTTCTAGTTTCGTGACTGCCTGGGTAGGCCGTCTCGCAAACGAATGTGGTGAATTAAGATAAAAAAAAAAAAGGTAGGTAGGAGGAAGGAGGAAAAGGGGGTGACGGAACGCGAATGATGGGAGGTGCGAACCGGTTGTGGTGTGTGGGAGGAAGTTAAAAAGGGGGGAATAGGTGAAGTAGACAGGTAGGTAAGGTCAGGAGCGAAGATATGGGTGTTAGGTGTGCAGTAGCTACGGGGAAGGGGGATGAGCTGAGGCCTGTCTGTACCTTTACACAAGCAAGCACACACGGCCACAGTGGGTAGGTACTCTACCTAGACAGATAGGTAGGCAGGTGCAAAAAGGGGGGGGGGGCGATTAAGGGATATGCAGGGTAAGGCAAGAGCAGGAGGACGGGGCGAGTAAGGGCAGAGCAGAAGCAACTGCCTACAACGAGAGGGGCGGACGAGACGTGGATTGGATTGCTTGCTCGTCGCTGATGAAGAGGGGAGGGGTGAGAGGGAGGTTGGTGCCGGGACAGTACCTAAGTTAAAGTGAAAGGAGCCCACACGTCTGCAAACCGGGAAAAGAGAGGGAGAGGTTTTCAAAGAATCGAGGCCTGTCTATCTGTCTGTCTCCTTTTTTCCTCCTCCATTTCCTCCCCGTCCCCCTTTTCCTTTCCTTCCTCGGTGATCGGACTATCTTCTTCTGTTGACCGAGGCCGTAACCCAGAGACAGAAAGCAACGAAAAATAGGAGACATTGACCAGGCGCACCAGACAGGAGATTCAAAACAGGGATGCGACCACTAGCAAGACCAACAGCAGTACCGCAAGTACAGCGGGAGGGGAGCTGGATGCACTACAGAACGAAAAGGTGTGGTCCACCAATCGTCCAGGGCCGATCTCACTTCATCCAAGGAAGTGTCCGGGTACGAATGGAACGCGCCTATGAATAGAGGTGGAGGGTGGTTTTTTTTTTTTCTCCCTCTTGTTAACTCCCCTCTTACTCCTAATCAGGTTAGTTTCCCTGGGGCCTGGGACGGCAGGCGTGGCTGTGCCATATGCATTCCCGCGTTGATGACTGGTCAGACGAAGAACAGACAGGCTCCTTTGGGCAAGGAGCCGCGGTCGACGGTACGTCGTGTCTGTGGGCGGAAACGAGTGGGATGGATGGCTGAACACTCAGACACTGTGTACGTACCTATATTCGGTCTCTCATCGCTGGTGCGCAACCTCCTTGGAAAGGTGGGGGCATTCCCAGACACTCGACAGGGGGGTTGGTGACGGTTGGCAGGCCCCTTCTGGTCGTGACATTTGCCCAACAGCACGTCAGGCCAGGCCTTGGAAGAAATGGTTCGTCACAGCCAAACTCGCCCACGGAATTATTGACATTCATTCTTGGCTCTGTCTCTGGGTGCGTCCGACCTAACCAACGTGCCAGCCCACCAACTTAGGTGGTCTCGACCTTTGGCTTAATTGGCTTCTGGTATTTATACTTTGCTATCATCGTTGTCGTCGGTTGTCCTGATCAACCCCTCCCATTCCCTCAGCACAGATCTGACTCGATCGGTCTCATGGCAGCGCTATGTTATCCGTCTCTAAGTGCACTCACCGAGACACGAGACACGAACATTTACTCTGTACCTACACAACATATCTTGTCATCTGCCGGCCCCGCTCCGGATCAGGAGGCCTTGGATTCGATTCCAATTGTGCGTTTTCCCGGACTTTGCAGGTGAGAGGGATGAGTCGGCGGAGATGGATCAAGGAAGCGATTATGCACATACCGTATTCGGTACCCTCCCTACCTATCTGACTGGTTGACGGCTGTCTGGCGGTTAGCCTCCTGCCACCGCCTCATAGCCTTTCCAACTCTTGGAGGGTTTTCGCCTTTAAGCACCACATAGCGTACCATACATGGTAATTAGCATAGTCTTCTGCGTTGGTGAGGTGTTGCCCTCATGTGATCTTATAATCTCCCGTGATTTCCTTCCCAAATGATCGATGACAAACACCTCGGTCAAAGGAGTGGGCAAAGAACGAAAGGGGCGACCCAGCCAGGGGTTGCATTCCAGGATTCTCAGACAATATACTGTACGAAGTACAGTACATTAGGTACACTGGAGAGCAAGACCGGGCGTTGCAATACTTGGTGTGCCAGTATCAAATTGGTGCCATCTCTAAGCCTTCTTCAAACAGACTTCAACCCCAGAACCCCCGTCGAGGACGACACGGCGACCGTGAACAGGCCAAGTAAGCACGTAAGGTGAGGGTTCGTCTCGTCGCGGGAGCGTCTGGTGTTTGGCTATTGATCCTTGGTTTTGATTTCGAGGTACCTACCTCTAGGTAGATAGGTACCTAGGTAGTGTTTTTTGGTACATACGCCACTCTGTTCTGTCTGTGTCTGAGGCGAGGCGAGGGGGCTGCAGCCTGTAGCCGTCCTTTTAGGTATCCATGGCCGTACATTATGTCAGCAACAAGTATTTCGAGATTCTCGTGCATGTCCAGCATATCTCTGACCAGTGGGAATCACATTTCAAGGCTCTAGTTCCACACTACTAAGTAGCGGCAGCCCTTGTCCGGCCATCCTTCATCAGAGGGCCAGCAGCCAGCTCCATCCTGATCCCCTTCCCTCGGGCCGTTGCGATTGCCGTCTCAGTCACTGTGGGAGGAGCGAAATGCTGGCGGTGTGGCGGCGGCGGCGGGCCTCATATGTTGCGTCGACGGCCGTTTTAATTAATCAATTGGTGACCTGTTCCTTATTTTCTTGCTATCCGTAATCGTCCCTGGCGAAAATTCGGACTGCAATCACGGAACACGGCAAGAGGAGACAGAGAGAGAGAGAGAAAGCTCCGATCATGCTCGTCTCGCTTCACTCTACGCCAGCTTCCCTTTCAGTTTCATGCGGCGTTGGCCGAAAATCTCGTGCCAGTTCTGAGTCCCTGCTTGGTACTACGTTGTCGTCGTCGTTGTCGTCGTCGTCATCCAACCCCAACCAAGCCACTAGAAAGCAGGCAGAGAAACAAGCTTGGAGCGATACCAACTTTCATGTACGGTCGTGGGTCTGCCAGCTTTCATCTCAAGGCACTGTATCCGTACTGCGCTATGCATGCAATGCAACGGCAGCTGCACACCCCCTATTCCGTCCGATACTTGAACATACCCGACGTTGTCGATTGCATGGAATTGAGTTGGCCGTTGCACGTTTTGACCCTCGGACAAGACCTACAACCGCAAGCAGGGACAGATTTGGACTTCAGCACACTTTTTGCCTTTAACAGGAGGACCAATCATTGATTCTGGCACGCTGGAGGATGGCCGGCGGGGAACAGGCGCAGGCAGGTGTCGTAAACTAACAGATTCTTTCCTTGGGAGGCTAGGCCCATCAGCCCTCCCAGCCACCTAGCCACAATCAAGGATGTGTTGTCGGCACGACCACGCGTCTTCCTTCCCCGCTAGTGTGACCGAGCGCCAAGAGCATACGAGCACGAGCGTGATGAACAAGTGCTACGGCGGCTCCGGCTGCAGCTCGTGTACGTTGGTTGCTCAGTTGCTTCGTATGTAGTACAGTGCATGGTGTGGCTCTCTCTACTACCCATCAGTTATCTTTAGACACAAACAAAAGCTATACCGGTACGTGCACGCGGGTTGCATCTCGGTCGATCATCATTCACGTCAAAGACGCGGCGTGTTGCCGACAGTCGTGGCCGCACCCGCAAACTCCGGCGGCGGATCAGCACTACCAGGGCACGGTCAGAAATGGGGAACAGCGAGTTGAACCAGACAATGCCATGTTGGTCCCGACGGACTGTCGAACACGCCGAAGGCTTGGTTGCGGTTTGCAGTATTATACTACTACTCTTCTTCTTGCGACATACTGTATATCTCATCAAGATGTTCGATGTTTCCGCGCTTGTTCCTTCTCTCCGTCTCGATAACAGTAATCATGTGATACCACCGCAAGCCTGGGAGAAGACGATGCAACAAACTTATCGATGTTTTCATCCCGATGTAATTGATGCGCAAAGTTGTACTTCCCCTCGGAGACCATCGCTTGTCTCGTTGGCCCACAGTTTATTTTCAGATTGCTCCATTTCAAATGGAAGCATACCTACATCGTACGTATGTACCTGTAGTAGGCTTTCGCTAGTGTAGTGCAGCGGCAGCAGCGCACCCGCCCTACTGTATCTATAGTGTCTTTGTTCTACACGTACAGGTACCTACCGGGTATACACCTCACTACCAAGTACCTATCTAGCATAAGGTACAGCGGTACATCGAGACAGGCGGGCAAAAGCGTGGCGTGCAACCATGCCTCAGTCGTGATCAAGTTTTGACAGGGACACGCTGCCATCTGCCATCGAAGCTTATCATCATCAGCGATCAATTCGACTCGCCCGCCCAAAGAACGCTAGTTGGGGGCCTCCGGAGGTTTCGAGAAGTTCCCGTCTGTTTGGGGCAAGGAGAGGATGGGGTGGGGAGGATGAGAGTGGAGAGAGGTCGGGGCTGGAAAAAAAAGAAAAACAGGGAACGCGTACGTTACGATCAGGACGCCAGTAGACAGTCAAGACGCTAGTAGTCAGCACTGTGAAAATTGAGGCGATGTGGATGTGCTGTCGGATGCAGGTACCGGCTTAGAACGAGTCAATCAGACGGCAAAGGCAAGACCTTCGGCACGGTGGACTGCTGCTTTAGCGTCACCGTATCGGTCCCTCGCAAATATTGGTCGGTCATTTCTTTTCGGATTGGCGCTACGGTCCACCTACCAAAGCCCCGGCGGTTGTCGACGATGATGCCGTCATCTACACATCCTCCTACCCACTCTGCCAGGAGAACGAGAGTAGGATGGGAAAGGGGGCCGATACTAAAGTACGCTTGTCTATAACCCACCAAGGAAGGATTGGACGGCACCTCATGTTGCCTTGCATTGTTATCCAACGTGAATGTCCACGAATCCGCCAGGCCGCCGTGAACACCCATGCACCAATCTCGATTGGCCTGCGGCTTTCTGCCTGCATCTGTCCAGCCGGCCGATATGGATCGCTTTCTCTGATGGCTTTTGGAAGCATTTCAACTTTGGTCGATTTGCACACCGATCGCGCAGGCATTCCACAACGGACCCCACCCATTGCCGTGAAGTAAGACGGCCTGACATCATATCCTCTTGATGCGACTCAATAAGCATTGCGCGACAACCCGTACCGTTGTTGGCGCGTCTCATTTTTCCTGTGCCAACATTTCGATAGGTATTTCAAACTCGCTCGGGAAAAGGAAAACAAAGAAGCCCGCCAGCGTCCGGCTGGGTAACCAGCGGGCGAACCTTGGCCCAAGCCCAGGGCGCCGCGCTTCCAACGATTCTGCCAGCCAGTGGCTTCTGTGGCTCAACGAATAACGGTCTGAGAGCCGTTCGTTTTATTTAAACAAATTTCGACACATCCTCCTTTGTTCCAGCCCAGCCCAGACCTGGAACAGAAACAACCCATGACTCTCCTTCTTCTTTGTCTTGGGAGGTTGTGTCATGTCAGATCTAGTCATGTTCGTCTTGAATAGCACCGATAACACAGTTGGCGGAAACAGAGAGAACACACGTTTCATACTTCTCGGACAGAATAGCATCAGATGCTTCCTATCGTCTTTTCAAATCTCGCCGTGCAGTTCTCATCTCAGACCGACTGTATCCCCGCTCTCTGTCGCTCGACGGTTTTCCGTATACCTGCACTGTACATTTGCATCGGGGAGCCTTGGTCAGATCCGTGGCACTTCACGGCAAATCAAGCCGCGTGGGCATGCCCAACCGGCGAGTGCGGGTCTCATTTCCAGTACCTCCTTGGGGCCGTGTCTTCAATGCGCGCTTCCTACCTAGGTAAACCACCTGCCTAGGTAGTTATCAAGTTTACTAACCTATTTTGTGTAGCAGCTACGTGATACCTAGGGGCACTCGGTGCTAGTATCCAGGCGGTGCATCCACCTCCTTTGAGGGCTGAAAGAGCCAATCTCCGTGCGTGCCGACCGTCCGAAGGGGCCTTTACATCCCAAAAGCACGCCTCGCACAAGGCAAAACTCGATTAACAGCGTTGCTCGTTCATTAGCCAGCCCATCAGTGATTTCAAACGCCGCCTTTTTGGCCGTCTATTAGAAACTTGAAGCATCGGGAATTGTTCTGGCTGTGGAACACCGAATTGCCTCCCGCTCAGGGCTGTGCAGTCTCAAATGGTATCAAGCTTTGAATTCACAGGGGTTTCCAGGGCCTGTCAGTCAAGGATCCCTGACAGCCTCGAACGCGGCCGCTCTTGGTCCGAACCGTGATTTGAAAGCGTCGCCATTCAGTTGGCGTTGGACCATCTAGGTAGCGAGCCAACAAGGCGGCGGCGGCGAATGAGCACTATGCACTTCGCAACGACCGGAAGCTTGATAGATGACCATGCATCAAATAACCCCTCTTGCTGTTCGTGAACTGCATTCGTACAGCTGGGATGTCAATATCGATAATCAATTGAAGATCACGTGCCTGAGAATCACGAGCTCGTCCAATTGCGTGTCTCACAGTAGTTAGCCCAATTGGGCAATCTTCCAGAAAACCAGGTTCACCCACCATGGTTGCCCCTCGCAACGTAGATAGATTTGCACCGTACTACGTGAACTCTGCCCAAACATTCGTAAGAAGGCAAGTCATTTTCGAGCTTGATAAACATACCAGTACCTATCTACAACTGTATCCGCCACGAGCAGCATCACCATGACCGGATACGTCGACTTTGCCTCGTCCAGTGACGACGAGTTTCCTGACCTGGACATTGTCTTCCAGAGAAGTCAACAAATCCGCCAGCCCGCCAAACCCCCGCCACCAGCACAGGATTCGACGAGCAGGGATGATGACGATGCCTCACCGTCAAGACAGCTCGAGGAAGAGGCCATTCGCTGGAATGTGTCGGCGCGCGGGGACTTTGGTGCTGCGCCGCCGACGGTGGTACGACGCCGTAAGCTCGGCGTAAAAACAGATAATCCTTTACTGAAGCCTTTTGGGGCTTTTGGGAAGCAGAATGAAGGACAGAATCTGTATGATGTTCCGGTCAAGACCAGGGAAGTCTCTGATCTGAGAGTTCGCGAGCTGCGCTCCTCCAGAAGCCGAGATACGACGCCGACAGACGTGCCCCCGCAGGAGGTGGAAGACGAATCAGGAGACAGCGCAAATGAGCAGACAGAGATCACCGAGGCCGAAATTTCCGAGTTCTTTGGCGATTCGCAATCGGAGTTCGAGGAAGAAGATATTCCGATTCTCTCTAGGCGTAAAGAGCCAGCGTTGATTAACCATCAACCTATCACAGGTCGCAGCCGCCAACAGGAGACAGGCCTGATGCCGGAAGACCCTCCCAGAGCGCTGAGGCCTTCACCAAGCAATGCCCTACCAGCATCCAAGCCATCAAAGAACAGCAAGACTCGTAATCAGTCTACTAAGACACGGCAGAACACCAGAAGGGCACCTGGGCGGATTGTGGCGGGGCCCAAGTCTATCGTTGTCGATTTGACTGATGATATGACCAACACCCTTCGCCAGCTGAACATGTAAGATATACCTGTTCACTGTCTCCTGAATAATATTGACGATCGCATTGCAGCAAAAGCGAAGATTCCCAGAAATATGCCGCAAATGCCGAAGATGATGATGATGCTCCCCCAACATCACCACCATTAACACCACTCAGGCCATCCATCAAATCTTTGGTATCTCCTACGAAGCTCCCTGGTATCCCTAAAACACCACACAGGCCTAGTATGGACATGTTTTGGAGCCAGGAGTTTGTGGACGAGTGGAACGAGGAGCACTCCCCTAAGAAGCTGATACTGCCCCCAACACAAAAGAGTCCAGCGAAGAGTCCGGCCAAGCCAAAGGCGCGTAGGACGGAGGGTGCCAAACAAAAGGAGATCAAGAAAGCTTTCGAACAGAGAAAACACGAACTGGCCCAGGACTTCCTTCGTGAACTCGACAACGCTATCACCCAAGGCAAGCTCCAGGCCCTGGCCGAGTCTACCGGGGGCATCAAGATCAATTGGTCAGCCAAACTTAACACCACGGCGGGCAGGGCCAACTGGAGACGGGAGAAGATCCGCAGCAAGCTGCCTGACGGGACCGAAAAGTCCATCACGGACCGTCACCACGCCTCCATTGAACTCGCAGAAAAAGTCATCGATGACGAGCACCGTCTCCTCAACGTCGTCGCACACGAGTTCTGCCACTTGGCCAACTTCATGGTCAGCGGCATCACGGGCAACCCACACGGCAAAGAGTTCAAGGCCTGGGCGGCCAAGTGCTCGCAGCGCTTCGGCGACCGCGGCATTGAGGTTACGACGAAGCACACGTATGAGATCGACTACAAGTACGTCTGGGAATGCACCGAGTGCGGGCTCGAATACAAGCGCCACTCCAAGAGTATCAACCCGGAGCGCCACCGCTGTGGCTCCTGCAAGGCCCTCCTGAAGCAGACAAAGCCGACACCGAGGGCGTCAGGCAAGACGTCCGAATACCAGCGGTTTTTCAAGGAACAGATGAAAATAGTAAAGCAGGAGCACCCCAATAGCCCGCAGAAGGAGGTGATGAGGATCATAGGGGAAAAATGGGCGAAACGGGACGGGAGTAACCGGGCAACTCCCGACTCTGAAGATCAGTCAGCGTCGATTTCCGAGACCAGCACCCGCAAGGTTGGTTCCTGTCTTGTCGATCTAACGCTGTAATCCTTAAAGACTTGTAAAGAGACGTTGGAGGGATTGAGAGTCGAGCGCGGGATAGTCTCCATCACTGTACCTACCGGCTTGAATCGTTATCAGTGTATGAGTTATCCGGGACGGACCCGGTATACTTTGTGAGGCGTGATAGCTTTTCTTCTTCATAATATCCAATCTAAGCTGTCTTCCTCGCACAAAAGAGTCCCGGCCACACCCAACGCCTGTCCAAGTAAGACGGAAAGGTATTCCGCCCATTTGTCCGCTCGTAGCTCCCGTGCAGAGTCATCATGTCCAACCTTCCTTCTACAACCCCGTACACATGGCAGTTCAAGCGGGCACCCTTGCGGCCCATTCTTCCTAAACCTCCTGGAACAGCGTCCAGTCCTTGACCTTGAACGTCTCCCAGATGCGGGCAGCATACTCAACGGCGTCGCCGATGAGCTTGCCCTGCTTCCCGAGCTCGAGGTCAACGTCGGCCTCATCGTACTCGCCTTTGATGTGCGGCACGTTGATGGTAACGAGGATATCGGTCGACTCCTTCTCGAGGCGGAGTAGCGTCAGGATGATGGCCGTGAAATCGGGAGCTGACGAGCCGGACTTGGAGCCAGGCTTGGTGTGAGGTGTCTGAGTAGCGATAAGGGTATAGGCGGGGAAGTCGGGGCTATAGTTTTTCGTGGTTGTCAGTCTTTTGTGCCTTGGTTGTGTTTTCTTTTCTACATCTTCTTGGTCTTTTCAATTGTACCCTACCGCGCGCTTCGAGATTTACGCCCAAAGGGGGGAAGGGGAGAGCATGCAGGTATGAAGAGCCACGTACCTGAGCCTTGAAAATGATGTCTCGGTCGTGTTCCACACTTTTACGGTGTCAATGTCTTCGCCAACGAGCTCCTCGAGGTGCGTCGTCATGGCGCGGCCGTCGATCTCCGGGCTGCTCCCTGCGGGGCCGACGCGCTCCGTGATGTCAAAGATGATGCTAGTGAAGCCGTCCGAGTCAATCCAGACCTCCTGGTTGTCGGGGACCTCCCGGAGTTTGCTATTTAGTGAGGGGGCCAACTGTCAGCGATTGCTGTGCTTGAGTCCGGGGCAAGGCTTTGGAAAACAAACCTGACGTCGGCGAACTTCTCAGGAAGGTCTGCGACTAGGGCCCCGCCGTAGAGGGGAGTGCCCTTGTATCGGGTCATGATACTTGCAGGCAATAGAAATGTAGATTTGGAGACTGGTGCAGTGGGTATGGTCCCCTCTCTGGTCGCAAAGCGAGGTCTCGATAGATGTCGTAGTCAAGTCTCGAAGCCCGAGGCTGACGAGAGGCGGCGGTAAGTTGTAGGGCTTGTAAGAAAACCGAAGGGGGCGATTAGATCAGGCGCGCGTTTGGGTATCACAGAGTTGTTACGGTAAGAAGACGGAATGTCACTCAAGGGACCGGCTAGCTGCCTTATTTGCAGGTGCCGAAAGCCGCGCCTGGGGTTTTACTACAAGTCGTCTTCAGTAGGTATTGGCAGCACAAAAGGCAGGAATAGGTAAGGAGAGGAGAGGGTGGGGGGAGAAGAGGAGAATGGATGGAGGGGTATGACGACAATTGTGACAGGGGTCAGGGCCCGATTACCGCACTGCGCTGTCGTGTTTCCCGTGACCATAACAAGATGGCTACGGGGTGTTTTTTCCCCTTTGCACTTTACAATGTAATGCGAATAAAGCGCACCCTAAAACCCTTCGAGGACTTCATATCTAGCTCGTCCGCCTCATTTGCAATCTCCAAAAATCAAATAACAAAAGGTTCGAATCTGGAAGCTCCAGATGAAAAGGTGCCAAAGATTGATGGAATGGAGTCTGTTGGGCCATCCAACGGTCACATCTGGTAAAAGGCAAGAGGTGAGTTCGATAGGAGGTCCCACTCCGAAATTCCGAGATCATTCTATCCCTTAAGTACCATGATCAGCACACACCTGGGACCCACACAAGCTTCCTCAGCTTCCATATCCCCGCCCATTGCATATGCCTTTCGCATCTCCATTTATTCCTCTCTTACACAACTTGATTATCCTGTGTTCTGATTTCTCTTCTGTCAACTGCGCAACACTTTGAACTACTCTGTACTGAATTCCTGATTCCATAGTTACATAACAGGCCTCATGACTTCCAGCCTGGCATCATGTATCTTTTGCAAGATCATCAAGGGTTCGTCACGCTCCTATTTCCCCCTCATTCCAACAGGACCCCAAAACTTCTCCGAACCCCGTAACCAAGCAGAATGTCGCTGAAAGGGAGTTGTTCGCAGGTGAAATCCCTTGCTTCAAGCTCTTCGAGAGCGACAAGACGCTAGCCTTCCTCGACATCAACCCTCTCAGTCGTGGCCATGCTGTAAGCCGTTCCCAACTCCTATCCTTGCGACGTCCACATTTGTTCCCCGTTGGCTTACATTATCCCCGCAGCTCGTCATTCCCAAGTACCACGGCGCGAAGCTGTCAGACATTCCAGACGAGCATCTCGGCGAGATTCTCGTAAGTCCTGCCTGGAGTTCTCCAGTCTCGGTCTCCTAACACGCCTCAAGCCTGTAGCGAAGAAGCTCATCGCCGCGACTGGCGCCACGGATTACAACATCCTCCAGAACAACGGCCGCATCGCCCACCAGCTTGTCGATCACGTAAGTCATCGGCCCGATTACCCAGTCACTGTTCCGAATGCTAATAAATCACAGGTTCATTTCCACATGGTAATCGGCTCTCTTCTCCGGTATTTTACATCCTCACGCTAACCTCCGCCACAGATTCCTAAGCCCAACGAGACTGAGGGCCTTGGCGTCGGCTGGCCACAGCAGCAGACTGATATGGACAAGCTCAAGGCTCTCTTCGAGGATATCAAGTCCAAGATGTGAACAGGGCAAATCATGGTATATTCAACAACCCCGCCTTCAACCCGGTAGTTTGGGTATCAGATTCTACAATTCAATAGCCCGTGGTCCCCGTAACCCGCTTCACCCTAATGACGTGCGTTTATGCCCCTCGTGATTCTAATGCCCCCTACGAAGACGGATTCTAGTCTACATCGTCGGCCGGGGTATTGACGGCGGGTGTGCCGTTGATGGCTTGAGAAGCAACAGCTCCCTTGGGGTACATGTTGATTTCTCCGCCCTCCTGGATAACGCCAGTCCGGTCAAGGAAGCACTTGGCGCGGATGTACGGGTCTAGCTTCCAATAGTCGTCTCTCAGCTTGCGGGCAAGCTCGTTGCGCCGTGCTTTGATGGCAGGCTCCTTATCCGTTCCGGCCTCTTTGATCCATTGTAAGGTTGTCTCCTCGTACTCGTGGATGAGATCCTCTCGGCCAGACACCAGAGCATCCCGTGTCGCTGTATCCCTCATCTTGTCATTCTCTCCGTCGATCGGTTCGACATACTTGTAGTCCCATTCGTCCTGACCGTCGAGCTCCTTGAGGATGCGGCTAGGCTCAATGAACTCTGACATTTCCTTGACATTGTTGGTGAAGTGGACCTTGGCGGCAACGACCGGATCAAGCCAGCCCTTGATAATCTTCCAGATCCCTTCGCAGTGTTAGTTGCGACTTTGCCTGTCTTTTGTCAAGTAGAAACGAACCTTGAAAGACCCAGGGGGCGCGGTGAACCAGAACAGTCCCGAGAGATTCAGGGTAGTTGGCCTCGAAGCACTTAATCATAAACTTGACAGGGGTGTAGTCCTGAAACGATGGTTAGCATCATTTAACGACTTGTGTTAGACTAGAATTACTTACCATGTTGGCCATTGAGAAGCCGGTCATGTCGAACACAATGGTCTAGAGCTGATCAGCATCCACCCAACTAACAATGCAGAGAAAACCCTTACAGCAGTGTCTACAGGAGGGGCCAGAACCATGCGTGCTGTCTCAATCAGGAAGACAGTGTACTTCTCGAGACTCTCCTCGCACTGCTCACCCTGCCTGTGCATACGCGCTCTGACCTGGCAAATAGGACGTCCTGCCTTGTCGAGGCCATGAATGAAGGTTTTGCCTGACCGAGCTTGGGCCATGAAGTCCTCTCCAAGTTTCTTTGTGTTGGCATCAGAACTCTTTGAGGCTTCTAGAGCACCAGCCTCGCCGGTTCTCATGATTTCCTCGTCGACTTTCATCTCCGTTAACCTCCAGTTCATAGTGGAGATCATCATGACATAGGCCTTCTCCACATCCCATTTGCGTGCCCTCAGGAAACGCAGCGCCAAAGCATCCGGGTGGTCATGCTTGACCATGGCCCAAATTGCGGCGCGTAGAGCCTCGGGGCTTTGGCTGGCCAGAGCTTCTTGGAACTGCTTGGTTTGACCATATTTGTCGTCGCCATCCTCCTTGATAGTCTGAACGGTAGCCGAAGAGTTTGTTGAGCCAACCTCTTTCTTGTCCTTGCGACTGAAAAGTGAGACGCGCTTCTTCTTGGGCTTCTCGTCCTTCCCGGCAGTCGACGTCTCTGTCGGGGCTATGCTGGCAGATGTGTTGTCTGCAGCGGTGGTGCTAGCACCCTCCCCCAGGGAAAGAATCAGGTTCCATAGCTGGCGTAGCTTCTCTTCCTGCTCCGGGGTGAGATTTCCCGGTCTTCCAGGAGGCATTTCCGTTGCCATGGTGCCTGAGAGGTGAGATGCTAGATGGTGAGCTTCAGGTTCTGTCTCGGCAGCAGCGTCGGGATCGGAGAGGTGTTGACACAACACGCCGTAAAGACACACAGAGACGATGGCGAGGGAGTAGACAACGAAGTCGATGCGAGATTGAAGCAAGACACGCGGCGCCGTGGGGCTGTAGAGGCCCGATGATTGCCTTGGTCCGAGTGAATGGAATCGCCCGTAATCTGACGATGCGGAGGGGCGGTTAAGTCTCTGTACGTTCGGTGAAACCAGGGATTGCCGTCCAAGTTGAGAGGTCAACGGTAGTTGCGCAAAGCGGCTCCTCGCTGTGGATAGGAGGAACCTTTGTGGGAATGTGAAAATTCGTGGCAAGGCCGAGGTTTGTGGTTTCAAACTGACCGGCATCAGTCGAAGACGTCAGTCAATGCCTGGGAATTAATGTGGTGGTGCTGACACGGGGTCCTGTCAAGGTCAGCAGGGCCATCCCAATTTGTGAAGCGTCGACAGGCGGGTTGTGGGAGGGAATAAAAGGTGGGCGCAAAACCAATTTGGCCAAGCAGGCGGAGCGCGTATGGCAGGAAGATACCTTCCTTACGTTCACAGTCTAGGTAGAGATGGACAGGACCGAGAGGCGATTCGTGGTCTTGGTAGGAGAGAGGTTTGGAGGGGTACAAAAGTTGGAGAAGGCTATGACTTACGCGGACTCAAGGGCAGGGCTGGAGTTCTGCGAGATGGCTGGTGGCGGCCAAGGAATGCCACTTCAAGGAAGAGAACGATACTCGTGGTTAGGGGTGGACTTGGTTTGAGGGCAATAGGCCTGTCGATTCCAGCAAGGCAGAACACTAAGTGAACTGGCCTTTACTAACAGATGACGGATGGCGCAAGAGTCGACGTAGTGGGTGAGACTGGAGGGGGTCAAGCCTCTGGCTGGTTGGGGAATAATACAACCACAGACGGATGTGCAGGTATGTATGGGCGGAATGACGGGCTGCGACGGACTGCGACGGGGGCACCGGGGTTGTAGAGCAAGGGAAGGGAGGCTCAGACAGCCGACTATGGCAGCGATAATTGCAAGGTACTAGCGCTGTGAGAGAGGCGTCCCGTGGACTGCGACAGTTGTAAAAATGCCCGAGCGATCCGAGGGCGCGCTACAGGTTCCAGTAAGTGATTGAGGATTCGTTGCTGTCGTTGGGTGTCAGCTGTGGATGGCTAGTTGTGTTAAGTCCCACTCTTGGTGCGGGGAGGTGGCTACCCATGCAATCAGCCGGTGGTGATGAGTGAGTGAGGTGGAGGTACGGATGTTGTGGGATGCTCGTAGCTTTGCGATGCGTACCTATGGAAAAGTTTATGAGTGCTGTCAGGCACTGTCTGTGGGCTAATGCATCAAACTTGCAACCCGAAATGGCAGATGCAGTATCAATACCCATCACAAAAGGCCACGCGACTTGCTCCGGCGACAGCGAGCCTCCGAGAAGGGACTAGGCACACACAGTTACTGAGGAATAAACCCTTTTGCGTCATCCCGCCTCGACTAACCGTCTAAACAGGGTTTATTTTTTTTAATGTTTTTTTTTAGTGATGACGAGTGGCACTTACAGCGTCTGACCCCCTGTCTACACGTGCTGAACTACAGTTTTGGGGTGGACAATGGAACCCTTCGGGGGTTAGCTGTCCAGTATAGTACCTACCTACCTACCTACCTACTTGCCTACTGGTAGGTACCTAGGTATTCGTAGGTATGTATAGGCAAGTGTAGGTACCTGTGCGTACCAGATGACCAGTAGTTGAAGGCACCTGGCCGGGTTGGAGCTGAGTGCGGGGACCATTGATTTGACCCCGCCCCCAAAAAAAGGAAGCGACAGCCGTGCGCTGTTGACACTGAAGTGGGCCACTGAGGCGGTTTGTTGATGTTGACTCGCACATTGGATTTTGGTAGCCTAGCAATATACAGTCCAACATCATCATCAACCGCAACCACCTATCACGACACCTCACGTTCACACTGAAAGCCCCGGCGCCTCCTTCACTACCAAGACGTTGACGGTGCAAGTCCGCTCCGTTTTTGCTTCTCCGGGCATCCCCTATTTCGCCGTCACCATGGCCGACCACGACCACGATCCTATCGACAAGCGATCCGCCTCACGCACACGCAATTCGCGTCCCACGACCCCAATGCGCCCAACGACACCCCTACGCCCCTCGTCGCGCTCATCCTTCCGCGAGTCTGCCCGCGACAGTGTGCACGGCGGCGGCGAGTCGTTCCCCCTCAACGCCTTCGAGCCAGCCTTTGCCGAGCTCTCGGACGCCGTCGCAGACCTCGAGGCCAACATGATGCACTTCCAGTTAATGCACGAGAGTCTGGCCCGCTTCAGCGAATCCTTTGCAAGCTTTCTGTACGGCCTCAACATGAACGCTTTCTGTGTCGACTTCCAAGAGGTGCGAGCGGCTTCCTGCGAACCGATGTCCAATTTATACTGACCTTTGCTTTTCCTAGGGCCCTGTTGCAGAGTCATTTCGGCGTGCAAAGCAACAGGACGAGTTCGGTGCAAACGCGGGGACAGGTACACACTCTACACGTCACAGCACAATGACAGCATCCGAGACTAATGCAGAGTGTCTTAGGAATTCCTCGCGCGCCGGAGAGGACCGCCCCAGACAATGAAGGCGAAACAACCTTCATGTATTTACACCCATTCCCTCATCGCGTCGGTAATCTCGACAGCGTTCGCTAACCAAACATAGGACTACGGATGTTTCATTTGTCGAAAACCCGCCCGCCTCCTCCAAGCCGACCCCGAAATACAAGACCCCTACCACAAGAGGTTCCCGAGTCGCGGCCCCAGCCACTCGCGGTACAGCGCGGGGCCGCGCAGGAGGTCGCGGGGGCGCCGTGACTCAAAGAGGCCGGGGCAGTGGAATCGTCAGACCCCGCGCCCGTGGCATTCGATGAGCTCCTCTTCAAGGGATTCTGCTGCCATATTCTCCTTAGGACAGGACGCTGTCCTTTTCCTTGCACTCCGGCATTTCAACAGCGCCAGTTCCGCCCTTCTCGTCGGGTGAGGTGAGCAAAGGGATGACGTAAAAAAAGACCTTCATTATGCCGTCGTGAAAGGGTATCATCTAGTGTCTACTCCCGAGCCACGGTAGAATTATGGGCGAAAACAACAAGACTCAAGTCTCCATCTCAATCTCTTGGTCGAGTGCCTTCTCTAGGCCATCCTTATTGACGCCTCTGTTGTCCGTTCGGAGACCGACGGCAGCCTCAGCGTCCTTTTGGGTGTAGGGTTCCTCCTTCAGCTGCTTGACTCTAGGTGGGGGTTAGTCGAGGACGCACGGGATGCCGGAGCCGAGTGCTCCTGTGGGTGTATGTAGATGACGAACCTGCGCTTGTGAGGCTTGCCTCTGTGGTGGCCGACGAGGCTGACCTCGGTCTCGAACCACTTGGCGCATTCGACGCAGTAGTGCTGGCCCAACCCGGGGAGATCTTCCTTTGCTTTGGTGTTTTTGTAGAGCTGTAGGTGCCTCGGCGAGCGCATATCGGCCTTGATTTGATCAACATCCCTATCCGACTCGCGTTAGACTGACGGCCTTGGGCTCGGTAAATGTGCTTCTGCTGCTGGATGCGTACCTCGTCTTTCTCCGTGTCTTGGTAAGGGTCTTCTTGTTTGTGACACCCATTTCGCCTGTCGATGAAAGTAACTGACTTGAGTGAGAGGGTATCGCCTTGATGAATAGTATGATGCTGCGTTGCGGTCGATGGATACAACCAGTGGCAGAATCCCAAATTATGCCTCGAGATTGGAATGGCGGGGCAGAAATTTGGTGGTGAGCCGCAAAAAAGCTGCTTCACCGCTCAGTTAGAACAGTATTAGCGGCTCCTCGGACCCGGACCCGCTAGAAAAAAGTCTGGAAGCACTCAAGGCTTGGACCAGCGACCGGCAAATCATGGTGCCTCACGGCCGTTAGTCAGAAAGATACGCACGGTGTTTACAGAGTACAAGCCTCACCCACCCTACGGATACCTAGGTAGGTAATCATTCCCTCTGGAAGCCCAGGGAACGTGGCGCTCGTAGATCTGGAGAAGAGCTGCAGACTGAGCACTTGCTCGGTCAGATTGTTGGCAAGAGCGGTACTTCGTAACGTATACTTCATTGGTGGCAGGAGCAAAAATCGCGAATAGTACTACACATGTACGGAGCAGCCACATCAATCAACCGGGCATCTGGACAACTGGAAAACTATGAACCGTTGATTATACGGAGTGGCCGAAGTAGATGGAGGGCTGTGGACAACAGTCGCCGTCGTAGCGGGTTGGATATGGCAGGCCGAGGTAGGCAGGCCGGGCATCCTTTTGTAAACGGAGCAATCAGCATCGTGAGGATGGCAATCGAAGGAGCTCGGCCGTCGCCTCGGATTTTGGGCGATATCTCCTATCATAATTCCTTCTGAGGCCGAGGGCAAATCCGGAACTGCGAGTTTGCGAGCTTGCGACCGAAGGCCATCCGAGGCAATTCGAGCTCCACAGCCATGGAAGGAAGCACCACAACGTACAAGGGTTCGAGGTCCGTGGAGGAGGCTCCAATTCATCTGACCAGGTTCTCTGGGAGGAGCCCCCCCACCGCCCCATTCCTGCAAGCTTGAGAGAAATAGAGGAATAAGCCAAAACGATGTCTCCAGACCAGAAAATTTTGGTTGATATTGTAATTGCCCCAGGTGATTGGATGCTGCCACGGATGCAGATGCAAGGCAGCGGACGTCGGTGCGAGACCAACACCTGCATTATCTCCCGCAACTGTTTCCGGTGGCATAGATATCCGACGAAAGCACGCTAACACGAGGTAGTAGTGTAGGTACAATGCCTCGACATTAGTGTATATCGTCGATGCCGGAGATGGATTCCAGCCGATCGTTTTCTCGCCCGGGTGCGGGACTATCATCGTCCCTGACTCCAAGCGTGGTTGGACGTCGTGTTCGGTCCTCTCAGCCTACCTAGGTAACTCAGTGGGGAACCCTGGGTACCATGGCATCTTTCCTTCACTATCCGTACGCGCTACGACACGGGAACTGACAGGAATCCAGCCGGCTAAACGGGGAGGGACTCCAGGCGCATTCGCCGCAGACTGGTTATCAGCTGAAGCGCCTCTACGTGGCCATGGCTTCCAGAAAACAACTCCGGCTTCTGCAGCTGAGACGAGGCCCTTGCGACAAGAACGTATGCTGGAGATACGTGATGGCCCTTTGTCGCATCAGTAACACAGGTATTATCGAACGGGCTGCGGCTGGCGTGGTTGGAGGACCTACCTACCTAACCTACCTAGGTAGCTGGGGTAGGGGAGGCAAGGTACGTACAGGTACGGGTACATCGACAAGTCTTCACATGTGTATGCCCACTGCTGCAGTTGCAGGAAGTATACCGGTATATCGTCTTGGTCGCAGCCAAAGCTGCAGCAATCGCAGCGGTGTTCCCGGGGTCGAGAGGGAAGCGACGCATTGTTAAGGACTAGCCTCGTTTCCGACTCGAGACCCGCGCAGAGACGCGGGATCCGTCCAGTCTGTCCTCTTTCTCTTCCTCGCTCGTCTGTTTCCAGGTGGACGGACGGCCCGGTGAGGCATGCGTCTTGTCATATTGTCTGTCACTCCGCGGGATGCTTGGGTGCTTCCGCACGCAGCAATGACGGGAGGCAAACGAAGACGCGGGCAGACCCACGGATGAAGGGGGAAGTTCTGCTGCATTCCAGAGCGACCGAGTATTAGGGGTGCATGCCGAAACGAGCTCAAGGTGACGGCATGCAGCGCAAAAAGATGCCGTGGCATATGTTCATCGCTGACGTTTATTCCGTGGTTCCCCCCTCATTTGCACTCGCGCCATTCGCCGATGCCCTGCGGGCGAGGTAGGTACTGTAAAGCATCTAGGTAGGTTATGCTATGTATGTATCCGTACACGCTACGTAAACTAGTAGCGGCCGGTACGAGAAATTTCCACAAAGACGCAGGGAATCAAAAGATGGGTAGTTTACATGGTCTCATGTGCTCGCACCAAGATGAAGAAAGGACCCCACTCCAGCCTCCTTGCTGCTTTTCGCTGCTGAGTGAAAATAATCCAATCCTGCTGATTCGTCCGTTGGCCCGTCGTTGCCTTCGTCATAGCCGAACCCACCCTGGCCGACCCTGTCTGCTCTCCACAGTTCACACAGGAGCGCGGCAACCACAACCAGATAGCTTTGAGCCGAGCACACACCCATAACCCCCTCCCCAGACCCGTAGTCGTAGTGGTTTTGGCCCTTGGGTGTGTGTAAAAGTAAAACTGAGGGTGACGGGGGCAAGGTGCGAGCTTTTTACTGCCACCCGATCCGGAAAGACCTGGTCGCTTTGCCGCCTTTCCGACTACTTCTCAACTTCGCCGGAAATACTCTCCACCTTCTTGTTTTCTTCCTCTTAATATTCTTTTCTCCCTCCTCCATCCTCAGAAATCAAAGTCCCTCTCAAAGGCCAGGGCACTTGAGATAACTGTCTTGAGCTTCATCACAGCTCCGACACTCCCCACTCTATCTCAATTGAACAGTGTTACAACTGCTCGCCTTGTCAACACCGACCATGTTGGCCTCACGACAGCTCTTGGGCTCTGTGGCCCGGAGCCGCACTGCCGCCAGTGCTAGTTTGGGACTGCGCCGGATGGCTACCGTCTCTGACTCTCCCCTTGACCGTAAGGTATGTATCCCCCCTTCCTTCCTTTCGTCTGTCTCTGTCGTCGGGCTCCCACTGGAGCGTGACTGGGTGGGGCAAGGCTGCAGCAGCCTCTGCTCTGTTGCTTGAGTTCAAACAAGCCGCTGACTCGCCGTAAACAGGTCAAGCAGAACATCCACGAGGAGGGCAACTTCATCAACTACAAGAAGATGTCTGAGAACCTGGCCATTGTGCGCTCGCGTCTCAACCGCCCTCTCGCCTACGCCGAGAAGATTCTCTACTCCCATCTCGACAACCCCCACGAGCAAGAGATTGAGCGTGGTGTGTCTTACCTCAAGCTTCGCCCTGACCGCGTTGCTTGCCAGGATGCCACTGCCCAGATGGCTATTCTGCAGTTCATGTCTGCCGGCATGCCCTCTGTCGCCAACCCCACCACTGTCCACTGCGATCACTTGATCGAGGCCCAGGTTGGTGGTGTTAAGGATTTAGAGCGTGCCGTCGGCATCAACAAGGAGGTTTACGACTTCCTTGCCTCCGCTTGCGCCAAGTACAACATCGGTTTCTGGAAGCCCGGTTCTGGTATCATCCACCAGATCCTCCTCGAGAACTATGCTTTCCCCGGTGGCCTGCTGATCGGAACTGACTCTCACACCCCCAATGCTGGTGGTCTCGGTATGTGCGCCATCGGTGTCGGTGGTGCTGACGCTGTTGACGTCATGGCCAACCTTCCCTGGGAGCTCAAGGCGCCTAAGGTTATCGGTGTCAAGCTCACTGGCCAGATGTCTGGCTGGGTTACGCCTAAGGGTACGTGAATCGCCTCAGCCAAGAAGCTGCCGAGAGGTGTGCAATATTGACATTTTCTAGACATTATCCTCAAGGTCGCCGGCATTCTGACCGTCAAGGGTGGTACTGGCGCCATCGTCGAATACCACGGCCCTGGTGTTGAGGGTATCTCTGCCACTGGTATGGGTACTATCTGCAACATGGGTGCCGAGATCGGCGCCACCACCTCTCTTTTCCCCTTTAACGACCGCATGCACCAGTACCTCTCTGCCACCAAGCGTAAGGACATCGGTGACTTTGCTCGCACCTACGCCAAGGAGCTCCGCGAGGATGAGGGTGTTGAGTACGACCAGCTTATCGAGATCAACCTGTCTGAGCTCGAGCCCCACATCAACGGTCCCTTCACCCCCGATCTGGCCACTCCCATTTCCAAGTTCAGCGAGGCCGCCAAGGCCAACAACTGGCCCGAGGAGCTCAAGGTTGGACTTATCGGCTCTTGCACCAACTCCTCATACGAGGACATGAGCCGCGCCGCCTCCATTGCCCGCGATGCTCTTGACCACGGCCTCAAGTCTAAGACCATCTTCACCATCACCCCTGGTTCCGAGCAGATTCGCGCCACCATTGAGCGTGATGGCCAGCTCCAGACCTTTGAGGAGTATGGCGGTATCGTTCTTGCCAATGCCTGCGGTCCCTGCATTGGTCAGTGGGATCGCCAGGATGTCAAGAAGGGCGAGCCCAACTCCATCATCTCTTCCTACAACCGTAACTTTACCGGCCGCAATGACGGTAACCCTGCCACTCACTCCTTCGTCGCCTCCCCCGATCTGGTCGTCGCCATGACCGTTGCCGGCAGCCTGCACTTCAACCCCCTTACCGACACTCTCAAGGACAAGAATGGCAAGGAATTCAAGCTCAAGCCCCCCAGCGGTGATGGTCTCCCTAGCCGCGGATACGACGCGGGCCAGAACACCTACCAGGCCCCTCCTGCTGACCGCAGCACCGTCAACGTCCAGGTCTCTCCTTCTTCCGACCGTCTCCAGATCCTGTCTCCCTTCGAGCCTTGGGATGGCAAGGACGCCAAGGACATTCCCATCCTCATCAAGGCCAAGGGCAAGACCACCACTGACCACATCTCCATGGCCGGCCCCTGGTTGAAGTACCGTGGCCACCTGGACAACATCTCCAACAACATGTTGATCGGTGCCATCAACGAGGCTAACGGCGAGGCCAACAAGGTCAAGAACATCACCACTGGTGAGTGGGATGCTGTTCCTGCCGTTGCCCGTGACTACAAGGCCAAGGGCATCAAGTGGGTCGTCGTTGGCGACTGGAACTACGGCGAGGGTTCTTCTCGTGAGCACGCTGCTCTCGAGCCCCGCCACCTTGGTGGTCTTGCCATCATCACCCGTTCCTTTGCTCGTATCCACGAGACGAACCTGAAGAAGCAGGGTATGCTCCCTCTTACCTTCTCCGACCCTGCCGACTACGACAAGATCAAGCCAGATGATAAGGTCGACATCCTCGCTACCGAGCTTGAGGTCGGCAAGCCCTTGACTATGGTTGTCCACCCTAAGGATGGCGAGCCCTTCGAGGTCAAGCTGTCACACACCTTCAACGCCCCTCAGATCGAGTGGTTCAAGAACGGCAGCGCCCTTAACACTATGGCCAAGTCGGCTGGCAAGTCATAGATGGGGAGTGTTACGTTAGCAATACAGGTCAGCTTGATGCGTGAATGGGTGGTGTAGGCGTACTTATCTTTACTAGCATGTTCTGGGGTGTCGGTCGGTATGACTTGAAGTTGACGGCCGTGTCATGCCCTTTGTTTTGGTCGGGCAAATACCTCTGGGACCTTGTTTTTTATGTCATGTAGGCCATGATTTCCTAGTCTGTACAAATTTGAAATATTCAAAAAGGAGACTTCCGGGCATCCCACACCACCATTTTCCCGATGTGACACACTGTGGACATAGCTTGGGCATTGTAACGAAACGCTTTCATTAGCCAGCATTGCTGGGTTACTCGTTTAAAGTGAGGATCATGTCGGTATCCCTTGCTGCCCATCTGACAGACATCAAAGTCACGTGGTGATAAGCCTCATGGATATATTCTTATCGCCATTTGGGGTCCAAGACGGTCCGAGAGGACCGTGGGCGTGCATGCGACAAGCTCTCTACAAATTTCCCAGTCGTGGAATAATCACAGCAACGTGCTCGGCCTTAACGCAGGCCTTCGTAATTACCCGACGTTGATAGCTGAATCGCCCTTCAGAAATCACCTCACCCCACGCTGGCGCGAAACAATCTAGGCCAGTATAGCTTCGACGAACCGCGCGCGCAACTCTAGATCTCCGCGACACCCGGAGACGGCTGACGCGATGGCTCCCAGCGTGACTTCCTTTAGCACCCTTCGGGCTCGCACCTATGTCCTCCGGCTACCGCTCTTCACAAGAATCGTTCTCCTAATCATCGTTGCTGCCTGGGTTGCGGGCGTTCAGTCGGCCTGGGACATGAGGCAATGGGGCGCCTTGATCCCTGACCAACTGTCCTTCATATCTTGTTCGTTCCCCCCTCTTCGCTCTCCCTCGTCCTGCAGGCATGTATGCTGATACTGAGCGGTTGTAGCGTACCGAATGAACACATTCCCCTTTATCCACAAAAATTTCATCCACGCGATTATGAATCTTCTAGCTTTGGCCCCTCTGATGGAACGCTTCGAGGCGGAATTCGGTACTCTGACCTCAATATCGCTCTTCATCGGCCGTATGCTACCCTTTCCTCGTCGATCTCCAGGCCGTATGACTGATGCCCCATAGCTCTTACCACAATTCCGGCTATTCTATATGTTTTGATCGAAAGATTCCTCTTTAAGGGCAATGTTGGAGTTATGGGGGCTAGGTAACCACTATATCGGCGGAGAACATGACATGCGTGGCTAATGGGACGCTTTGCGCAGTATATGGGTCTTCTTGCTTCTCGGCAGGGAGGCGATTCGAACCTATAAGACGAATCCTCAACTGACGATTGCGACGTACTCGATCCCCACATGGACAACGCCCCTGATCCTCATCTTGGTGGTTACCGCTCTCGTCCCGGGCACAAGCTTATTGGGCCACCTTTGCGGCGTGTTTGTTGGATATCTATGTAAGAACCATGGGCTGTACCGCCGAGAGATGTCATGCTAAGATCGATTGTGCAGTTGGCCTCGGTTACCTCAAATTTTTGAGTCCTCCCGAAAAGGCCCTGCGATGGGTTGAATCCAAGCTGAACCTGCTGGGCCGCCTGCCTCACTATGTGAGTGTAGATCAAAAGACCTATGGTCGCTTTGGTGTCTTGCCCTCAAGCAGTCATGCCGGCGGCGGCAGCGCCCCCATTGCGCTTGTTGGCACCACGCAAAGACTTGGATCCTGAGGTATCCGCGTTTGAACCTGTACCACTATAATACTGCCCGGCAAGATTGAAGGGCATCTAGATCGGAGTTTGGAGTTCTGATTGCGAGATGGAAATGGCACATGTACAGGATGGGTAACGTTTGCCGTGTAGTACACTTCGCTTGTTTGTTGGCCATGTGATGGCGCTCAGCGCTATCACAATACAAAGGCTCGGTTTTATCAAAAGGTAAAGCATGTGAGTCAATCGCACCTCGGTGGCAGTCTTGCAGTTGCGAATATCTAGATTGCTATCGCATTATCTTGAGGGAATAACGAGAGGAAATAAACATCATTAATAATTCAGAAGCCAGGAATGCAGCCAGTTGATTAGATAATACCCTAGGAGCGAAGCTGCATCAGGCACAATAACCAAGGAATTGTCCTATAACGTAGGTAGACTGGTCAGATCCGTTGAAGCTGGGGTACAGGGGTAAGCTGTGCTAAAGCTGGGAATGGGAGCTGACGCGCCCGGTTAAATGAATATTTGGTACCTTGCCTGTCCCTTCCACGTCTGAGCTATTACCTCTCTGGTCTGCTTCGACAAACCACCCCTGAAAGATAAAAATGAAGGCCGTCCTTCTAGTACGTCACCGCGTAAAGAAGACGACCTGATTTCTCAAGCGCGCAGCTTTCTGGAGCTGCCGCAGAACAGTCATTGCCATGTCGCGGCTAATATGTAAGATTTCAACGCCCACTGACAGCTTTATTGCCCATCTATACTTTACTAACCTGGCCGCTCAACAGCCTCAGCCCTCTCGTTGCGCCGCGATCCACGTATCCTCAAACTCCCGCCCTACCTGTCGCTAGCATGCATTCTTGGCGGCATTGCATGGCTATTTCTGTTGCCTCTCAATGACTACTCCCGCCGAACATACATCTCCGAGAATGCGCTGCTCCCGGGCCAGGTACACACATACTTTGGCGGAAGCGACCAGAATGTCCTACGGGCCTACAAGAACGAGGTTAACTTGGTCAAGGACAAGTCCAACTACGAGTACGCGCGCAAACACTTTCCTCATCCTTGACTGGTGGTGCTTGCTTGGCCTGAAACTGATGATTGCGTTTACTGCAGAATCAATGACAAACTCGAGGGCATTCTCAAGAACATAGGCTTGAAGGTCGGGCGCCAGAACTACACATACGAATCGGCTGGCGACATCTATACGGGCGAGAATATATACGCCATTCTCCAGGCTCCGCGTGGTGACGCTACTGAAGCAATCGTGCTGGTTGCTGCATGGAAGACGATCGACGAGAAATTTAACGTCAACGGCGTGCCGTTGGCTCTGACTCTTGCGCGGTACTTCAAGCGGTGGTCTCTCTGGTCCAAGGACATCATCCTCGTCATCCCCCCGGACAGCAGGACGGGCGCTCAGGCCTGGGTTGACGCATATCACGACTCGCACGACTCGTCCTGTGTGAACTCGTTACCTCTCAAATCCGGTGCGTTGCAGGGCGCTATCGCAATAGACTTCTCACAGGAGCGCCGCTTTGAATCCATCCACATCATCTACGATGGTATCAATGGCCAACTGCCAAATCTCGACCTTATCAACTCTGTTGTCAACATCGCAGGCGGGCAGATGGGCATGGGAACCGCTATTCAGGAAATGTGGTCGCACTCGGACAAATACCAAGACCGGCTACGGACCATGCTTCGCGGCATGCTGAACCAGGGGCTTGGCCACGCCTCGGGCCCGCATAGCAGCTTCATCCCGTACCATGTTGATGCTGTCACCCTGCAACCCTTTGGCGAAGGTTGGCATGACGAGATGGGCATGGGGCGCTTGGTCGAGGGTACGTTCCGCAGCTTGAACAACCTCCTCGAACACCTTCATCAAAGTTTCTTCTTTTACCTCCTGATGCACAAGGAGAGATTCGTCAGTATTGGCACGTACCTACCTAGTGCCATGATCCTGGCCGCCAGTTTTACAATCACTGCTATCTCTCTGTGGGTGAAGAGTGGCCACCAGGAAGAGGGTTCAGGTGCAAAAAGCATAGCGGCCAGGGCGGACAGTAAAACCACGTCTTCTGAAGCGTGCATTGAAGGTTCTGCAAAGAAGCCAGCCCCACCACCGCGATCAGTACCGGCGGTTGAACGTGATTTGTTCCTCCCCTTGGGCTTGGTGGCCATCTGCCAGTTCTTGGGCGTCATACCCCTGTACCTCTTCAACCACATGCCCGCAAATGTAAGCCTCCAGCACACCCACGGAACGAAGTTGTGTACTCATGCTCATCATACAGATGCTTTCAGGGGCCTATGCAGCCTTCGCGCTCGTCAATTGCGCCCTGCCCTTTCTCATCTCCTCGTTGCTGACCTCTATTTACAACCCGACTGTCCAACAATACCAGCTCATCAAGTCTTTTTCCTTGCTTTTGCTCGGCATGTTCCTATCTGCTCTTGCTACTCTGAACTTCTCCCTGGCTTTCCTCGTTGGCGTCATGGCTAGTCCGCTCTCCTTCATGCGACCCTGGCCACAGCACTCGGCCGTCCGATGGGCCTGTGCCGCGTTCCTCCAGCTCGCGTCCCCGACGGCGGCGCTATACTCCATCTCGTCGTATTTCGACATTAGCATCGGAGGGGTCCTCAAGGAGGCTGCGTTCGGGTGGGACGTATGGGGCATGTATACCCCCGTCATCATCTGGGGTGTGTGGTGGCCCGCCTGGCTTATGGGGTCCGTCATTGTGCTCGGACAGCCTGTGTCCAAGGCGAAGAGCATACGGCTGGATTAGAAGGCTTGATCACACCGGCGGTTTTGTATGCATCACTCGCTGGAGTTTGAGGGGGATAATATCTTCAAATTGAATTCAACTTTGCGACTACCGCATCACATAATAGGCGCAACGACGTTGTCATCATTATCATCGCGGCCCAAGATCGAGACCGGGTTTCCATTCTTCTCTCTAAGTCTAATGGTGTACACTGGTCCTCGTCATGCAGACAGACCAATATTACAGACCTCGTTATTCCCTTTCGCCCCTAATCTCGTCCCCCTGTTAATTCCATCAAGCAGCCCACACATCTCCTCCAACGTTCTCGATCCAATTGCCGAGCTGATTGACCTGCGAATCCCAGTCGAGCAGCCGCTGACGCATGTTGCCGATCTGCTTCATGTCGAGCACCTTAGGCTGAACCCAGGTAATGTGTGCAACCTCGTCCACCTGATCAATATTTCCACGCAAGAGACCCAAGCTCAGCGCCTTCATGATAAGGTGCTCGATCTCGTTGGGGCGCACCTTGGTCTCCTGGGCGATGTCGGTGAAGGACATGGCACGGTCGTGGGGCGGCCGGCGGAAGACAGCCTCTGTGAGCGCCGCAAGGTAAATCTTCTGACGTAGATGACCAGCGTTCTCGCTGAGCAGGGGCTTGGACCGCATGCGGGCCGAGAGGGCCTCGAAGCCCTGGAGGTCACCGCGGTTAAAGGCGAAAAGCAGGTCTCGGAACCATTCGTCCTGGGTACCCTTGAGCGCGTCGAGGATCGGGTGCAGAAGCAGCTCGCCAAAGTTGTAGATGGTGTCGGAAACCAGCGCGGCAATGCTGAGGTGCAATGCTCGCCTGTGGCGCTCCTGCGGTGTGAGAGAATTGATGTCGATGCAAGCGAGGTAAAGTAGGGCGTTGCGGTAGTAGGCTGCGAAGTCCATCTTACGCTGGGATTGAGCTCCAAGTCAGTCAAATTCCCGCGAGAACGATGGAATAGGGGGCATGAATCCTACCTGATAGTAGTTAGCGTTCGCATCGTAGAACGCTGCATGAACGATCGTCTCGACCGAGTCGAAATTGTCCAATATTCTCTCGGCCGTGTCGAGGTCCTTGCGGGCCCCATCCATATCCTCCAGATCCAGCTTTACCCTGGCTACAGCGACGGAAGCGTAAACAAGAGCATCTTGTGAATTATCGTTGTCCACCTTCTTCGCAACACTCTGAAGGAATGCCAGTCGCTCCTCGTCATCTAATGAAGTCAATGTCAGCGCTCCTATTGCTTCACAGCTCTTTGCCCGCTAGTGCCATACCCTTGCATTCTGTAGCAGCCTTCAAAGCCAGGTCGACAAGTTTGAGCTGATTGATCTTATCCGCGAACTTGAGAATGAAGACCTTGTAGAGGGAAAGCCGCTGAGGCTTGCTGCCAGGGTGACTGAAGAACTGGCCAAGCGCATCGGTAAGTTGGTGCCAGAGTTTCCTCTCCCAGTAGTTCTCGAACTCCAGAACAAGATGCTGGAGTTCCTCGGGTGCCTCATCACGCTGCTCCGCCAGAAAGTCGGGAATGGCGTCGGCATTCATCTTGTCAGAGTGTTAGGTTGAGGCTCGAAATGTATGTGGGGGAGCTTCGAGGTTCCCGGGATGACGACAGGTTCACAGGCGTACGGACTGATCGCTATTTTGCCCTCGTGGTATAGCTAGACGGACAAATATTCAGCTGTGTAGAATTGGATTCCGTCGTGAGAAGCGTCGGGAAGTTCGTCGAGAGATATGTGGGTGTATTGATGAATGCAAGCAGCAGCTCTCTAGAGGGGTGATACACACAACGCGGCTAGCTAGCAGCCTGGTCAGTCAGCTAGGTAGGGTAGGTACGTAGCGCACAGCACTGATTCGGACCTGGCAGTTGCCAGGGACCCGTTTCGGATCGGTTGACCAATGGCTGTTTTTCCGATCCAATACCCAAAACCTGGGCCGTGCTTTATATCCCACGTGACCTGCTCACCTTGTATTCTGGATCAAGCTCGTGACTTTGGAGCTTTCGGCCAGTACTGAAGTAATCAATTGTCAGTCAATTGGGAGGCCACCGCACGTATTCGCTGCCGCCTCGATACCTGACAATGGCCTCCTTTCCGACCGCCGTGCGGTCAACCCAGAAGGCTGCGCACAATGTCCTGAGAAGGCAGCCCCTCCACGACATTGCCATCACCCGCACCGGCAAGCCCATCTTGCGAACCCAGGGCGGAAGGTAAGCATACCGATCAATTGCATCTCATGGCACTGTTCCTGACCTCGCGTCATATATAGATCATCTCTTGGTGGTATGCGAAATTAACTTCCAATCAATGGTGAAGCCTTGTCTAAGAACGATCCACAGGGCACACTGCGACGGTTTTTGGCGCAACGGGACAGGTTGGACGATACATCGTGAACAGACTCGGTACGAATAGACGACCAGCGAACTCGCCGACCCGTTTCTGACCTTTTTGATAGCTCGTCAAGGATGCACCGTCGTCATTCCTTTCCGTGAGGAGATGGCCAAGCGTCACTTGAAGGTTGCTGGTGATCTCGGACGTGTTATCTTCCTTGTATGGGCCTCCTTTTTAATTCCGAGCTACATGACGAGCAGGAACTGACAACGATGCCTTAGGAGTACGACCTCCGTAACACCCAATCAATCGAGGAAAGTGTGAGGCACTCAGACGTTGTCTACAACCTTGTCGGCCGCAACTACCCCACCAAGTAGGTTTACGAAGCGAGAGATGATTTGATGGAAACAAGGCTAAGCGTGCACAGGAACTTCTCTCTAGAAGACGTCCACGTCGAGGGAACCGAGCGGATAGCGGAGGCTGTTGCCAAGTACGATGTGGACCGCTTCATCCACGTGTCCAGTTACAATGCCAACTTGGAGTCTACTTCCGAGTTTTACCGCACCAAGGTCAGCCGAAGTAAGTTTTGCGTTATTGCCATCAAAGTTAACCATCCTGCAGGCCCGCGGTGAGCAGGTCGCTCGTAGCATCTACCCCGAGACCACCATTGTCAGACCGGCGCCGATCTTCGGTTTCGAGGACAACCTCCTTCTGAAGCTTGCTAGCGTTATGAACCTCTTCACTGCCAACAATATGCAGGAAAGATTCAGGCCCGTTCACGTAGGCTAATCGCGTCGAACAATGCCCCGTTCAATTGCTGATCAATTTAGTCCATCGATGTTGGCCAGGCTTTGGAGCTGATGCTCTACGACGACAGCACGGCTGGGCAAACATACGAACTTTACGGCCCCCAGGAGTACTCCATGGCCGAGATCGCGCATTTCGCCGACCGTGAAATCTTCAAGAAGCGCCGTCACATTAATATTCCCAAGTCCATCCTCAAGCCCGTTGCTGGTCTCTTGAACAAGTACCTCTGGTGGCCTACCATGTCTGCTGACGAGGTTGAACGTGAGTTTATCGACCAAGAGATCGATGAGACGGCCAAGACTTTCAAGGATCTCGGCATCGAGCCTGGTGACATTAGCAAGTTCACGTACCACTACTTGGTAAGATTTGCCTGCAACTTGCGCGCTTGTTCTAGTTGGGCACCCGTCGCTAACTACTATACAGCAAGGTTACCGCAGCGCCAACTTCTACGACCTGCCTCCTGCGACAGAGAAGGAGAAGAAGGAAGAGCGCAAGTACTTGCACGTTCTCGACGACCAGTAAGCCTGGGTTCCATTTGTAAGACGGGGTTGATGCTGGGCAAGCAAAGTCGTTTAGAGTGTATATAAGTAGTGACTAGACAATGCTGCAAAAGTCGAGCAATTCATGTACAGTTCTGAGTACAACCTTGGCGAGCGATGTGTCATCCTATGAGTGACGAACTGTGCTGCGTTCTTCTTAGTCAAAGCTTTTGCTATGCTGTACCTGATTCGTTGATGGCACTTTGGATTTTGACGCCGACTCGAACTGGGTCCTTGACCGGATTAATTAATGCTTCCTCTCATCTCACCTCTTACTTGCCAACTCGACTCACCCATACCCGCCATTCTGTCAACACCCTAAGTTAGATCCAAGTCTTTGAATACTAGTAAAGTCCAGTGCTGACCAATTTCTCAAGATGTCGAAATCAGACAGCGACGACGAGCCTATGTATGTTCTTTCAATGCTACAAAAAATTACATCCCCACCAGGTGGTGCACCACGAGTCAGACAAAGAACTGACACCTCTCGCATAGCACGCTATCTTCTCAAGCCCTCGCGGCGCTGGCCGAGTTCAACGCTGAGAGGGACGAGCGCCAGGCGAAATTTGAGAAGCTCAAGGCACAATGCGAGGCCAACGCCGCCGGGGGGTTGCCGCTGTCCATGGAGGCATTCACAGAAGACTGGAACTCGTCACAGTTTTGGGTACGACCTTAATGAAGCCCCACCTTGGAGCATCACAAACCCCTCCGACAACTGGAGTATGTTGAGCATCGGGAAAATACTGATTAATGTCTGGGTATTTTCCTGTTTAGTATAGCGATGAGACGGCAAGGCTGCTTGCTGGGCACCTCCTCGAGGGTGCCGACGAAGATACAACTATTGGTATCGTTTCCGCGCCTAGCGTCTTCATCGCTCTGCGAAACCTTATGGTGAGAAATGTGTCTCCCCTGGCTTCTACCTGATTTAGTGATGCGGGACGCTGATCCGATGGGTAGAATGAACGAGACCCAAGCCTAGGACGGCCCAAGGTCGCCCTGCTGGAGTATGACACGCGCTTCAATGTCTTCCCCGAGTTCGTCTTTTACAACTTCCAGAGTCCATTCAAGCTCCCAGGTGTGTCATCGCGACTTTGACGCAGATAGACTCCTTCGGACATGAAAGGGATCGCTAACTTGTATTCAACCCAGCCGAACTCAAGGGCAATGTTGACCGTGTCATTTGCGACCCGCCATTCCTCAGCGACGACTGCCAGACCAAAGGTAAGCAAATGACAAAATATACCGATAACGAAGTCCCATTATTTCTGACTCGAAGCGACGCGCAGCCGCCATGACGGTTCGGTGGTTGATGAAGCCCAACGCCATCAACTCCGAGAGCCGCGTCATCGTCTCTACCGGCGAAAGGATGGCAACTGTTGTGAACAAGGTATACAAGGCCCTCGGTGTCCGCACCGTCACCTACGAGCCGACTCATGCGCGCGGCCTAAGCAATGAGTTTTACTGCTACGCCAACTTTGAGTGCAAAGACTGGACCTGGCGGGAAGGGACGGCGAGTTGACCAAAGCAAAGTTTCCCGATGGCTAAGCATAACATAAGATGAACCATGTTCTCAATAGATTAGACAGACAACCGGAGGCTGTTTGGCTTGTAGCAGTAGACATATCTTAACATGAAACATAAAAACGTACATACGCTGTTTCCTCGCTGTTCTATACAATGATGGTTTTCGTTGGTTTCACCAGTGATGATGACGATGGTGCACTGCGTGGGTGCATATCTACCTGCCTGCCCGCCTACCATCCAATCATCCAATGCGGCGTTCTTATTCTTTCACTTACCAAAAAGGCCTACCTAAAGTAGGTGCAAGCCCAACGTTTCTTTCCAACGCCAAGACGATGCTATCCCTGGCACTCCTCTATAACCTTTCCGCCCCTCTGAAATATTTCCGGCGGTTGGTTACTGGCGCTCTTCACGAGTAATGTTAACTGGTATGGCTTGACGTGAGATATTAACCCCCCGGTCTTCCCTTTTTTGCGGCGCTACTCTACGAAAGGGAGCGGATGATGTAGAAGAGTAGGTATGGCTGGGCGCTCAGCACCTCCGACTTGGACGCCATCTCAACCTTGTGGTCGTTGAACTTGAACCACTGGTCGCCAACTCGGCAGTATGAGACATAGTGACCTAGTAGGACAGTTAGTCTTGTCTTCTTCATAGAACCGCCTCACTTACCTGTGTCGATTTCGCCGACGTGGACCACTACACTAAGAAGGTCGTACGTGCAGGATCTTCCAAGCTCGAACGCATCCTTGGAGTCCGCACCTCTGCCTCTCGTTGTATATGGAAGCATGTTGAGCTGCAAGGGAAAATTGACGATCGTGTCGATCTTCGAGGGCGCACGATCATGGCGGCCCTGCTTGTACTCAAAACGCTAGTTTTCTGTCAGCGAAACTGCAGCATGCGTTTGGGTTGGGATAAAGCTTGCCTTCAGTTGTATGGCAAGCACATTGGGCAGCCTCTTAATGCTGGTGGCTCGTTTCGCCTGCTGCATCGAGCTGCAGTTGTGGCATCGATACTCGCACTTGTCTGATTTGACGTACTCCTCGTCCAGACACTCCTGCAGGGTCAGGCTGGCCACCTTAGGCCCTCCCTTCTTCCTCTTGTGGGACAAGTTCTCCAGTCCAAGGCTAAGGTCCAAAAACGACTGCACCGCATTGGTGACGCCTCCGCAATTCTGGCAGGTCGTAGAGCTCTGCAGCTTGCCGTAGAAAGTTTGGTGAATGATGCAATTGCACGTATGCTCGCTACCAGTTTCTGGTCTCTTGCCGTCCCCGTTGCGTTCGTGGAGTTCCTCTGCGAGAAACTGGAAGAACTCATGAGCATCCTGCTCCTTGGTAGTGACGAGGTTCTCAAATGCCTTCTTCTCTGATATCCAGAACCCAGAGAGAATACTCGCAGCCGTGAATCCATTAGTATTCTCAACGGCGTAAAAGTCCTGGAACATGTCATCCATGGCGCAGCTCAGACAATTGGTCAGCGAACAGTCGGTACTCTGGTGGCCATCGCTAAGGTAGAAGTTGCGTAGCAAGGGGTTGTGGAGAAAGCTCTGCAAAACCACGTTCTGGTAGCAAGTTGCTCCAGCATTGTAGATTCCACGCAGACCGTTTGCTTTGCAAGAGGCGGTGGTGGTGTTGTTTGAGATGAAGCCCGGGTTGTTCGCAGCGCTGTCCTTGACGCCATCAGAGAACATCTCGTCATGTTTTCTCTTGCGACCTGTAAGAGGTATAAGCATGTGTCAGGGTAGAAGGAGCACTTGGAGCATGATAAATGAAAGTATTCGGGAGCTGGGCCGACGCTTCCTGGCCACGGGTGACTTACTTGAGAATGTTCCGGTTCCCATCTTGCGCACTCGAAGCTCTTCCAGTGTGGGGTCCCAGACCAGATCGTCACAGATCTGGCAGTAGAGCGCGCCGCTTCGCGAATCGACGTCTGATATTGTTAATGGGTGCATTCTGTATTTCGTCAAGGGGGGCAACATACAGAAGCGGTGCTGCTTCTTTGTGCCATGCTTTAGGCGGTCCTCGTCGTTGACGATGGTCGAGCACTGCAGACAGAGGTAGTTGGACGTGAGAGAGGTCATGACCTGACCATCCGAGTTCTTGGACGTCTGTGGCACAATAGGTGTCTGTTCAAAGATGTTCTTCAGGATCATCTTGTAGTGGTGAACAGACTGGGTAATGCCCTCTTGGGACTGTGTGAAGAGTCGCTGGATGTGCTCTTGTATCTTATCAGCCCTGAACCTAGTATTGCTCGTCAAAAGTTGATTTGCGTAGAATCTTACTGACCGCATCCGAAAACGGGTGTTCCAGGGACCGGCGACTTGACCTTGGCGGTCTTGGGGGACATTGGTGTTGTCGGTCGAGCAGCCATCTCGAATTGGTTCCGGTGGCGGTATTCAAACGGGTGTGAAGCTGCCCTTTCTTTCCCCTGCCTTCCTTCTGCCTCGAAATACTCCAACCAGCAAATTGACTTCTTATGTGCCGGTCGTGTGAATATTGGCGAACCGAAATCTGAAATTGAAATCGGTACTTTTGCTATGTTCGATGCTCGATAAAAGGGAATGGTCGATGATGGTCGGCAACAGCTGCAGTTTAGACAGCACAGTAGGCAACTACCATTCCAACGTCCAATTGTCAGCCGCTCAATCCCAGTAGGTTTTCGGCATTTCAAAAAAGAAACGCACGGATCAGAATAAAACAAACACTGACTGTCAATCGCAGTACCTAGACCGATGTCGGCAGGTAATCCTGTGTCTTGTGGAAAGACGAGCGATTTCGCGTTGGTAGTGTTGAAGCTCCTCCAAGCGGGCTTCAGATGGCGCAAACTGGTGATCGACAAGATGTCGTCGCTTCGTACGCACAGAGCCAGTGGATTCAAGGCCGAGAGAACCGGAGCAAGGTAAGGCGAAAGAAAAAGGGAGACGTCTTTCTCTGTTGCAGTTCGCAAATCAACTTGCACCTCGTGATCGCTGGGAGGTAGGCACAGTCCACGAAACTCCAAGCACCTACGGACGATCCCTGGAGGATGCAAATGTTGGAGCTGGCGCCGCGTGCACAGACGAGTTTGGTCGTACCTGCGGCTAGCATGCAATAAGTCCAGGCTTATTATCGTACTTGATCGGGGTCCGACGTTTATCGATAACAAAGGGGGGTTGCTGGTTTGCTTAATCCACCTGCTGAGAGTCCCCCCTACGCCCCTGAAATCTACGGATACAAGTAACGTGGCTCAGTGGCCCAATGTCTTTTTTAGTGGGGTTGAGCTGGTATCACCCACCCTGGAAAGTCTAGAAAGGGTGAGGTCACTGTCACTGCGACTGAGCCCGCTGGCCCTTCCTCACCTTGGGTTCATTCACCGAGCGTCTTCCAATCACCTCAGTTGCTGGGATCCAACGTCGGATTGCTGAGGTAAGCCGTCTCAAGAGCTGGCTCGTGGGTGTGCAACTCGCTCGTTCTTGAACCTCGGCATCTTGATCGCATCCCATCGATCGCGTCTTCATCTAATCCCCATCTGTCAACCCATTGCTCTGGAACCCGCCCGCAGAGCACAGCTGTTCCACGGTCACACAAGGATGATGCGGGGTGCTTTTCAAGGTCCTCTTCCCAAAGACTTTTCTTCTCACATTGGTTTGTGACTAAGAAAACTTCATTGCTCAACCACGCGTGAAATTAGACTCATCACCAATTCAACTTGCGCCAAAAACAGCAAAATGGCTTCTCAACTAGTATCACTACCCGAAGTCGAGCGCCTTAGCCCCGTCTGCATTCGGGTTCTGGGAGGCAACCCAGGAAAGTTCACGCTACAGGGCACCAACACGTACTTGCTCGGACGAGGCAGCCGCCGCATCCTGATTGACACGGGCGAGGGCGTACCGTCGTGGATCACGGCCATCAAATCCGTCCTGGAGCAGGAGCAGGCGAGAGTCGAGACGGTTCTGATCACCCATTGGCACAGAGACCACCAGGGTGGCATCCGGCAGCTGCTGGAGCTGTCTCCAAATTCCAAGGTCTTTAAGAACAAACCCGAGGAGGGCCAGTCAGACATCTCAGACGGCCAAAAGTTTACCGTCGATGGAGCTAGTCTTACGGCTGTGTTCACCCCAGGCCACACCGTAGACCACATGGCCTTCGTCCTGGAAGAGGAGGACGCCATGTTCACGGCGGACAACGTCTTGGGCCAGGGGACGGCCGTGTTTGAGGACCTGGCCACCTACCTCGACAGCCTTGAGAAAATGCGGCACCTGTTCAGGGGCAGGGCTTATCCAGGCCACGGGCCGGCGATTGACGACGGCCCGTCCAAGATTCTTGAGTACATCAACCATCGGAAAGCGCGCGAAGAGCAGGTCATCCGCACGCTAGGGACGACGAGACAGGGCGAAGACATCGAAGGACCTGCCAATGCGTGGACGCCCATGGAACTTGTCAAGGTCATATACCATGACGTTCCAGAGGAGCTACATGTTCCGGCCTGCGGCGGAGTCATTCAGATTCTGGTAAAACTCAAGAAGGAGGACAGAGTAGTCGAGAGCAACGGCAGATGGTCTCTGAAAGATCGACCGGCGTTGTAGCGTGTATGGCCGAGGGGTTTGAGCAGCCACGGCGGGGTTTGGCCGGGCTCGGGTCCGAGGATGATTGCTATGGGCTGCTGTATGGCCAGCGATGGGCCGACCGTACACAGCTAACAACCGCGGCGGGGAAGCTACAGGGAGGGCCAGGAGGGATAGGTCGCATCACAGAACCCGGGCGCGCCCGCGGGTCCAGGAGCGTGTAGTCACGACGTACAAGTTAGTGTTAGTAAGCCACCAAGCGGGATCGTGCGTAAATGGACTGTCTATTGCCCGGTAGGTCCGGGCTGACAAAGGCTGGGTGGAGGCGGCACAAGACTAGGCACCAGGCATCCAGAAGGTTCGGACGAGTGAATCTTGTGATAAGGCAAGCGAAGTATGGGATGACGTTCAATAAATCGTCTGGGCACCTAAACGATGTGATGCTCTACATACTTTGGTTCAATATCGTACCACAGAGGCTAACAGTGGGGCGTCTATCTTAAGGTTATTGAACTGGGGGCTGACTCTGTATTATGTCCGAAATGATGGAAAGACGCGCAACTGTACCACTCGGGCTTGGTAGCGGCGGTACGAACACCTGGAACATCCACCACCAATATAGATTCTAAAAGATGATGGGCGGCGGGTTCTGCAGCTAAGTCCCTTGGCCAAGGGCGGTAACGTCGGGCTCTCAAAATGAAAGATGAAAAGAGCGGTCGGGACCAAGTAGGCACTGCTTTACTCAGGCACCAACGCAGTGTTTCTAAGGACTCTGGCAAGATGCCACAGAACGAGTGGATGATACGTCAACGTGGTGCGCGGCGTGCTTCCGCATGCTGATCGTCAGTCATCCTAGCCCCAGGAAGAAGGGTGGTTACTGTAACATGATCAGTCGACCCATGGTCCGAGACGCCGTTATGTCCGGGAATCCCGTCGGGGCTTGCAGACCGGAGATGGAGGATGACGGACCAGTCACAAGCAGGACCACCGAGGCTAACTTTGTAGTCTCAAGAACTCTAGCAGCAACAGATTGGGAATGCGTCTGGATTCTACACACGCACACGACGAGTAGTGTAGGAAGAGCACATCGAGGGGCTTGGCTATTGTATTTTTTTCTGGGTAGGTAGTGAAGCCCTGTTTTGTAACGTATCCCCCTCTTCTGGGCGAAACCTGGGCATCTCTCTCGGTTCCAACGTGCCGCCTGGCTGAACGGCGTCACGCTCGCTTCAACGGTGGGTCTGACTCCGATATGACTCTTGGGGCCGCCGACAGCAGGCCGCGGGAAGGGATGGCTTACTTACACGGCGAGGCTTTTGACGGTAGGTACGGATACAGATACGTGATATAGAGAGGTACTTTGAGGTACTTGTCACGAAGCGGGTCAAGGAAGAGGATGGCGGGATCGTGATCTTGATGGGCGGATCGGAGGCAAGGGTGTTGCCTCCCCATTTGAAGGTGTGGGTTTTATCGACACCCATGCAGTTCAAGTGTTTGGGAACCATGAGGCTTGAACCAGTTTTTAGTTTTTTGACTTCTTCTTCTTTCTTTCCCTTCTTCTGGTGGGGTATCTTTTAGAAAATAAGAGTTCCTTTTTTTCCCCCTCTCTCTCTCTCTCCATGTTTTGCGCGGTGACTGTACGGATAGGGCGTCATCAATGGTCAAATTCGGTCTACTGGTCCCCTGTATTATTAATTCAATTCCACTCGTCGATTGGTGGTGTTGGTTAGGTGCGGATGGTTGCCCGGGCCCTCACCGGGTTACATATGACTCGGTGCAGGGTGGCTTCGCTGCTCGGTACTCTCTTGGCCACCCAAAGCCATCTGACCTGCTTGCATCGAATGGAGGGGGCGGAGCTGGCGATACTGCAGCTATCATCGCCGGTTCATGATGTGTCGGAATCAGCGAGACGTACAGAACTGATGCAAAAGGAGCTTCTAAAGTCGCGAGAATCCTCCACCCGGTGAGAGACCTCTCCGACTGCCGCGACATGTTTTTTTCTTTCTTTCTTTTCTTCTTTCCAAGAACGAGGCACGTCAAAAAAGCCCGCGGGCGGAGCCTCGGAACAGCGGCTCACGGCACTCCCTAGCGCCTTCCAGCCTCGGTACTTTGCGCTTCCCGGCGGCACTGGGCTTTCATTTCAATTACTAACGACCTCTGCCCTACCAAACTAGGCAGTGTGGGTGTGGAGGATGCACACCACATATCGTTGGGCTCCTCAAGCCCCGGCAGTCAAGGGATGACACCATGGCCAATCCCTAGCTTGCGCATCTCCGTGTGACTCAAAAATGCGCGCGCCATATGCAAGCACGAGAAACAACACATGGAGGATCGGTATGAGGGATCCACGTAGACTGGGTAGGTAGGAACTGCGGTAGGCATGTTTGACAGAGGTCACCTCCGCCCATGTTGGCTTAGAAATTTCTTGATACATGCATCTGGCAGTTGTCCAGGCTCCCTTGGTGAACGGACCTCGAAGGGAGGCTGACGTGAAGGTGCTGCGCACCCAAGATCTTGCCGCGATACGCATCGACGTAACTGGAGCAAGTCCCGTTCGTCCCGAGAGAAGCATGTACAGTAAGTAGATTGACCGTGGTGAGCGGTGGGCGAGTAGCTGCTGGGTGCTCTGTACAGTGCCAACTCTGTTTGCGCCGCACCAACACCGCGAATGCCCTCTCTTGTTGCAGGCTTTTTTTTTTTTTGTCGTCGTAGTAGACTATACCTCTTGCGACAAGGCCCAATGGCATCATAGGTAGGTAGGTAGGTACATATCTAGGTATGGTCAAGTGGGCTGTTATACAAGTATCCTCCGAGTATCCCGCCCTCACCGTCGTCCAATGGCCGCCACGTTTTTCGACTGCCTTCCTGAACGGCTTTGCTTTAGAATTTCACCGGTGGATGCCTCCGGAAACCTCGGAGTCTCTTCCTTCCACTAACACGCGATCCGACGTACCTAGTCTAGTGTACCTACCCACCACCAGCCCAGAGCCTTCCTGGCTTGGCCGCTCTCGCCTTGCCCTTCATGACGGCAACTCTGTCCTCGCGACCTTGCCTTGCGAGCAGTGACATGCCGTTTTTTTCAGAAATATACCTCGAGGTACACGCCATGGGTCACCCCTCGAGTCTACCTAGAAGGTAGCTGACTTGCTGCTTGACATCCTCTGGCTGCCCCAGAAGGCCGGTCATTTCGCGTCTCATCTACCCACCGACCTTTACCTCCCCCCCCCCCCCCCCCCCCACGAGACGCCGTCCTTGACGTACCTTCTCGCTGTCGCTTTGTACATCGTACCTCACCAAGAGTCTTGTCGCAAAGGACTTCTCTCGGCTTCGGTTTCGCTCGTCGACGGGACCAGCCCAGCTTTAAGTCTTTTCTCTGCCGACTCTCGCCTTACCGGTGGCCATATGTAACCCGTCCTCGCCCACCCCAGGATATCATGGAACTACCTTCCTGCTTCTCTTCCTGCACATACCTATAATAGAATCTCTTCCCTACCACCTCCCCGATCTCGACACCCACCTAGCTTTTAGGCAAGCTCGAGATCCTCTTCCGGGTCTCGTCGGACTCGTCATTACCCTCTTTGTTGGTTTGTTGAATACCGACGTTGTGGCCTGGTATTTCTCTAGCAGCTCTCGGTCGAGAACCGGCCTTCGATGAACTCAATAAGCAAGCAGCTTACCGCCGCCTGGGTCCTGGGCCTTGTGCCACTTGTTCTTGCCCACGACGCTCACCAAGACGGCGTCGCGGGAACGAACATGGACATGTCCCACGCCATCAATGAGCCCAAGCCTAATCCCAATAGCTATCCGCCCACATATTTTGGGCTCGCAGATCATGCGGGCATAATGTACGCCCACATTGGCGCCATGGTGTTCGCCTGGGTCCTTGTGCTGCCAGTTGGTAAGTCTGCCAAGATGCCCGGGTTACTGCGCTGGCTTACACGCGACTCGGCAGCTGTCATGCTCTCAATTGCACGTTCGAGGTATACAATCGCGCTCCAGTTCATCTTCCTCGCCGTGAATGCGCTTGGCGTGCTCCTAGGAACAATCTACAACACTAATACTCCCGATCTCTACCCCAATAATGCGCACCACAAGCTAGGCTGGCTTGTGACCATTGTTGTGTCGGCGCAGGTCCTGATCGGCCTCCTGGGAAGAGTTGCCGGCGCATTGAGCGGGGAGGAGCGCCAGACTTACGACGAGAACGAGTATCAGTACTTCATACCCGTATCTACCGCCGCCATGGCCGAACACCACCGCGTCAACAGCCCTCGGTTCGCCAGCGAGTGCCGCCTCTCTAACGACAGTGGCCAGGGCACCGAGCCTTGTACCGAATCGCTCCGGAGCCATTCCCGCTCTTCGTCTTCCAGCCAAGTGTCCCCGCGCATTTCGGATGATCAACAAAAAGAGTACGTCGAGGATGACGATGATCACGAGGATAGTCTTTCCATGCTCTCGCCGAGAAGCAGCAACGAGAAGAAGGCGAGCCCAGTCCTTGCAAAGATCGCGGGCAAGATTTCGTCGCGTGGGTGGAGAGGTATGATGTTTGTCTACAACTTTGTCGATAGGATCATTCTGCCTCTTGGGTCCGTCGCTCTATGCCTCGGCATCGTGACGTACGGGCGTTTTTTCGTAAGCGACAAACCGCCCAACCGCCCTACGCTTCCGTTGTTGGGGCCTAAAGACTAACTTGGTATAGGAGGGCAACGGCATCTTTAGCGGTCTGGCGCATTGGATCAAGGGCGGCATCTTCTTCTGGCTTGGTTTGTTGACTCTCGGCCGATGGACAGGTAGTTTCGGCGAAGTAGGATGGGTAAGTCGTTATCTCTTTGCCGACTGTGTTCGGACCCGGTTTGCTGACTGTTGCTCCGGCAGGCGTGGAATGTTCGGCCGAAGCGCGCCGACGGCAAATGGCGACCCTCGGCTGAGTTTGTCGAGAGCGCCCTCATCTTCGTCTACGGCTCGACCAACATCTTTCTCGAGCACCTCGGGAACTGGGGGGGAGAATATAGCGCGCAGGACCTGGAGCACATCTCTATCACTGTGCTGTTCATTGGCGGTGGATTGGTACGTTCTGTTCGTGGTGTTGCTGCGCATCAAAGGACGGACTAACAAGAAGCCCAGGTCGGTATGCTCATTGAGTCGAGCCGCACCCGAGATTTCCTAAACACAACTGTCATCAACGCCGCTGCGATCACACCCGAGCGAACCTACGACGAGGAAGAACGAGAGACGCTCCAGCCGCCAAAGCAGTATGAGTTCTCCATCAACCCCATCCCGGCGCTAGTTATCCTCCTCTTGGGAATTATGATGAGCTCGCATACGCAGCATTCGATGGTTTCGAGCATGGTCCACAAGCAATGGGGCAACCTCTTGACGGGTGCTTCCTTCGCGCGCGGCTTGACCTATGTCATCATGTACCTGAAGCCGCCCAAGTCGGTGCTACCCTCCCGACCCCCCACCGAGCTCCTCGCTGCTTTCGGGCTAATCTCCGGAGGCATCATCTTCATGGCCAGTGTGAGTGGTATTCCGATGAAATCCTGGACTCTGTTCGGACAGGACTAACGTTTGTAAAGGCCAGCGACACCATTGAGGGCATGGAGCACTACAACCTGGATGCCATGTTCATGTACACGGTGACCATGGGTCTCGTGGGACTTTTGATGGCGTGGGAGATCATCGTCCTGGCCATCAAGGGCTGGGCGGTGCGCAAAGAGACGGGACGATTATCGTACCTGCGCGCCTGAACAAGAACGCTGGAGAGATGACCGACTTGGTAGGCACCACGGGTAATGATAATATGATGTGATGTGCGTATGTTTGTGTGTACAGAAAAGGCATGGCAATGGCGCAGTCATGGAAGCTTGGGGAGCGGGCGCATTTACCAGCGCATATCAAGGACGCTGTTTACCTTACCTACCCCTAGAGATACCCTTATGACACTGTCGAGCGACCTATACAAGGTTGTTTTAATGAAATTGGATCACCCTCAATGCACGGCTTGACGAAATTGAGCGTAGAGTTGCAAGGTTTGGCGCCGAGTCTTGTACCAACGAATGTACACTTGGCGATGTGTGTTGTTTCTATTCCATCAATACCTGATTACTGGCCCCGGCAAATCTACCGGTAGTTTCTCAGCGCCCACGGCTCTTCGCGGCCCTGAAGCTACCTTTGTTGGCTCGTGCAACCTTGGCAAGCTGCCCGTCTAATATCATTGCCATCGTTGCTGGCGACTGAAGGTGACTGGGGCCTGTTCGTAGAGGATAGTCTCAACTTCAAGTGGCTTCTCTAAGCATCCTGTCGTCTGTACAAATTCCTACGACTTGGGACGCAAAAGTTGTAGACTGTTGCTCCTCGTCTTGAGCGTCGTGGGAATGTAGCCATGGTCCGTGTCTCCTTCGGGAGCCTGCCGCATCGTCTCCAACGACTGACCCATAGTTTCTCCTGTAGTGAAGCATTTCCCGATTCCCCGCGTCCGCGGCATAGGCCCATCCTCGTCGATAAATACAGCATTAGATCCTTCGCCCGAAGGTCGTTCTCGATCCGCGAGCCCCAGTAGCGAAGCGATGGTGGAGCTCAGCCGGAGGACTTTCTCTTCTTCTTGCTCTTGTCCTTCTTCTCCTTCCTTCTGCTCTTGTCCTCCTTCTCTTCAACCTCTTCTGCCGCTGCCTCCGTCATGTCCACGTCCTCATTCTCTGTTGCAGCAGCGGTAGCAGCGGCAGGCTTGACGACGCGCTCCTGGTCCAGGGCCGAGTACAGCGCAGTGCCCTGCTGCAGGGCGTGCACAAGGAAAGGCACCGAGTCGGCCTTGAAATCGTCGGCCTCGCGGACCTTGTCGAGGTCCTCGGCGAATTCCTGGGTCGTCCGCTGAAGGTAGAAGGCGGTGAACTCTTGGGATGCGGCGGTGGTGGCGGCCATTGTGGCCGAGTTTTTCCCTCCTTTGGGTTGTCTCCGTCCTTCCCTTTGCTCTCGTCTTCGAATTCAGCTTTGACTCAAACAGAGCGTCTAGATATATTCTTTGAACACGGGTGGAAGCTGTGCTTCGTTTGTCATGTAGATGGCCGATTAGCATGAGTGATGAGAAGGGATGTCTGCAACTGAGATGACCCCAATGTGATCTTGCTGAAAGAAAGTTTTGAGGTACAGTGTCAAGTTACAGTGTGCGACCCGTACCGCACTAGGTACCTACCTGTATGGCCGCCGTTGCAGGCACATAGGCATCAGGCAATATTACATTCTCATCCTTTTTTTTAACTTTATTTCTTCTCCTCTTCTTAATTGAACTACATACATGCCGTCAAAGTATTCTTAAATCCCAACAGAACTCGCCTACAATCCCCAGAACTGGATTGCTAAGTCTGTAGCAAGCTTGTGATTAAGAAACTCGTATCCACATCCGATATGGTGTAGTGGCCAACATGATGCCCTCTCATCTACTTGAGAGGTTAGGCATAGCCCCGAGTTCGATTCTCGGTTTCGGAAATTTTGGCCCTCTTTACTTTTGTTAGTTCTTGTCACTGCAAGTCTGCAAGCCGTAGAAGACGCAAACAGACACCGGTTTGCTGAACTCCATGCATATATATTACATATACTACATGTTAATTGCTGCACCGCCTGAACCAATAACTTGCAGGACACATGGTACTCATTGCTACTGGTATCTATATTTCTCAATACTCGGTGCAACGTCATACCCCTTCACAAGACTACTGGCCTCAGCAACGGCCCTAGATGTTTAAAGCGGCACTCAACTGCCGGTGCGGGGCAGTCTAGGTACTTTAGCTGACCGAATATTGCACAGGGCCCCAAGAGGGGAATCCCATACGTTGACCGGGCGAATCACTCGCTTACATCTTCCATCTGGAGCAAGCCAAATTGCGACGTCCACGAGACGTGCGGACAACCAGACTTTCTTTGTCAGGTGCTTTTCTCCTAACGATACCCATCGCCTCGGCAAGTCCGGCTTGTAAGAAATTCCACCCCGTTGATCCTCCGATGCTTCCCCCGATGCAGGAACTCCTCATCCTGCACTGCAACCTCACGCCTCTGGACTGTTACACCCTTCCCCCGCATTCCCCGGATTTTGAGCCTTCCCCAGGCGGGGTATTGAAAATTGAGACCACCTTCTCATCCAGGTTTACAGGAGGACGAGCACCCAGTATCTCAAAGCCGTTGGCGATCAATAGTGCGAAAAGTGATGTGCTTGTGGCTTGTCATGGTTGGATTCCACACGAGATAGTGCGTTCTTAGCGCCTCTCCAAGCCCTTCTACTCTTCAGAGTTTGTCCGCAGGTCGCCGACTGCCTGTCAATGTGACATCGGAAAGGACGAGGTCGAGGCCCGAGTTGTCCTCATGATCGGCCGAATGTCTCGCCAGACCCGGAAGGCTACCACACTGCGCTGTTCCCTGACCGACCGGTCAGCTTTGTCGTCTCCTCGGGAGAAGGCAGGTTCCTTGCCTTTTCGAGTCGGGTTTGATAAGGGTTGTGAGGTAACAGTAGAATCAGACAAAATGAAGGCTGTAGTGTAGGCCTTCTTTCGGCTGTTTATTTCGATATCTCATAAGTAAGGTGACATCATCTTGTGGCGGGAAATCAGAATCATGCCTTGCGTGCCTGGCCTGGGTACACACAAGTTTAGCCTCTTCTCTCTTCTACTCCCATCACCAGAGTAGGTAAGGACATCGCCTTGTTCAAAGCTATAGCCCCGTACAAATCAATCTCCTGACCTTTTGCGATTCCCCATCCGGCAATGTCACCGACAGCAACTAGGTTCTTGAGGGGATGTCACATCCGTCTGGGGTAGCTCTCGAATACCGCGATGAGCCGTCTCGGAGCAAGGCCTCCTCCTCGACCCCGCCCCTCTCTGTTGTTCTCTTTGTACTTTGTTCGGCTTCATGTGAAAGAAGGTGACCGTGGTTTCTCTACGCCCAGATAGGCGTAACGATTTGTAACGAGGACAACAAAACATACAGTGGTATTGGAGGCGCGCATTCGTTGTGGGGTAAAGGAAGACCTACCTCCCCGTCCATGTAGCCTCTCGTAAGATTGCGGACTTTGGACGTAGTAGTGCATGTCGTGGATTTCTGACGGATCATACAGAGAGAGTGGTGAAGCTGGAGTGGACGGGGCGTCTATATAAAGCTGCCAACCTCTCCAATGTCGTGATTATTTCCCTTGATTGCACAACACCAGCTCACGCATCCAAATCAAGCTCAAACCAAATTATACATCGCCGCTGATATATCAACAATACCTTGTCTGTCTACTGACCAACATGCAGTTCAAGATCGCCGCCGTTGCCCTCTTCGCCAGCTTTACCGCTGCCCAGGATCTCTCCCTCCTCCCCGACTGCGCGGTACGATGAACTCTATTCTCTCTCTAGACTCGCACCCGGTTTCTGTTAAAGATGGAACAAACGGCACATTTAGCTGATAAGAGACTGTGTATCACTAGCGTCCCTGCTTCGTCGACAACTTTTCTCTTTCTGGCTGCGCTTCGCAGACCGATTTTGCCTGCATCTGCGCGTGAGTTTCCCCGTCCTCCCAAGGAACCTTTGAACCCAGCCCTTTATACTGACAGCTGGGGTGGCATACATAGTTCGAGCGCGTACAACAATGCCGTGACCACTTGCGTGCTGGGTGCCTGCCAGTTTCTTGACGCGTAAGCAAATACCACATATATGGTGACTTCTAGAGAAGCGTTCGGCGACTGACACTTTCCTTTGTAGTCTGGCCGCTCAGGACTGGGCCACCAAGACCTGCAGCAACGCTGGTGTTCCCATCTAAAATAGTGGGGGCAATAAATCATTAATCCAGAGTCTCGGGTTCAAGCTGGTTATGCGTATGTGACGGGCGAGAGCTGAGTCTGTTGCATGTACATACGCCTTTGATGGCTGGGAATCAAGTACATACTTTGAATCAAATACGTGACGGTAATTTATTGAATGGTTGCCCCGTATAACTCGAGGAGGATGTGTGCCGCGGACTGATATATACCCAAGAATCATCTAGGAAGGGTCCGATGCTTGACATCACCTACATCTGAGGCGGCTTAGGTTTATGTCGAAATTCGTACTTCGTGCATTTCAACACGACCTAGAAGTGCCTCTGTGTCCGCAAAACCCCAGATTCAGCAAAATCTACCTTGAATCACATCAAAAGCCCGGGTGGTTAGGTGAAAGCTGTATCCGTCTGCTTCTATTGACACGTTCCCTAACGGACCATCACAACTCACAACCTGCATCCTCGCCCATGCCAAAGGCACGTTGAAGATTCATCGACTGCATCAGTATCTATGAATCTTGTGTCATCCGTAGAGCCAGAGTTCCTGAGCAGGAGTGACTTGTGCAGATGCACTTTATGGATCGGTATAGCCTCAACGTTGCACATAACCCCGGACGTAAACCGAAAGAAACAAGGTGATATGGGGACGTGGCTTCGGCTGGCTTTAATTCGAGAGACGTCTGTACGTCGTTAGTTGCCTCAGTCTGTTTACCATTCGTATATGAGCATTCAGCCGTGCAGTAAGAACGAAGCGTGTCTCAACACACAGTCAGAAACTGCCATGTAGGATTACCGCGATGGACAACAGAAAAATAAACGTGGGACACAGGCCGGATAAGGGCCATCCCTGCCATCCTTTGGGGGGGGGGGGGGGGCAAAAAGAAAAGAGAGAGAGAGAGAGAAAAAAAAACAAGGAAAAAGGAGCCTGGTCGAACATGGCGATTCGAACAGGCCATTTCCCGAGGGGCACAAAGAGCATGTCACGAAGTTTCATCCCATGTATCACGGATGAACGGCACGATGCTCCGCGTATACGGACCACGCGTATGGATAGGATGGCATTGATCGAAGGCCTCCCTATTCTGGACTTTAGTCTGAAGTCCCAACCATCTATCTATTAAGAAACAAAAAGCATAAAATCATGCTCCCGTCAACGTTAAAACTCCATGCGACGAATCCACAGACGCCAGTCATACCTAGCTCCTGAGCCGCTTCGACAGCAACACCAAACTTTCATTTACCGACGCAGGTCGATGCTTGGCCGGGACGAATCGAGACTCGGACGCACGGAGCTGCTCGAGCTCCTGCGACGACGCGCTCGCTGCTCGCCCGGGTCCGAGGGCCGCAGTCCCGACGACTTTGCAAACATGTTGAGGATATCAGTCAGCGAAACCACAGCAGTCAAACGACCAGAGAGATGAGCGCCGGGCATGGCTGCCGCAGGCACCGCGGTGTGGGTTTGTGTAGGAAGCGGCGACTGCGGTGACGAGCCCGACCCCGGCACCAGCACATTCGACGTCGTCGGGGCGAGCAAAGGAGTCGCAGGTGCGGATGGGGATGGGGATGCCGATTCAACCACCCACATGCGGTGAGACTGGGTAGCCACCAGCTTTGCGACGGTGTGCGCCAATGTCGAGTAGGGGTTGACATAAAAGACAGGGAAGGAGTCGCGGCCATGCTCGACACCACGCTCGCTGAGAATGACGGAGATGAAGTGCATGCAGGATGACTTGAGCAGAGGCGCGTCGGCGGCGTTGATGAGGTGCTTGACATCCACGGTAGAGATATTTCCTACGACATTATGGCCGTTGTCGATAACGGCGACGCTCGTGAGGCCCTCGGCGTTCATCAGTGCCAACGCGTCTCCCAAAGGGCTATCGGAGCTGCGAAACGTTAGTGGCGGTCGCGCAAAGTATGGAGTGGTATCTCACTTGACAGCAACAATTTGCTGGGTTCCGATGCCGAGGTCTCTCAAGGTTACGGGATACAGTCTGTCTATGGCAGGGAAATTGATGCCTTCGTTCCAAAAGAACTCAATAGCCTTGAGCTGACTGAGAATACCGATCACATCGCCCGTGGGGTTGGTGACCAGGACGCGATGGATGCCGCTGCCAAACACTTCGATAGCCCGTTCTAGTGTCTCGTCGAAGGGCAGAGTAATAAGCGACTCCTTGCGACAGAGGGGCTGAATATCGCGCAGGGCTATGCGGGCACCATTACGGGCCTTGTTCACTATCTCGTCGTAGAGCGGGACTTGCTCCTCGTCGGGTTTCGCCAGGCCAACAACGATAAGGAGGTACGTGTTGAGGTCGTTATAGTCGAAGGTCGATATGGCGGTTTTAGCCGAGTCATCTTGTCGGATGAGGACAACGTTGGACGGGCTGTGCTTGACTAGGGTCTGGCGAGATGTCAGAAACAGCCTTCGGGAAGAGACACAGATGTTGGGCTACATACCATGGATGCTTCCTCGACGCTAGTGTCGAGGGAGGCCCACTTGAAGTCATCCTGGGCGACAAGCTCGTTGACAAAGATATCGCGCCAGTCGCGGCCGGCGAAGCGCGGATCCGCGTGCTTGTTGGCAGCGGGTGGATGGTTGAGTAGCTCTTGCACGGCAGCTTGAGTGAAGGAAGGGTGACGCTGGGCGCGAGGCGAGCCAGGAGCATTCCTCAGGTTCTCGGCGAAGCTCTGGCGATGGGCGTGGACATGGGTTGCTTTGTGCAGGCTTGTCTGAGAAGGGGTTCGCTGGGGGACTGCAGGAGGCGAAGTGGCGATAGCCTCGTCATTATGTGACCCGGACGCCACTGTTGCGTCCATTGCTCTTTTCAGACAGGATCTTTCCGTTCGTTCCAAGAGTGCTGTCTTCCGGAGCGGTCTGACAAGGTAGGAAGGATAAGGATAGGTTGAGGCGGGGGGGCCTTTTTCGCGTGGCGGTGATGACGTTTGGTGCGTTACTCCTGCGCCTGTGATTTTTTATTTTTGCTGAATACGTTGCAATGGCAGTTTGTACGGTGGTTCAACCCAACGTGGTTTTTGGATTTGGCATTTGCTTTATCAGATTGCTCCCGTCGTCCGTGTATTGATGGCTGAGTGAATTAAATATTGGGCGAGGCGTTGAGAGAAAAGAGGCCGACAGTTGGTTGATTGCGCCCGAGAGCCACGGCTGCCCAGACCAAAGCTGCCGCAGCGTCTTACGTAGACGAAATAGCTATGAATCGCAATGGAGGGGCTCCGATGATCTGATGGGTTCCGATAAGTGACAGTGCCAGGGAATGCATGCGCTTTGAAAAGTTCAGTGTACCACGAGGTAATGTTGCAATTGGCTTGCTTGCTGCTGTCTCGATTCGTGTGGAAGGAAAAAGAAAAAGCAAAAAGAGCTACAACGACCGTATGTCTCGATGCTCGGATGAAGGAACAGAGGAATGGAGGGTTGAATAAGTCGTGTAGAAATCGAGCGCTTCAAACGGCATCGAACATGGCTGAGGGAGGATCCTACCTATTTGCGAATGAGGGGTGGAAGCTGCTGGCAGCTTGGCACAAGCTGAGTTGCTCGCATTGAGGTGCTGAGCATCACCTTGGTAGCTGCGGCCAGCAACTCGCGTAGTGTTGTACGCTCTGGAGACACTGCACCTGACAGACAGGTCCTTTACTAGGTTGATACCTATAAGTAGGTTCCTACCTTACACAGTAGATGCCCAGGGATATGCCGGCACGTCTTTTGCCTTACACTACCCCTCAGTGGACAGCCCAAAGCCGTGATTGGCCTCTTTTCCTCCTTTATCCCCACTATTCCCGAACGGTAGTGCACCAGCGGTCCGGTGCCCCACCTCCCCACTTATTGCAAGTATCCGTATTACCGAGTAAGCTGTATAAATGGATAAGTGGGATACTGAGGCAGGTAGTGAGTACCTAGGTAGGTACCTACTTACTTACCTAGGTAGATTTAGTATTGGTGAAGAATTTCATTCTGATTGACCCTTGCTGTAGACTAACAGCAATAAACTGTGCACGCTTTTGATTACCCTACGTATGATTAGAGCCTAGGTACTTACATTCATACACAAATGATGCCGCAGTCTTGTTGCTTTGTTGTCAACGCTGCGTGTCATGCCAGGTCCCTGGACGCGAGGCCCTGAAGCTATTTACCTATCCACCTATTAAACAGTACGGATACGCTGGATCCAATCCGAAGCAGACATTGTTGTATGCTTCGGCCTCAATTTTGTGGGAGAAACAACAAAAGACTTTGTCTGTGAATTTGGCTGCATGGACACTTGGGCATGGCCGGTGTCGCTCCCAGGGCTGGGAGCTTGGACGAGACTGCAAGGGATCTCTCCTACGGGGAGTTCCTTGTCCAATATGAGCCTTTCGGCTTCATGCATTAGGATCGTTGCATGGTGCAGCTTGCCGCTGAAATTTTCATATTGATGTCTTTTTCCTCTCTCTCTCTCTCTCTCTCTCTCTCTCTTTGGGTTTCATTCTTTGTACTAGTATGCTTCCTTATCTCTTCATCCCCCCCCCCCCTTCCCTGCGTTACTGGCCTATTTGTCCTTTGACAGACGGAATGATCTAATTTGAAACTGGTGTCAACTACCCCTTCGTGGTGGCATCTGTGTTGCTACGGTATGGTCTTGAACAAGTTTGACATGTCGTAGCCTGCCATCCAACACAACAGCCTGTGGGCTTGGCAATGGAGGAGACGCGGACTGTGGCAGTCTACTCGCATTGCATCAAGACCGAGGCGCCGAAATTAACGTGTCAGGATGGCGGTGCCTTATCTCAAGGCAGCTGAGGCAAGCAAAGCAGGCACCTACCTAGGTAGTTTGGCTGATACCTACCACAACCACACACATTTGAACTATGGGTGGAGATGAATGTTCACATGCAATCATGGCCAGTCAAAGGTCCAATACACTAACAATTTCAGACACACGCCACCAACCAACCGTTAAACCAGGTATGTAATGAATGTACAGTACTACCTACCTCAATACCATGGGGCAGTGCGGCAGCAGCAGGCCAGGTGGGCAGCAAAGAAAGTGCCCTCCTCTGCCCATGAGTGAGAGAGCGATCGTGTGGGCGGATAGACAGACAGGCCACTAGACAGACGTGAGTGCCCACCTCCACCAAGAGCCCCGCCAAAAACCTACCAAAATTATTGTCATTTTTTGCTTTCCCCTCCATGACAGGAAAACCCCCCCAGTCCCTCACCATCGTGGACTTGCTGCCTCACTTTTTTGACTCCTGCAAGTTCCTTTGTTTTTCACACCCCCTTCCCTCTCTCTTCCTCTCCCTCCGCAACATCCCTCACCACCATCGCCCCTTTGCCGAAGCATATCATGCTCATCATTGCGACCAGTCGCTGTTCCCAGTAGACTGCATATACCCGCCTTCCTCCCTATCCTCGTCCGACTTGCGCTCGCTTACTTTGGCGCACCAAGGTTTAGGTCGAGAGCCATTTGGAGCTACCGAAAAGGGTAAAAAAAGTACCCCTCAGAACACAACACGCCGAACACTCATCCGCCTCTCCCCGCGTCGACCTACCTCAACGCAACCTTCTTTCGCGCTCCTGACAAACCTCCACCGCCCCGGCTGTCTTGGGGCTGGTAATCACAACAAAAACCGTAAAACACGCGACTTGACCACGACCGACACACCGTCTCAGTCGCAATCATGTCCGTCCTTCCCCCAGACGTCCATGCCGAGCTGTCCCAGCTGCTGCAAGCTCTGCAGTCCCCAGACAACTCCGTCCGAACCCAGGCCGAAGAACACCTCCAGAACAACTGGACCGCGAACAGACCCGAGGTTTTGTTGATGGGCCTGGCCGAGCAGATTCAAGTTGCCCCCGATGCTTCGGTATGTTTCTTTGCCCTATATCTCCACCTTCCAACCCCCTCGCCCGTCCTTCTCCTATCCCCCGTCTTCCTTCGTCTTGTGGCCTGCCGCTGACCACCGTCATACCGCCTTTCAGATACGATCCTTTGCCGCCGTCATCTTCCGCAGAATCTCCTCCAAGAGCCGCAAGAATGACCGCGGCGAGCTTGTCGACATGTTCCTGTCCTTGTCACAGGACCAGGCTGCTGCCATTCGCCAGAAGCTTCTCGAGTGCCTCGGCGGCGATTTCCAGCGTGCTGTGCGGAATAAGATAAGTGACGCCGTCGCCGAGGTCGCTAGACAATACACTGAGAACAGTACGTCGCGAATCTGTTCACATCCCACTTCGCTCCCTTTCCTGGAAACTTGAACCTCACACCATGGCAGACGATTCCTGGCCCGAACTGCTCGGCGGTCTTTTCCAGCTCAGCATCGCCCCCGACGCCGAAAAGCGCGAGACTGCTTTCCGTGTCTTCGCCACGACCCCCGGGATTATCGAGAAACAGCACGAGGACACCATTATCCAGGCCTTCCAGAAGGGCTTCAAAGACGATTCCGTGCAGGTAGGACAAACCCGACATAAGCCCCCGGTCTGGCCTTCAGCCTCCCTGACTTTCAACTAGGTACGACTGGCCGCCATGGAGGCTTTTGCGGCCTTCTTTAGGAGCTTGGAAAAGAAAGCGCAACCCAAGTACTACCCTCTGATTCCCGACGTCCTCAATATTCTGCCCCCAATCAAGGACACCCACGATTCCGAGGACCTCAGCAGCGCCCTTGTCGCTCTTATCGATTTGGCCGAGACGGCGCCCAAGATGTTTAAGCCCCTTTTCCACAACCTCGTCCAGTTCAGCGTGTCCGTGATCCAGGACAAGGAACTCGACAACCTCTGCCGCCAGAACGCGCTCGAGTTGATGGCTACTTTCGCCGACTTCGCGCCTTCGGTGTGCCGGAAGGATGCCACCTACACCAACGATATGATCACCCAGTGTCTCAGTCTCATGACCGATCTGGGTGAGGACGACGATGATGCCGCTGAATGGTTGGCGTCTGACGACGTGAGTAGCTTCCTTGCTCTGGGCGACGGAGGTATGGATATTGACCCGAATCCAGCTTGACCAGGAAGAAAGTGACCAGAACCACGTTGCTGGAGAGCAGTGCATGGATCGCCTCGCCAACAAGCTTGGTGGCCAAACCATTCTGGCCCCGACCTTCAACTGGCTGCCCCGCATGATGACTTCCATGGCCTGGAGGGACAGGCACGCGGCCCTCATGGCTATCTCTGCCATTTCAGAGGGCTGCCGGGATCTGATGATTGGTGAGCTCAGCCAAGTTCTCGACCTCGTTGTTCCTGCATTGAAGGACCCCCATCCTCGTGTCCGCTGGGCTGGTTGTAATGCGCTCGGCCAGATGAGCACCGACTTTGCGCCCAAGATGCAGACCGACTACTACGACCGCGTGCTCAAAGCCATCATTCCTGTTCTCGAGTCCCCCGAGGCTCGCGTCAAGTCGCACGCTGCCGCTGCTCTGGTCAACTTCTGCGAGGAGGCCGAGAAGTCCATCTTGGAACCCTACCTCGACGAGCTCCTTGCTCACCTCTTCCAGCTCTTGCAGAACGAGAAGCGTTATGTTCAGGAGCAGGCCCTGTCGACCATTGCAACCATTGCTGACGCTGCCGAGGCTGCGTTCTCAAAGTATTACGACACCCTGATGCCTCTGTTGGTCAGTGTTCTGCAGAGGGAGAACGACAAGGAATTCCGTCTTCTTCGCGCCAAGGCAATGGAGTGCGCCACTCTGATTGCTTTGGCAGTCGGAAAGGAGAGGCTTGGCCAAGATGCCATGACTCTCGTCCAGCTCCTTGCCTCCATCCAGCAGAATATCACGGACCCCGACGACCCGCAGGCTCAATATTTGATGCATTGTTGGGGCCGCATGTGCAGAGTGCTTGGCCAGGAGTTCCTTCCCTTCCTGCCCAATGTCATGCCTCCTCTTCTTGAGCTCGCCAGCGCCAAGGCTGACATTCAGCTTCTCGATGACGATGACCAGGTCGAGCAGATTCAGCAGGAGGATGGTTGGGAACTCGTCCCTCTGAAAGGCAAGATGATTGGCATTCGAACTAGCACCATGGAGGACAAGAACATGGCCATCGAGCTCCTGGTTGTCTACGCCCAGGTACTCGAGGGCAGCTTTGCTCCCTACGTGGCTGAGATAATGGAGAAGATCGCTCTTCCTGGCTTGGCCTTCTTCTTCCACGACCCCGTCAGATTCAGCTCGGCCAAGCTGGTACCGCAGCTTCTCAGTTCTTACAAGAAGACTTACGGAAGCCCTTCGAACGAGCTCAACGGATTGTGGGCGGCGACTGTTGACAAGCTTCTCGAGGTCTTGACGGCGGAGCCGGCCATTGACACCCTTGCCGAGATGTACCAGTGCTTTTATGAGTCTGTGGAAGTTGTTGGAAAGGAGTGCCTTTCTGCTGAGCATCTCTCTCGCTTCATTGATTCAGTTCACTCTGCTATCGAGGACTACAAAGACCGCGTGGCTCAGCGCCTCGAGGACAAGGAGGGCGTCGCGGCCGAGGATGCGGAAGACGAAGCCGATGATGTCTTGTTGGCCATTGAGGATGATCAGACACTGTTGTCCGACATGAACAAGGCCTTCCATGCCATCTTCAAGAATCACGGTGCGGCCTTCCTCCCGGCCTGGGAGCGTCTGCTCCCCACATACGAGGGTTTCCTGAAGTCAGACGACCCTACACAGCGCCAGTGGGGTCTCTGCATCATGGACGATGTCCTCGAGTACTGCGGCCCCGAGAGCCAAAAGTACGCCAATCTCATTACACAGCCTTTGGTTGACGGCTGCAGAGACTCTTCGCCCGCTATTCGACAAGCTGCTGCTTACGGCATTGGCGTGGCCGCGCACCGTGGTGGCCTTCCCTGGGCTCAGTTCCTGGGTGGTGCCCTGCCTTTCCTCTTTCAAGTTACGCAAGTACCCGACGCGCGGAGCGAGGATAATGTGTACGCAACCGAAAACGCCTGTGCCGCCATTGCCAAGATTCTTCATTACAATGCCGGCTCAGTGCAAGACCCCAACAACGTCGTTGCTCAGTGGATCGAGACACTCCCGGTGACGAACGACGAGGAGGCGGCACCTTACGCATATGCTTACTTGGCGGAGCTGATTGACAAGTGAGTGAACATCCCCCATGATCAAACAGTGCATCGTTGCTGACGTGCGACACACAGGCAACATCCGGCTGTTGTAAACCAGGCTGGCAAGGTTTTCGTGCTCACCGCCCAAGCACTCGAGGCAGACACTCTCCAAGGACAGACCGCAAGCCGTGTGGTAGGCGCCATCAAGGCCCTCCTGTCCCAGGCGGGTGTGGACCCCACGCCACTCCTGCAGCAATTCTCGCCCGAATCTCAACGAGCAATCACGGCGTACTTTTCTTGAGTGTGGAGCAACAGGTTGGAAGAGCTTCAAGTGGAGAACCGGCACCTAACGGGGTGAGCGACATGACGAGGGGGGGGTTGTAGTAGTCGATGATACCATAGGCACTGAGACGAGAGAGAAAAAGTCACTGATGCACCAGAACAGTTGTTCTATACTTGGATAGCTGCCTCGTTCGAGCCAAGTGCCAACCAACACGGACGAAGCTGGGCGGCGGGGAGAACGAGGAAGAAGGGAAAGGTGAGTAGGGTAGGGAGTGAATGTGTGTAGCGAGAAGACCACTTTGGTCGTCTTTTCCCTCTCGCCATCGGTTCCCTCTCCGCTGGCGCCAAAGTAGTGATATCGCATTATGATATAAAGGAGTGGTTGCTTTTGCAGATAGAAATCTACGCAGATATGATATATTCCTCAAAGCTGAGCCGTGCTTATGAGCGAGGTGCCGCGTCATTAGGATTGATACTGATGAGCTGTACCCTGATCTGAGGACCTGTGCCGGAAGTCAAGTCCCGCCTTCTGGAGTTGCCGGTGACATGATTCATTGTCTAACTACGTATCGATAGTGAACGACGGGAGAGAAACAAGACATGCATGCAGGTGTAGTCAACAAGCCAGCTCCATGAAGTGTAGACGATGTAATATGATGCATGTAGGCGATCAGAGGGTCAAAAATCTACGGCAACCCTCTCTGAGTGAACTACTCAATAATAGCGAATGAATATATATATGTATGTATGTATATGGAGATGCCTATAGCAAACATAACGCTGACCGCATTCTGCCCAGCTACCAGAAGCGAGGATAACTCCATGGACTGGAATAAAACGGAGCCATGCTTGTTGGATCCAAAGCGAGACTCGCTATCTGGAATACCGCTTTCGTGGTAGCGTGTTGAGGAATAAGAGGCCAGGCTGGGCTACGGAAACGAGGCACATTATTCAGAGGGGGGGAGAGTGTGGCAGCATTTCAGCCTTTTGGCATTCATGCTCACCCCGGCAAGGCCGGCGTTGCCGGAGAATGGTAGTGCTTGGTCATCTCGCACTGGTACGGATTTATTCTGTCCGGAATACAAAACAGTTGGCAGAGCCAGTCCAGGACACAGCTCTGAGTCACATTGCGCCGGCGGCGACCTTTCTATAAGAGAATTTATTATGGACCGGGTTGAAAACCGAGAGTTTAGAGAATGGGATAGGGATGTCGGATAGAGGACGCGTCTCGAGCGAGCGGCTACGTTACTGACAAGAGACGAGGCCGTAGGGAGGACGAAAAAAAAAAGACGAAAAAAAGAAGACGAAAAAAAAGGAAGATTAAAACATGGGCAAACGGAATTGCCATGTTGCCTGCCTATGCCATTCCAAGGCGGGGGGGAGGGGGGATGGAGATACGAGGTGGGGGCTCGGACGCCCCAAGTCTTGCTTTGGACAGTTTGCTCGTTCCTTCTCTCTTCTTGACCGATCGGCCCAGCTGCCCGGCCTGACACGTGTCTCGACTGTTCCAACGCTGTGAGTCCAGGGAGGCACTGACGGCTGAAAGAAGAGGCCTTGTGGTTGGGTCCGGCCATTGTGGTTGCCCTTTATCAGTGTCGATGTCTTGAGCTGGCTCGATATGCAAGTGTTGCCACAGGCACTAGGTGCAAGAATGGGAAACCTGGACATGGTGATGTATCTAGTGGTTGCGTTGGTTTCCCCATGTTGATGGATATACATCAGCTGCCGTGCAAAAGGCACCACTGACTTTTCTAATCAGTACACCACAAAGTGTTTATGATGCAAGGATCATGCGCAGCTGCCTCACGAGAGCACATGCCAAGACTTGCTTTCCCGGTTCCTGGTCTGGAAAAGCCGCCGTCAACAGCGGCGGGAAGGTGGGAAAGATGGGGCTCGGGGCTGTCGATGGATGCACGTGTGTGCGTATGCGTATGTGTGCCGAACGATAGCAGCTGGAGCTCCTCCTGTTCGGTCTTCCCAGTCGCCCTTGTTGGATAAAGGGACAATAAGACGGGTATTGGACAGAGAGACACATCTCGATGGCTAGAAACGGTGCAAGGGAGCCTTCTGGCGAACGAGACACTATGCCTTGTCGATCCTTGCTTCGTCCGGGTCGTCAAGGGCGCTTGTCACATGGCAGCAGAGGGCTGCTGGCCTATGGAATACCGGTACGTAGTAGGCGGCGTAGGGCCACACGCCGCAGGGCACTGATCCCTAATGGTGGTGTGTAAATGGGTATGTCTGTGTGTGCACATCCGTATGTAGTGTAGGTTCCTTTCGCTTGGTGGATTCCTACCAAGGTGGGAGCTGTTGACCCCGTTGAGGTGGAGAGAAGTAGGCAATTGCTCACTAAAGGGGAGATGGAGTAATGGTGGTTTACCTACCTAGGAGAAGACGAAAAGGCTGCCGAGGCTCCAACAGAACAACGAGGGACGGATCGGTTTCTTATCAGGTTGCGCCGGCCTTTGTTTTCGGAGCCAGGCTGGGCTTTGTGCCGCTCGGGCAAGGAAGGATATGTGCCCTAATTACTAGGTAGGTACCTGTTGCGGATATAAAGGAGAAGGGCGTTTGCAGCCAAGGAGGGCCGATGAGAACCGGATTGAGGGATTGGGATCGTGTTGTATCCATATCCAGCAATCGCATATAGAACTGCGGTGTTTTGAGTTGGTTCCTGGCCGGCTAAGAAACATGATCTGTCTAACCTACCTAACTACCTACCTACCTATGCAAGGGAGGAGGAAAAGGGGCGATGAAGATTGACGATCGGGAGGGAATGAATGGCCACGTCCCAGCTCCGCTGTACCGCTGTACCGCTGTGTGTGCACTAATTACGTTGGCGCTAGCGTGACAAAGACCGGCTGGTGGTGAGGAGGGTGGGATGGAACCAACGGTTCGTTCTGTTGCCCGAGCTTGGGAATGGGAGCATTGCTGGAGCCTTTGGTGTGTCGTCTGCAGCACTTTGCTTGCTATCGGACGATTTAGGGCCGTCTGGAGACTGAGAGTTATGACGACATTGATTTTGCTCGACTAAAACTAACTTTCCCTGCTCAAACCCCTGTTCTGTATTAAGTAATATGCACTGACCACCGTGAGAAGAGGTAGTACCTTTCACTTGTACGGATACATAGGTAGGTAGGTAGGTAGGTCGTCGGTATGTAACCATATATTCGGAGAGGAAGTTCCTACCCTGCCTGTGTTCTGCCTCACACTAGAGGGTCCTCGTCTTGCTCCGGCGTCTCAGCCGCAGCGGTTTCGTCTTGCCCAGTTGTTCGCCTGCATCTTCGCATGGGCCTCTCGATGGCTAGTCCTTAGTCTAGGTAAGTACAGTATTGCTGCATCTTTGGGATCCCCCCTCGTCTGCTTGACTACTTGGGTGTGCCTACCTACATTACACAAGCGTCTATGTATATATACCCACACGAACGATTCTGAAGCAGCCGCCGTGGTCAAAGGTTTTGTGTAGGGGCCGGGAAATGCTTGAAACGGAGCAGGGCACTGAGACCCGGGCCGCGCCCCCATCGGCACCGGCAGCACCGGCGCCGGCACCGCTCGCCTGGAGCCGAAAGCTAGACTCGGGGGGTTGGGATGCATGTTTGAAGACATACATAGTAGCCGCCGTTGATGGCAGTCGGTTTGCTGTTGATTTGCTCGGGCATCGGCATCGGCATCGGCTTTCCAGCTTGCCCGTAGCTGCCTACCTACCTACCTACCAACCTACCTGCGTAGAAAAGGTGAATCAAGCACAGGCCAATCCCGGTGAATGATGGCAGATGCGTAACCGTCTTTGGGCTTTGAATTATTTCTTATCGAACGACAAGTAGAGCGAGCAGGTTGGAGTTGGACTGCCCAAGTACATATCTTCTACGGAGTACTGTATATGGTACCATCTGGCGACCAGGCCTGTACAAATACTGCTGTCTGTGTGCTCTTTGTCCGATGTGGGTGGCTGCCCGCCCGCCCGTTCAATGGCTTTCCGAGTCGATAGTTGGTCGTAGCTCCTCCACTCAGAATGGGGGTGTACGTCTAAGTGGAGCGAATACCGATACTTCTAGGCACTTCTCAGCAGAAAGGACCCACTATGGAGACCCGAGTGCTGCTGGGTACCTGACGCCCATGCCGTCACCATCCCGCCCTCATGCTAAATACGCCAGCCATTTGGGTCTCGGAACACCACCCATTCATTCCACAGTGATTGTCGAGGAAGCCGCACGCATTCTTCAGAAACGCTTGTGCATCCAGCGCCCTGCAGCCGGCATATACGGTACTATGGTACCAGGCCGAAGTTTTATCGCCCCTGTCAGGTACCCCCCCTCCAGTCCGCCAGCTGTCAACGCCATCTACCTATCACCACCACTATAGATTTCTATAAGAGATAGGTATGATACTTAGATACTGTGTGGCGATTTACATCACTAGGGCCATTAAACTTTCCCCTGCCACCCTGTACCTACTACCTACCTACAGGTAGGTACCCAGTAGTGGTGTACACGTACGTGTAGATAGATATACTAACCGACCAACCCACCAACCAACCCAAGCCGGAGCACGCGCAAATGTCCCATTTCGCGCTGTTTGTGATAGCAGACGACGGCGCTCAACACACTCATCTCTCTCACTCAAGATACCTAGACGCTTGAACATTCCTTGCCTGAGCTACCGAACATGTGCTGGTTGTTGACCTTTCGACGCGGGTTCCTCCCAGACGATGGATGCCACCGCACGTGTCACGTCCGAGAAACCTTCCTCTCCCTCCCTCGTTGCTTATCTGTACACGTACTCCGTACGTACGTACGTACATATTGTGTAGTGTACCCAGTCGCCCCATGCTCGCCATTGCGGATACCCTTCGCCGCCAGGTGCAGCATCCGCGGCGCGGCGAGGCTAGGCGAAACCCAGGACGAGGGCAGAGATCCATGCAGCTACCCGTCTGCCGGGCTCCTCTTGCTGATGGAGTCTTCGCTCAGCCTGGCTCTATCCATATACTGTAGTTTGTCCGTACCTTGTGTACATATAGTGATAACCGCGCCTTTCCTGGCGTGCTTGGTCTTATCTCACCCTGATTCCCTTGGGCAAGTTGGAAACTCGACAACCCCAGACAGCAGGGAGCGAGACCAATCTCGAACCCATGAAGACGATGACGATGCACGAGGTACATACTATACCATACCCGGCTTCAACCCATCCATACTTTACTGAGTAAGGTGCGAATGCACTGAATCCAATTTGGATACCGGGTTTAATAAAGTGAGAATAGCCGAAGCTGAAGAATCGGACATGAAAAAAGAAAAGATCCAAAAGACACTAGATATTCGACATTATTTATATTAAATGCCGGAGAAAACACAACCCGGCAATGCCTTGTCTTTCCGCCCTCCCATGTCCTTGCAAGCAGGCCGACTACGTGACTATTATTCGCTTGCCCAGCACGTTACAGCCCAAGGCTCCTCTTTCGGGTCTCTACTCTTCCCCCCATCTCCTTCTCTCTTCTTTCCTTCGTTGCTCTCGTGTCTCTCAACCATAGTACTTACTGCCCCATCCCTCGGGTCGAGCGAACGAAAGAGAAAAAAGATTAAAAGAGAAATCCACCCCCCAGATTGAACAATAACCGCGTCTGTAGTTGCGAGACAGCGGTAACGCCGAAAACTTTCACTCCTCCCAGGGACATCTCTTGCTACCTATCACTGCTGCATAGGAGGTACATCAGGCCAAGGGCTAAGTAGGTAAGGCACTGCGGGCACATCATCGTACACCCACACCCACACATACACACACGCACACCACCACCAACACCCATACACTTTCCTCTCCTTGCACACACACACCCACCTTTAGGGGTGGTATTACAGCGGGCGATCCAAGGCCATTCGCGCCCCCAATTCTTCCCCTCCCCTCCTTTCCACCACCGGCTGCAACCATCGGACCGCCAACATCTCCATCTTCTCCTCCCCGCAATACACCCAATCTGGCTCGTACGACGACTTTCTACCAACATCCCGTCTCAACCGACGGACACCTTCGCCCACTACTCAACGCAATCCCACGACACCATCCGCCGAAGCCGTTATTTCTTCCTCGCCGAGTCAACGACCGCGCCGCTCCATTTCGTCCTGGACTAAACCGAAGTTCCCGACGCATCGCGATACACCACCGGAACGATATTTAATCGCCCGACCTGCTTTTGCCACGGCGAACAACCTCCTCCCCCCCAAAGCCAACCCTCCCATCTAGATTACTCGACAGTCCTATAGATTCTCAGCTGGATAATCCAGGGTCGCAACGGAACAGCACATCCCCGACCGGATGCACAAGTGGCACCATTTAAGCCGGCGCCTCGGAAGAGAAAAGTACAAGCTGGACGGCTGAACAGCCCAGAAAAAAAAAATCACTTCTACGACTTTTAACCCCACCAAAATTGGCCGACAATCTTGGACCCTCATTCACGAGAAAGTCTCTCCGAGACCGATGCGCTCGCCATGGAGGCCTTCTACTCACAGCTTACTCCCCAGGAGCTACAGCGACAGATGTCGCAACAATCTCAGCAACGCCAGATGCAGGGTGCAGGTCAGACCGGCGGCCACGGCTACCAGCAGATGAACCAAGGTCACGCCATGTCCATGATGAGCGGTGGCGGCAGAGGAGGCAACACGGGCGATTCTCTCGACGACATCATCCAAAGCAATCATCATGAACTTCAACGTCGTCGCAGTATAACCCAGTCATATATGCCCTCGAACCAGACCGGTCAGAACGGGGGCCCTAGCAGAAGAGTATCCATGATGGAGTTCGGCGCCGACGATAACCAGATGCTCAACTATCCTTTCCAGAACCCGGCGATGAACGCCGACTTCACCATGGCTAGCCCAATGGGTAACGGTATGGATAGCCCGATGGGTAACGGTATGGATAGTACCATGCCCAATAACGTTGGGGCCATGGGCAACAATGTGCCTGGGAACATATCTGTACCGGGTCCCATGGATGCATACTCCGCCCAGGACGCACTGCAGATGTCGCCAACGAACGCTTTCACCACCTTTTCACCCGACATGATGCGCTCGATGATGCCGCCAAACTACTCTGGCATGTCGGTCTCCGCCATGCCTACAACATCCGGTATGAGCATGTATGCTCAGACCTCAATGGCCAACGCGTTCCCGACACCCCTCAATACAAACACTGCCGATATGACTATGGACCTGGGCACTGATGAAACACCCGGAACTGCAACACACAGTGCTCTCGACACTCCACTGAACATTGATGATGGAGACAACGACCCTATGAATCTGAACCAGCAATACCAGCCGTCGGGAGACAACTCATCTGGAGCCAACGGCCAGGCTCTGAACTTCTCGAACGGTCCTTCGCAGACAACCCGATCCTCATTATCACGCGAGATGTCGAGCAACTCAGGCCAGACATCATCACAATCCCCTAACAACCGATCCTCTTCAATGGCAGCGAGCCAAGTAGCTGCTGCACCCCCCACAGCAGAGACTACTCCTGTCATGGGACCCGAGACTCCTCGCGCCGAGTCCAAAGAGAAGAACGTCTACTCCAAGAGCGGCTTCGACATGCTTCGGGCGCTATGGTATGTAGCGACACGAAAGAACCCAGAAATTCACCTGGGTGCCGTGGATATGTCCTGCGCGTTCGTTGTTTGCGACGTCTCATTGAACGACTGTCCCATCATTTACGTCTCGGACAATTTCCAGAATTTGACGGGCTATAGCCGCCATGAGATCGTTGGTCAAAACTGTCGGTTTCTCCAGGCACCCGACGGCAAGGTGGAGGCCGGCTCCAAGCGAGAGTTTGTTGACGACGCATCGGTGTACAATCTGAAGAAGAAGATCGCCGAGGGCCGTGAGGTTCAGCAAAGCTTGATCAACTATCGCAAGGGGGGGAAGCCTTTTCTCAACCTCTTGACCATGATCCCCATCCCCTGGGATGACCCCAATGAAGTACGTTTCTTCGTCGGCTTTCAGATCGATCTTGTAGAGTGCCCGGATGCCATCGCTCAAGGCCAGGAGGCCGGCGGCGTCAAAGTCAATTACAAGCACAGCGATATTGGCCAGTACATCTGGACACCACCGACTGTGAACACAGTCGAACCCGAGAATGGACAGACGCTTGGTGTCGACGATGTGTCCACACTGCTGCAGCAGTTCAACCCGAAGGGCGTAGTGTCTGATTGGCACAAGCAGTCTTGGGACAAGATGCTACTGGAGAATACTGATGACGTGGTGCACGTCCTATCTCTCAAGGGGCTCTTCCTATACCTTTCTCCGTCCTGTAAGAAGGTGTTGGAGTACGACGCGACGGAATTGGTTGGCAATTCTCTTTCAACCGTTTGCCATCCGTCAGACATTGTTCCCGTAACCCGAGAGCTAAAGGACGCCACCGCTGGCAACTCGGTCAATATAGTCTTCCGCATCAGACGGAAGCAAAGCGGGTACACGTGGTTCGAAAGCCATGGCTCACTCTTCTTTGAACATGGAAAGGGTAGAAAGTGCATCATTCTGGTAGGAAGAAAACGGCCCGTCTTCGCCTTGAGCCGGCGAGACTTGGAGGCACATGGGGGCATCGGCGATAGCGAATTATGGACAAAGATCTCGGTATCTGGCATGTTCCTCTTCGTCTCGTCCAACATCCGATCTCTGCTCGATCTACAGCCAGACACCCTCATCGGTACCAGCATGCAGGAGCTGATGCGCAGAGAGAGCCGCGCCGAGTTCGGTCGCGCGATTGAAAAGGCAAGAAGGGGTAAGATTGTTACATGCAAGCACGAAGTCCACAACAGAAGAGGCCAAGTCCTTCAAGCACAAACAATCCTGTATCCCGGAGACGCCGCAGATGGCCAGAAGCCGACATTTTTGCTGGCGCAGACCAAGCTTTTGAAGGCTTCGTCAAGGGCCATCGCACCGGCGGCTACACCGCCTGGCAGCGTCAAATCCACTTCTCAGGCCGTACCAAATTCGCACCCCACCCAAAACACGGATTTAACAAAGACTGGCCCTGTGTCGGTACCAGGCGGTAAGACGATGCCGGGCTCGCAGGAGGCAGCTCTGGCCTCAGATGACAACATCTTTGACGAGCTTCGGACAACCAAATGCTCTAGCTGGCAGTTTGAACTGCGCCAGATGGAGAAGGTCAACAGGATCCTTGCCGAGGAACTGGGTGGTTTGCTATCGAACAAGAAGAAGAGAAAGAGAAGAAAGGGGGTTGGCAACGTCGTCCGCGACTGTGCCAACTGCCATACACGTAACACGCCCGAATGGCGCAGAGGGCCTAGTGGTCAAAGAGACCTGTGCAACAGTTGTGGCCTGCGATGGGCAAAGCAGGTGAGAAGCACTGAGCCCTCTGTAGTGGACGGACCGGAGGATTACGATATTAATCAGGAATAGGTTGGTCGGGTCTCGCCGCGTAACTCGTCCCGAGGGGGTGGAAACACCAACGCCGACGCCCAAAGCAAGAAATCGAACTCGCCTATACACTCGTCCCAGCTTCAAAATGAAGTCAAGGCTAGGAGCAGCACGCCTGCCCGGCCCAGCGAGGGATCATCTGGCAACACAACGCCCGCCACTACGGTTTCCATTTCCAAAAGCCACAACAATATGCCTCCTCCGAGTCAACCTCTCCTGGAAGGCGGCAGTAGCGGCGGCATGACATCGATACGGGAGTAACCAGAGAGGCCGACCTGTGGCGACGCAAGCATTTTACATTATTTCGGCTTTGTCTCCCATTATTCTCATTTCGATCGCATTTGACCCTCAAGATACCACTTTTTTTCTGCTTCTCTGCGTCTTCCTTGTTGTGGTTGGCTCATTGCCACTCCGTGGTGCCGGCGTCACATCAAGGGGGGCGGAGTTGGCTGACGGATCTTTTTTTCTTTTTAACCCTTATTCTTGACTCAATATCTGCACAAAAACAAATACGAGGCGCTCTCGGAAAGGTTGGAATCACGGAGCATTTTTCTAACGGTGGCTTGAGGTCACCTTCACGGCCGGAAATGAACAGCTTTTGACATCATGTCAAAATCAATCTGGGAGAATCGGCATCTTTGGAGCTTTCCTCACGGGAGGAGAAGGGAGAAAAGCGGTCTTCTACTACTGCGGGAAGGTTATAGGGTGGAGGTCTAGGGATGGAGGCGCTGTCAGGGTCTAGAAATGGGAGCAAAGCGATCAAACAGTTATGTGAGGCTGGTTGGAAGCAGCCGTTTTCATCGTCACCTGTATCTTATTTACTTTGTCGATGCATCCTCGGCTTAGGTCTTTGGCCACTCACCACGATGTGATATTTAGTCGAATGAAACATCCCCCTCCCAAATTAAGATTCTGTCTGATCATCAAGGTGTGAGTGCGGGTTTAGTCACGTAGTGCATTGATTACTGATGCGGTTTCTTTGGTGAAAAGAGACAGCGTCTACATGGAAATCGTCACGAGCAAGACAAGTGCGTGCCTAGTTTGGATGGGGCAGTTTATGCGACAAGTGTGATTTATTTGTGTTTATTTTCTGTAGCAAAGTCTTTTTCTGCCGCTCCTCTCGGCTGTCATGATACCATCCTCATTCCGTCTTGCCTGCCACCTGCATGATCCAAACGCCGTTGTATGTACAGATGAGTTGTTTGTTTTGTGCGTCTGAGAGTAGCAGAGGCCGGAGATCAAAAGGCAAAACTAGAAAGGCGCAAAAGAAAGGGGGGGTATCTCAAGTCACCGTCATCCGTGTCTCGTCGAGTAAACGGCGAAACGAAAGCAAAGAAAGAAAGAAAAATGCTCTCGTGGCTTCCGCTGTTTCACCGCCTCGCTCCTCCCAGGAAACTTCTCATGATTCGTTTCCCACCATGAAGAACAAACCAGAGAGAAAGAAACATAAAGAAAAGTAGACATGAGACTCAGCAAATCATGACCCAACTCCGTTGAAACAACCGCCCTGAAATAGACAAAACCCACTGTTCAGCTCGAAATCGAACAAGTGAACAAATTCACTCCAGGGAGCACCTCTCGTAGATGCCAAAGGAGTAGAGAGTGAGATGATGATGATGATGATGATGATGATGGAAATTTGGTTACCTATGCCAAATCGAAGGACGCCAAAGTGAAAAAGGACTGTGTGGTATGCGGGCAAATGAGTGCGAGGGCCTTGTCTCATGCCCAGGCAGGCGCTGGCTAGTAACCGTGTCTTCGACCGAAGCAGGTAAGAGCCTCTTGTTTCCGGGTTAAGCCATCTTTCAGGCCGTTTCCCCTCTCCAGCATAGCCTCTCCTTCGAGAAGCACAAGGACAAGCGGGCAATCGATTCTGATAAACAGAGAAAGAAAAAGAAGAGGGAGAAGAAACGCAAGTGCTACCTTCCGGCGAACACTGGGCGCGCGATGATTGTGTAGAACAAAGTGTCAGCCTAAGACCAAGAAGGTGAGGTGAGGGGGATGGCAGAATCCTTTGCCAAAGCCGCAGTATAATCATAGCCTCCCAAGATCTGCGAGGTGTAAGACTGTAGGGAGACTTTGTACTGAGAAGAGGCCATGTAACTTTGAGCGAGTTGCTGCACATACGTAGGGTAGTGGTCGGTCGCGCCGTGAGCGAAGGACCCTTGAAGGCTGGGAATGGATGTTGATAGATTGGCAGGAGAAGCCTGCGCAGGCTGAGCAGCAGGCGTGGGTGCTCGTTCGACGGCGGCAGCAGTCTGCGGAGGAATAGTGCCAGACCCCGAAGTGTCAACCTCGAGGAGGTTGATAATCTTGGTCGCCTTTACCGTCTTGCTCCTCTTGAGGTAAGAAGAGCGCGAAGATGCTGCGGCAGACGAAGCAGGATAGAAGACTTGGTCCTTATTCAGATCGATCAAATCTAGGATGAAGCTGTCCAAGGGATGGAAGCTCAGGCGGCCGGTCCACTCCGGATCGTTGATGAAGGAAGGGTCTCTCCAGATAGAATGGGCGCTCTCGGCAAACGAGTAAACCTCGACAATCCAGCCTCTTTTCAGAGCCCTTATGACGAAGCCAGGGAACCCACCCGAGAACTCGCCCACATTGCCGTCTCCGGTGGCAAGAACCATGATGCCGGGGTTCTGGTCCAACAAGCTTTCCGCCATGCCGAGATGGACAAGCTCATCGACTCCTTGCTCGCGCATTTGCATTCCCTGGAACTCATCCTCAGAGTCAGAAGAGGTAGGAAACTTGCGCACTCGATCGAAAACCTTGGTCTCGAATCCGAGGCATCGTGCTTGAAGAAGATACTGTGGCTCGACGCCCATCTTGTTTCTTGAGCCAGCAATGAAGCGCCGGCCGACAGGCCTTCCACGCTCCAGCACATCCCGAAAAGCAGAAAGGCTGAAGAAGGCCGGCAAATAATCCTTCTTGTCCATGCCACGCCTTTTCTTTTCAGCGTTATAAAAGCTGACGGTGATGTTGGAGCCATCGTAGAATTCGTGGATACCATTGGCGTACTGCTCCGGGAAGTTATCTCGAAGCGACTGGTCGTGGGCACCAAAATGTCGAATAAGACGGGCATTCAAAGGCTCGTCGGCGGCCGGGCGAGGTCTTTTAATGATTTGTTTCTTCAGCAAGCGCTCGCCAGCAAGATCCAGGCCATCCGACGAATCCGGAGAGGAAGCTTGGTGGGCGGAAGGAGTGGCGGGAGGCGTAGTGATGTCGGACAACGGGGCCCCGCCGTCACGACGCAGGTCGACATGATGGAATTCACTGGTGGATGGTGCCGACTCCGAATAGCAAAGAGAATCACGCGAAGCGACAGAGAGGGGCGGCGATGGCGGGAAGCTGGTCGGGGCCTCGTCATAGGTCCGAGGGCTGGTGCTTGTGGTCATGAGTTCAGGCTTGGGAGTGGCAGGCTTGGGCGTCTTGGCCGACATCAGCGCCGGCTCCTTAAATCCGTTTGAGGCGATAGTTTCCCTGATAACATGGTCCGGAATGAAGAAGAGGAGGCGCGGACTTGGGGACTGGCTGCGAGTGAGATTATGAGGCTGAAGTGAGGAGAAGGGCGGCCGGTGCACTTGTTCGGTGGAAACGGGGGCTGGAGTTGAGGTGCAAGAAGGCATGTTAGAATGAAGAGAAGCAAAGATTCTTGAAAAATCTCCGAGGGTAGTGGATGTGGGCGCGGGTGAAACGCTAGGAAGCCGAGTTTTTGTCGATGTCTTGATGACGGGACTAGCAGGTCGATGCCTGTGGCGAGGCTTCCTCCGAGAGAAGAGAGAAGAGGCCATCTCGACAGGTTTGCGGGCGTCCTATAGCATAAGAGAGAGGCGAGAGATGTTGAATGAATGGTGTCAGAGCACAGTTCCAGGAAATGTGAGACTGGGGAACGTTGAAACCCTCTTGAAAGGGGTTGAGTTGGGATGTGTGCCGGGTTTCTGAAGGGGAGGCGGTGGGTTTGGAATATGCTGCCGGAGGCCAGGGTGTGAGAAGAAGAAGGTTAAATGGCCCAAAGTAAGAGAGGACCCTCTGTTGTTATAATCCAGTGCCAAAAGAGGTAGAGAAAGACCGGGAAAGAAAGAGACGGGGATGTAAGTTGTCGTAACCCAAAAGCAGCAGACTGCGGTCGACCCGGGGTGGTACCAAAAAGAGGCGGCGAAAGTTGTGGCGGAATGCCAACCCGGAACGGCAGTAAACCAGAAAAGGAAGGGGGGTCGCAGAGAACAAGACAGAGAGAAGGGGGGAGAGAGAAGAGAAAAGCCGTGAAGGTAGATGGTCGGCTCGCTACAGCCGGGAGGCGGTGGTTTGATGATGAGGGTGATTTGTAGTTTGCGGTGGGAGGCAAAAAAAGGTGGTGCGGAGGAAGAGGAGGCGAAAGGTGTGGGTAGATGAAGGTTGAAGTCGGCAAGTCGAGAACGTCAGCAAATCAATTAGCCGCGCTGAGGCTCATTTAGCGTGTCGAGACTGCATGAGAAGGTAAGGTAGGTGAGGTAGGTAGGTAGGTAGGCAGGCAAGTTAGTACCGGTAGTGTAAATAGATAGACTCGTAGATTGCCCAAAGGAAGGACCCGATCTCAGAAGTACAATATGGGGCGGGGCGCGGCGCAAGCGCAGCACGGGCCAAGAACGTCCCCGGCGGCGGGCAGGCCAACTCTTGGGCCTGGGCTGCTACAAAGCACCACTAGTGTGTTGTGCACCTCAGGTACCTAGATACCTAGGTACCCAAGGTTATTGGGCTCAGGGAGCAAATCAAGAGGCATCACTCAAATCAACGTAGGTACCAGAGGGGGGGAGGGGGGCTTTAGCCATCATTCTGCTGCGCTAGAAACCCCCTATTTACTTACGTAAGAGGTCGGTGCACATCCAGTCGTTCATCCTGTGTAATAGCAAGGACCTCCAACTCTTGATATCGAGCCACCGCCACTTTTGTACAAAACTCAGTCGCCGCTTTCTTTCCTACCGAGACAAAGAAGCTCGTTGCCACCTCCCCGCGGAAGGGGGGGGGACACGAAAAAAGCACGAAAAAAACACAACGAACAAAGGCCTTTTTGCAAAGAAACGGCCAATGCTGAGTTGACTGCCCGTCCAATTTCTAAGTGTATTATTGATGTACAGTGAATCATGAAATCCTTGGAACATACAAGGTAGAGTTGGTTGTTGGTACACTGAGCAGCCCTTTGTTTCCGTAAACTCCCAAGCCGGCAGTGGAATAAGAACGAAAAAAAAAGAAAAACAAACAGAAAAAGGAAGGTATCACAACACCTCCAATCCGCCAGAATCCCCCCCACACACACTGTGCAGAACGATGTTTGGCGCTGTAATGGAGCATCGGTTCATACATAGGCCGTGTCGGTTGATCATGCAACGCGAGGCTTGGACGACCGCAGGCTCGAGTGGGCGTGGTAAATGTTGTCGAGGTAGTTGGCCTTCCTTGCCTCTTCAGCCCGCTCGGCCTCCTCGGCACGTGCCCTCCTGGACTTGACTCGAGTACGGCGCTGCTCGGCCATGAGGCGCTCGTACTCGTCCACGTCGCCGTCGTCGCGCATGCTGTTGGTCTCGTGGGCGTGGCTCTTCCAGTACAGAGCCCACGAGTCGCTGGCCCATTCGCGCAGCTCATCGCGGGTCTCGTCCTTGGTCATGTCGTCAATGGCCATCTTGGTCTTCAGTTCCTTCTGCTTGGCGACGGAAAAGGACTTGGCGCGGGCGGTCCGGTCCGATAGCCACGCCGGGTTGCTCTTGGCGAGGTAGGCAAGGCTGTGGCCCGAATGGGCATTTTCCGGAGCGAGGCCATGTTGGGGACGGGCGACGGGCGGTGTGGTGAAGAAAATGATTCTGCCGCTCTCGTCCGTGTTGTACCGGCTGCGCACCGCCTCGGGGATCTGGTCGTTGACGGCGTCGGGCAGCGTAAAAACCTCGGGCGGCCGTGGCGGGTTGTAGCCGTTGTTCTGCTGCATGGCGTTGGGCGTCGCGGCCATGGGGGTACGCGCTGCGGGTGACGCGTGAGGCTGCATCGGGTGGTGGTTGTAGGTCGGGCCCAAAGGGTTTGCTGGCATCATTTGTGGATGCATCTGGTGGTGTGGCTGCTGCTGCTGGGGCTGGTGGTGGACTGGTTGGTGGTGGTGTTGGTGCTGCGGGACGGGCGCTTGGGCCTGATGGTGGTGGTGCTGCTGCTGCTGCTGATACTGGTGCGTGTGCTGCTGGTACTGCTGAAACTGGGGCGTCGGAGCCGCCGTGGGAGGCTGGTGGTGCTGGTGCTGGTGCTGGTGCTGGTGCTGGTGCTGTTGTTGCGGGTGGGGGTGGTGCTGTGGATGCGGGTGTGGGTGCTGCTGGTGCTGTTGAAAGGGACTTGGAGCGAACCCCTGCTGCTGCTGCTGCTGCTGCTGCTGCTGGAATATGGGACGGATTGGCTGCTGCGGAGAGTGAGACGCCTGGTGAGGTAGTTGGGGGAGAGGCACCGGCGTTTGATGGGCCACTGTTACTGGTGAAGCCGACGCATGCTGAGGCGTGTACTGCTGCTGTGCGTAAATGGCTGGCGATGGCGACGGGCCCCCTCCTCCCATTCCGTGCCCGTAAGACGTAGGAGGATTTCCCATCGACATGTCGCTTGGCGTCTGCCGCATCGCTTGAAGGACCGAAGGACGCCGCGCCGCGTCTTGTGCCAGAGGCGGCGGCGGCGGCGGCGGCGACGGCGTTGCTTCAGGAGGCGGCGATTCCTGTACCGGCAAACGTGTCTTGTCAGTTACGTGAAAACGACACCAGGCAAAGAGAGCAGGGCATTGCGAGGGCCTGAGAGCAAGCAAGCAAACAAACAAACAAGATGGATAAAAACAAACGGGGAATCCCTTCCTGCCCCAGATAGATAAACCAAATGAGCGTGAACCAAGGGAAGGGTGAAGCGAGGGTGAAGTGAGAGTGAGAATGACAGAAGCAGGAAAAATTGGTCGAGGCTTGGCCCGTAGTAGGACGGGTTGCAGTGCAGGGTGCTGTTATTCCCTGCCCCCGCCGCTCCCTTTATCTACCTGTACTGGATAGCGGAAGGAAGAGATTGAGGGTGGTGTGTGTGAGTGAGTGTGTGAGTGTGTGCCATTTGACCGAGGACGGTTGTCCGTCCACCACCTGCACTCAGGCGGCACGGCAAGGCTGTGTGTGCATCATATGCGAAGGGATGAGAGAAGGGTGAGAGGGCCACTGGGCAGGCCTGTCAACAACAACAACAACAGCAGCAACCCACACACTGTCTGTCAAAGTTCGTGTAGAGAGCAGGATCGGGCAAGCCAAATCGACATCACGACTTACGTTTGCTTCTCGAGGCCGCCGATGCACGGCACCGATAATAGGCGGTGCGTTTGCGGCACCCCATGTCGGTTTGGGCAGCTCGTCCGTTTCCTTGGCGTCTGCCTGCAGCAGGTGTTTGATCGGGCTGGGCACCTTCTTGAGCCGCCGCGGCTGGTCAAACAGGTCCATCTGGTAGTCTCTCTCGCGCACCTCGTCCGGCACGCAGCTGGTCCACGTCTTGATCTTGTTGAACCGGCACGTCGCCTCGTTGTACCGAGACTCGCACACGTACACCTCCTTGTCCGCCGGCAGCCCGCGCGGCCGGCCCTTGTTGAAGCGCGTCACAAACATGACGAAGCAACGGTCGAGCACCTCCTCGATCTGGTGGTCGCGGTACTGGCCCGTCTTGGCCACTTCGTTCTCGAAGAAGTGCTTCTCGTACCTGTGCACCGTCTGCTCCGGTCGATAATACCAGCAAGCGTTGATCCACCGCTGCCCCGCGCGGTCCTGCCAGGTGCGGAAGATCTGCGCGACGATGGGCTTGGCCATGTCGTTGACGTTGCGGATATGCACCCAGTCGCCTACGGGAAACCTTGTCAGCCACGCTTACTTGTTGCTTGCCATCTTGACCGTCCGTGGCCACGCGCAGGCGGATCAAAGAAAGAAACTGAAGAAGACTAAAAAAAAACTCACCCACTCGCCATAGCTGGCCGTTGTGCTGAATCTCTAACAAGGGCAGCTTTCCGTCCTCGTCACGGAATTCGTCGTCCGGTCTTGCCTTCTCTTGTCTAGCTAGCTCACGCGCCTGCTTTTGCAACTCGACGGCGGCTTCGTAGATGTCGCTGCCCTCCTCATTGTATTCCTTGGCGTTGTTGAACATGAGGTCGACGTCCTTGAGCACGTCATCCACAGTCGCATACTTCTTCCTCTTGGCCTTTCTCTTGATGTTGTCCAGCGCAATCGGGTTGAGAATGACCTGGTAGTAGTCCGGGTTCGCAGCCTTGTCGGGCAACTTCTCAAAGGGACCAATGAGCAAGTCGCCGTCGCCCGACTGAACCTTGCGCAGACCCTTGATGACATTGTGAATACGAGCCTCCAGGGGGGTCAAGACCTTGGGGGGACGGCCGCGCTTCTTATGCTCGTCCTCCTCTCTGGCTTCTTCGAGCCGCCGCTTGGTGAGTGAAGTCTGGCCGCGCCTCCTACTCCGACGTCGCTTTCCGTCGTCGTCAGAGTCGTCGTCGTCGTCGTCTTGTTCCTCCTCATCTTCGTCCTCCTCCTCTTCATCTTCGGATTCGGCCTCCGGAGAAGAATCTTCGGCAGGTGGAAGCTCGCCAAGGTCTGGCAGCTCAGCCTCCTCCGGTTTAACGGTGCCCTTTGCGACAAGTGTCTGAAGCTCCCGCTTGAGCAGATCTCGAATCACAGTGGCGCTCTTGAAAATGGCCGAAGAGGAGCGGTTGTATACTTGAGCGTTGTGGCAAATCTGGGCGACATCGTGAACGAACTCGGAGAAGGCTGTATACTGTTTTTTCTGGATTTTGTGCTGCACGAGATGATTAGCCGGCTGGGCCTGGTCTCGTCACTCCTCGGACGGGTATTACGTACGCGGATCGTGCTAAATGCGATGGGGTTCTCGATGATCTCGAAATAGTCGGGCAACTGGCGCTTGTTCGGAATGCGCTGGAAACTAGCCGCCAACCATTCTCCACTGCAACAACTACTATCAGCAAGGCGACGCGCAAGACACTGCGGCTGTTCAAGACATACTCTTCGTCCTTGCAGTTGCTGAGGGTTGTGTTGAGAGTCTGGATGACATCCAGGAGGTCGCCAGGCTCGGATTCCACGGGTGACACGGCGCCGTCATCGGGGTCTCCATCGGCGTCTGCGTCTGCGTCTGCGTATGCGTCTCCGTCTGCATCCGCATCCCCATCGGCGTCTGCATCGACATCTGCTTCACCGTCGGCATCGGCATCTGCGTCGAGGGCGGCGGCGGCATCATCAACATCCATTTTGTCAGGACCGCCATCCATTTTCGCAGTGACGGTCGGTTCAGTTCGGTTCGTATCGGTGGGGTTGGAATCCGGGGCGTCAGTCATGTCGACATCATTGGTGACTTTGGCCTCGATGGACTCGCGCACTTCGGGCGCGTCGCTGCGCGTCGCCATGGTGGGAGAACTACACCACCCACAGGTGGCGGACGGGCTCAGGCTCGGGCTCGAGCTTTAGAGGGACAATTGGGGTCGCAGGGGGTCTTTAGAGGCACTGGGTCCTTTGTCACTACAAGCCCGGGTGAAAAACGAAGGCAAGAGCTTGTATCGCAAAGGACAAAAATTCGAGACCAAGGTCCTTTTGGAGCTGAGGAATTGCAGGTTTACGAAGGCAGTGTGAGACGGGAGGTGGCCGGGGTGCGACAGGTACAAGTGGTGCTGTGCTGTGCTGTGCTTCGAGGGACGTTAGTTAGCAAGCAAGGAGCCCGGGGGCTGGTGGTGCTCCTGTTCGGGCCCACCTCGGCTAACTACCCACCACGGGGGTGGCCGATTGGTCGAGAGACAATGTCTGCGCCAAAGTAGGCCTTGATTGGCCGCGCGCTTCTTCGTCGTACCTAGGTAAAGGTAGGTCCCTATGTACCCGTACCCAGGTTGCTTTTGATAGAAAAAGAAGACGAAAGGAGGAATTCAAAGTCTTCTTCGTCGTTTTCTGTTTGGTGTTACTCTCAATTGGAATATCATATAAAGATTTCACCGGATTTGGACCTTCGTTCCATGTTCGGTTCCTTCCTCATCGACCAAGACCACACATCTCGTACGACGCCTTTCCGGGGTAAGGTGCCAGTTGATGGCATCCCACTACCTTGTTGTGTGTGCTCTGCAAGGCTTCGTTGTTCAGGGCCTCTACACGATGTATTTCAACCTCCAGGGCATGCCCATTCGCCGCCCCTGTGCCCAGACCTCCAAGGCATCGAGCACTAGATTACCTAAGCAACGAGATCGATATGGAACAAAGAGGATGGCATCTTGACCCTGGAGCTCCGGGACAGGACGTAGCAGCTCGAACAAGCAGCGTCTACGGATACCTAGGTAATTATTGGGCTACTTCTCCACCTGATAACAAGGAATGAGGACACTGCAGCCGCAATCAATCCCAGCACGGATCCGGCGTCATTCCTTGATCGTCACGTTGGACGAACTGTTGCCCTACCGGGGAGAAAGCATAATCTGAACCAGCTGCAGGCCCATGCCTACACTACACTCGCTACACTATTATTGCCTACTATTCCACCGCTCCACCCTCAGACAACACACTGCTTCCATCCTCTCTCAAGGTACTGATTACTTCACATACGCGGCCACATCCGAGCCACTGTCAGGACCTCACTTCCTAAGCGGGGAAGCTTCTGGTACGTCTCAATTTTCCGCGACACTCTAGTCGCTGCGCATCAGCCATTGCACATCTCGTATAAGAGTCGGGCGCTTTGTATCGAAGCCCTGGTTTCACTATCAACGCTCGAGGCTAGCTGCCTCTCTCATTCAACTATATCGTCCTACGTACGGCTCTCAAAGACCCCGGTGCTCCCTTGCGATAAGATAACCAACCCCCGCGGCACTACCCCGCCGTTCCAGCCACGGCCACTCGGTCCCCCCCCCATTCCCTCCCCGGGCTGCCTTTCCGGATCCGTGTCCGGCTGAGCTCATCTTGACCGTTCACGCCCTTGTGTCTTCAGAATAAAGGCTCTTTCTCGAAGCTATTTGATTTGTAATCATTTGCTCTTCAGCCTTGAACCTCTCATTTTGCACGTTCAAGCTCTCATCTCGACCTTTCCAATAAACTACATACCAGCACCATGCGGGCAAGATTCAAGGGTCCGGGAGGAACCGGCGTCGTTTCCCTCGACGATACCGCCACCGTTGGCGACCTTTTCAACGAGATCAGGGACAAGACGGGGATCGCCGACTTTAGCCTCAAGTACGGCTGGCCACTTCAAACTCTGACACTCGAACACAAGGACGCCAACGCCAAAGATCTGGGTCTCAACGGACAGTCTTTCAGCATTGAGCCGGCGCACTCCCGGGCCTTCACTCCTCCACCTGCTGCCCCTCCCGCCGCCACGCGAGGCCCGGAAGCCGGCGGTCCGACAGCCAACAGGGCTCGCCTCGACTCAGACGCCGATGCGACCCCATCAGAGATCAGCATCCCCTGGCCGGAGCGCGAGTCGACTTTGCGCAAGTCTCCCTGCCTTTCACTTTTTGAGTCTTCGCCTAACAAGCATTAGTTCTTCGCGTCATGCCTGACGACAACAGCTGCCTCTTCACTGCCTTTGGCGGTGCCATACCCGGCAAGCAGCTCGAAGCCAAGGAGCTCCGCAAGATGGTCGCAGACTACATCCGTCAGCACCCGGACGACTACCCCGAGGCGGTCCTCGACATGCCCGTGGACAAGTATATCCGCACAATCCAGGATCCCGAGCGCTGGGGTGGTGCCATCGAGTTGGGCATTTTCTCGGACCTCTTCGACCTCGAGATCGTCGCCTTTGACGTCAAGTCTCAGAATCCGCTCCGCTTCGGCGAGAACAAAGACTCGCGCTGTATCCTCGTCTACTCGGGCATCCACTACGACCGCATCGCCTGCAGCCCTTCGGAGCCGCCCTACACCCATTCTGATCTGCCCCCCGAACTCGACCGCACCAACTGGAGTACCTCGGACGATGAGGTCCTCGACAGGACGCGGGCTCTCATCCGCAAGCTGCACGAAATGCACTACTTCACCGATACCAGCGACTTCCTGCTGCGCTGCACTGTCCCCGGCTGCGATTGGCTCGGCAACGGCCAGAAGGAGGCCAACAAGCATGCCAAAGCGAGCGGTCATTCTGGGTTTAGTGAGATCAAGGACGAGCCTTCTCGTGGTGCTGGTGCTGCAGCTGGCGCAGCGACCAGCTTCGGTGACAATGCTCTTCGCAGGTGCAACGCTCCCGGTTGCGATTGGCTGGGTACTGGTCTCGCCGAGGCAAGCATCCACACGGGCGAGACGGGGCACACCTCGATGACTGAGATTCCAGACTTTTGATGAGACTTTTGGGAAAGTCATGGTGCATGGCTGGGCTCAGTTAGGGTCAGGGGCCGTTTTGATGTGGAACTTAGGTCGCCTGGTTATGCAAGCAACGACGGACGAAAACAAATGATGGTCCATGGCTTAAAACAATCTCTCGTGGGCATTTCTCGTAAGCAGACAATGGATACACACGATGGATTCTCGACACTACGCTGATCGAACTCCCCCCCCCCCTTTCTCTCTCTCTGTGTGTGTGTATGCGTGCGTGTGTCACAGAGAAGGCGCAAGCGAACTCAGGGATCTGTTAAGCATTTGGTGTCTACAAGCTCTTATACGTCATCCCGCCACCGAAGCTGTGCTCGCTGTTCTCGCCGCCATTCTCAATCTTGCCCTCGGTGACCCCCGTCGCGAACGCGCAGCTGCCCATGTCGCGCTTCTCAACCTTGCCGAGTCCAGGCGAGATGTCAAAGTCGAAAATGTCCATCGGCAGGCCAATGGTCGTGCACGCATTGGGGATGTCGACGATGCCGGCGACGTGGCCTTGGATCGGAGCGCACGACATGAGTAGATAGGCCTGGTAGTCGCTGTAGCCGAAGCGGCGGAGATACTCAATGACGCCTGTTCACGTCGTTGAGCACGGGACATGCGAGGTTAGGAACAAGAAGTAGAACTTACGGAGACTGGTCTGCCTGTAGGCCACGGTGACGTCCATGTAATGCTGCTTCCCGTGCTGGTCGACCGAGAAGCCCTCAAAGTAGATGTGCCGCCCGGGACCGAACTGCGGCTCGACGGGGCCGGGGATGTAGATGGGCGACTTGAGGCCCAGGTCGGCGACGCCGTTCTTGACAACCTTGAAGTTGATGGTGATGACGCCCGCCATCTCGATGGCACCGCAGAAGGAGATTTCTCCGTCGCCCTCTTATTTCGGGACATGGTCGTTCAGCACGGACGATCAGGGACGACTGATGGCGGGGATGGGGATGACTTACGGGAGAAGTGCAGGTCGCCGACGCTAAACTTGGCGCCGGGGACGTGGACGGGGAGGTAGACCTTGCTGCCCCTGCTCAGGTTCTTGATGCTGCAACGCAACAGCGTCAGTCTCGCTTCTGCCTCGAGCGGATAAACACAGGAAAGGGAAGGGAAAAGGGCATCATCCCGTCCTTGCCTATACTCACTCGCAGTTCCCGCCGTGCTCGGGGCGTCCGGGGATCGTCCGGGCCCCTTGCTTGCCGACCTTCTCCTTGACAGCGTCGTCGGCGCCGCCGGCGTGGACGTTGATGGGCTCGGGCGGCTTCGCGACGTCGCGTTCGAGCTTGTTGGCGGCAATGAGCTCCCCCTCACGCGTGTTCCACGTGTTGAGCACCTCGGCCGAGGGCGCGCAGCCCAGGATGCCCGGGTGAATGAGCCCGGCGAACTTGACGTGCGGAATGTGGCGCGAGGTGCAATAGATGCCCTCGAAGTCCCAGATGGCTTTGGCGCTGCGCGTGCCGGGCCGGGCGTGAGCGGCGGGTTAGCCAAGCTGCCTTTTTTTTTTTCCCTTTCTCTTTTTTCTTTTTTCTTTTCTTCGGTGATGGCCTTCCCCTCCCGCTATCCACCTTCCCGGCGAGGGACACTGAATCGGAAGTGAGGGGGAAAGAAGGGAGACAGGAGAGGGCGAGAGGGCGAGAAGGAGAAGACGTACGCGGTGGGATAAATCTCGTCCAAGAAGCCGCCGCCATTGTTCTTGTCAAACACGCCCGTGAACCCCCATGGCTGGTCCTCGAACGGCTGGACGTCCATGATCTCGACGAGCAGCAGGTCCCCCGGCTGAGCGTCCTCGACCTCGAAGGGCCCGCTGAGGTAGTGGATCTTGGTGAGGTCGACGTTGAGCATGTCGTCCGCCGAGTCGTTGTTGCCAATCTGGCCGCCAGTCCTGGTACGGGAAACGGGAGTTGTGAGAATGGTCATCACGTGTGAGGGTAGACGAAGGAGAGAGCCGAGAAATACCAGTCTACGCATTCAATCTTGACCGTCTCGCCATTCTTAACGGTGCCCGCAAATGGAACTGGAGAGAAAGAAAGATAGAGAGTCAGTCGGTCTGTTTTGACTCGGTGTGCTTGAGAATGCATTGTCCTTACTGTCCGGATGCCATCTGTTCTGCGTCCTCCGTGAGCACTTTCATCCGCGCGCTCGGTGTTGTAGCTCGTGCAACTTACATGCAGGCCGGGCTGTTCCGAAGCCGGCTTGTCAAAGCTGACCTTGTTAACGGCACGGATACTAGTCTTGCCCATTTTGGAAAGAGTATGCGGAAGAAATTTGCGTTGAAATGTATTTTGTTTTCCAAAAGCCAAGGTTGAACAACTTCTCTTTTGTCCCTGGGAGTGCTACTCCCGCCCAAGCAGCCCGCCCTTCCTAGATATATACACGCACCCAACCTGGGTCTCCTTCTCCAAAGCTACCCCGCCCCGGCCTCCTCGGAACTGGCTTTCGCCAGCAAATGAGACGCCTCGAATTCCAAGGGTTTGGCTATCAACTGGGTGGCTTCTGGCAAAGTTGTGCCGGTAGCAGCGTGCGGAGGTCACTGATGGAGCTTGATAAGAGGGAGTGAGTGAGAGAGTGTGAGAGAGTGAGCTGCCCCCTCCCGTTACCCTAAGAGGCTTGCGTTTGACAACCCCCGCATTGGCTCCGCCGCCGCGGCGCCGACTGCAACCCAATCGATAAGACAACATGGTGATCTCATGCCGCATGTACCTCCTATCACGAAACGTAATTGGAATTCGCAGGTCCGGGTTTTGGTTATGTTATCTCGGCGTCTGCGTTTCGGATGTGGGTGGGCACGCAGTCAAAAGCTAAAGAAAACGAGCCGGCGTCACTCAAGGTCGTTTCCCAACTTAAAAACCTTCCTCTCCCCGTCTGGACCATTCCTTATCTAACAGTTGCAGTTCGAATATGGGTATCGCGGGAACGGCAGACACCGGCAGACGTCACGAGGGCGAAGGCGACACAGGAGATAGATATAGGCAATGAAGAGATGGCTCGACGTCACACAATTCCGGAATGTGACACTCTTTTCATCTTCGCCTGCAGGGCCGTGTTTGCTGTTTTTAATCTAGCAGTAGCATGCATACCATGTTTTTCCAGCCTCGGCACTGCTTGATCGCTGCCGTTGTACATCATTGCTGGTTGCAAGCCCAAGTAGGTACCTGGAATAGCCAATAGCACACTCCATATTTGCCACACACACACAGCCTTTTTACTGGTGTTTTTGGGCGTCTCCCGTTGCAGTCGATGGGCGAGACTTGAGATGAATGGCATCAAGGTCGCTGAGCGACAGGTTGAGGAACTCATGCTTGTTGGACCACTCCTGTTGGCTCTCGGCAAAAGCAGCTTTCTCGGCGGGAGGCGGAGGAGGATCCGTGATCTTGGTGATCAGGTAGGCCGTGGACGCCTCGGCAATGCCATAAATCAAGACTCCAACAAGAGGGATCTTGATCAGGGTGTAGAAGCCAATGGCGAAACCGAACAAGAGCCCCTCGCGGTTGCGGAACCAGTTCTTCTTCTGCTCCTTGGTGAAGTGTACGCGGGCGAAGTAGGGCTCCAGCAGCTCTCTCATCAGACTCCTCGAGGCGAAGTAGCTCTGCAGGAAGATGACGATGTAGCGTTTGGGCAAGAAAATGCCCATTCCAAAGATGAGCGAAGCGGGTCCGAGACCGACCGCATTGTTGAATGTATAGAAACTGGCTGCAGGCAGCACGAACCGGCCGACGACGGGGAGGTAGGACAGAGCGAAAACGGCGAGGGAGATGGCGCCTTTTCGAGCGAATCGGTACAAGAACATGCTGATGGCCTCGGCGGTGCTTGTGGAGTGGGTGCTGCCGTCGCTGACCTTGTACATTCTCAGGTTGGGGTAGTACATATCTCGTAGCTTATCGGGGTCCTCGTTCTTGTGCTTCTGAACATACGTCTTGTCGACCCAGTTCAACGAGTCCATGAACCTATCTTGTGATCAGCACGAGTCGAGTGCACGCACGGAAGCCGGTGTACTCACATATTGTCCAGGGTTGGCGTGACGTAGCGCATCAGGGCCATTAGGAAGAATGGCACTTGCAAGACATACTCCTCAATGAAGTTAAGCCCCCCAACGATCTGATCGTCCCAGGTAACATGATCCAAGCTCAGAAACAGCGAAAGAATCCAAAGAAGCACCCTGACGCCAACGATCTGGAAAGCGATGTTAGGGCGGTGTGCGGCAGGCAGCGCATTGGTTGCTACGTTGCTCGTTGTTTGTGCTTGGGGTCGAGGATCGGGCTTACGGGAATTGAGATGACGAGGCGGATGGCGAGACCACTCAGCACGGCGATGCCGGCCTGGCGGTAGTGGTCCGATGTGAACAAGGCCGGGTTCTGGAGAGCTCGGTGGGCTTTGACGGGAGTCAGTACTTGGTTTTTTACTCGTCAGGAATCCGAGTGTGCGGCTCGATTGAACTGACCGCCGACCAGCGTCAGCTGGATGCCGCGTAAGATCTGGTTCAGGTCGAAGTGGGACAGGTCAAACTCCTGCTTCAGCTTCTTCTTGTCGAAGGGGAGCTTGTCAAGTTGCTTGTCGAGTTGCTTGTCGAGCTTCTCGTGCGGTCCGCGCTGATCCGCGGTCGCCATGGTTATTGATTTGGGATTGTGTCTGACGATGGCGCGTGGAAAATTGGGAAGTTTGTTTGGATGGGTGAGAGAAGGAGGAGAGGATTGAAGTGGTCAAAGAATGGAGGGGCACGCGAGCTCTCTCTCTCTCTCTCTCTATCCACGTCAGAACAGGGCTGAGCTGAGCCTGGTGCTGAAGCTTGAGCTGGCTGGCTGGCTGGCTGGCTGACTGATCGTGGCGGGTAGAGACGATGACGACACCTTCCGGGAACGGCGGCCAAAAGCAGGAGAGGTACGTACTGCGGCCTCAACAGTTGGCTCATTTCTTATCTTATCGCATGGGGAGGTGAGGGTGAGGGGGGGTGGGGCGTTTGCCAGCTACACTAGGTAGATCCAAGACTGGGAACATTGGGAAATGCATTGGCCAAGGACGACAACGTACCGACTGTCATTGGTGAGCTGCACTGGCATTGGACTGGACGAGCGGCAGCTACAGGCAGAGCGCATCTGTTAAAGGACACGAGGGTTAGCCGTCCGTGGGGTAGGTAAGCTACCTACGGTCAAGCAGGCCGATGATACCGTGCCGGATGTCTGCCGGTGGCAGGAGTATGGTAGGGTAGTGACACCATGTATCCATGCATGCATACCTAGGTAGGCACCGTATATGTGAGTGGATAAGGATAAGGGTCGTGTCTGGGCATATGGCGCCGGTTCATGCTGAGTGTCGCAATGCTCATGCGTCGAAGCTTGCATCCCAGGACAGGACGGGCGGGTTCACGTTCACTGGTCGAAAGAGGTGCAATCCCTGCATGCATTGCTGAGAGCTCATGGTAGCTTTGGAGCTCGAGCTCGGAGCACGTTCCTGAAGCTCCTCGTGCCCGCCCTCGTCGTAGTCGTCTTCCAATGTTTTGTCCTCTGCATCAGGTCGCATGTCAGGCGCCCGTCGCCTCCCACCAAGTTGTCATGGGGAACCCGGACCGGAGCTCTCGGATCCTTCCCGCCTCGGAAACTAGTTTCTGCTGGAGAATGCGGTGAGGGACCAAATGACGAGGCAACACGGGTTTTGCACGAGGCCGAAGTGAAATCGCGGGAACGATATCGAGCAATTCCCACTGAGATGCTGCAAGTGCCAAGTGGGATCGTGATGTGGGGACGCCCCCCCCAATCTCCTCTCGTCTGTGTCTGTGTCGGTCGCCATTGCTTGCCCCATGGTCATCACCATATGGACAGAAACCTCGCGGCTCAAGTGCAGGTCAAGGGTTTCACAGTGTATCCGTATGCGCATGCAATCCAGCTGGGACGCATCGGCTACGCCCGCCGTTGCAGCGCTAATGGCACCGCAGCGCGAACGCCGTGCAATCTCCAATACACCTACAATCGGGGCCGAGCACATGACCGGAGCGCGCTTCGAGGGACCCTAGTTGTCCTAGCCCATCCTCGATATGGAGCGACCGTCTTGATGGCCCCCCCGTGCATAAGCCGAGGGGTAAGTAAGCCATGTTTTCGGAGAGAGACGGTCGTGTATAGCATCAGAATATGGCTGAGAAGCGAGCAAGCAGCAGCATGTGAAAGCCGCAGGGTCCGGATCACGGCATCGTATGTCTCGAGTTCCCGCCGTGCTGGAATGGAGAGTCTCTACGATAAAGGCCAAGGGGCATTGGCTGTATGGCGGCCAGGCCGAAACGGATTCCATCCGACTCTGTGCCGTGTGAGTGAGCGAGTGAGCCGGTGGCCTGTCGGCGTTGGGCAACTGGTGGGCATGTAGACACTAGATACACAATACAACTTATATACAGACAGTATGAGTGCGAAGTAGTCCTAGTTATGTATGTACAGGTAGGTAGGACAAGCATATCAAGGGAGAGAGAGGCGACGGGGGAAAGGGAGGGAGGGAATGAGGGGCACCGGGGTCTATCGCCATCAAGCGACGACGCGCGAAGGGGGGGGGGGACTGGAACCCCAAACCGGTCGTGTCAGAAAAACCCCCGGCCGCGCGTGTTTCTTTCGTTTCCTCGAACGAGTCCCCCAAGAAGCCGTGACATATTCGACCCCTGGTCGAACCATGAGGAAATCCGACCAAACCCCGGGACTACACGTAGTAGCAGGTAATTAAACTATTAACCTTGCTTACATTTTCTTTCTATTTCTTTCCCCAAACACCCAATAGCAAAGTCTCTTGCACACAACGTAGATCTTTTTACCCCCCTGCTCTTCTTCTTCTTCTTCTTCTTATTCGTTTCGCCTCTTTAGCAGTACCTAATTACTCGACCTCTTCTTCTTGTCTTCTGTGTGTATGTGTATGTGTGTGTGTGTTCGTGTGTGTTACACCAACCGTCTTCTGGTCTCTCTTCTTCATTCATCTAAAGGGTACTGAGACCGAACTACGAGATACAAGACATTTTTCTCGCCGATATTCCCTCGGCTCAAAAGGGGCGCCACCAGCTCCTTTCTCGACTACGCCGCCCTCCCCCCGACCGTCCACGCCCATCATCCATCCGCGCTGCTGGAACCGTCGGATTCCTCCCGTCCACAATCCCACTCACCATCCCTGGCTGGCTGCACAACTTTGTCTCTACTTCCTCCCGTCTGCATCTGCATTGCCCCCCGAACCAAAGGCCGGCGCGCCGACGACCGCAGCGGAATTTGACAGCACCATTTCCCGCGCGTACACACGTCGACACCCTCTTCTCCTTCTTCTCGAACCTGCCATGTACTCCATCTCAGCCTCGACATGCCCAAAATTCGACTCGTAATCCTCCATCACAACCCGACAGTTCCCGCCCTTACCTGACGATACCATTCCTCTTTCATCCCTCCCGAGGGTCGAAATCATGGAGCCTCTCCGCCCTGCCCAGCCCGCTCCTCGCCGCGTCGCGACTGCACCGGTACCGACACAAGTGTCCCGCCCCTCCTCCTCGGCCGGCGGCCTCATCGAAACACTATACAATCATCCCAATGTCAAAATCGTGGCCTTTACTGCCGCCTCCAGAGGACGAGCACGGAGCCCAGGACGTGGATCCGCCGACGAGCCTGGCTCCTTGCCCGCCTACTCGCAGCTGGAAAGAACAATTGCAATTGGTGAGTCGTGCCAGTCCTTCCTCTTCTGCAAGAACGCTGTTGACCAGTGTACGCGTACCTACCTAGGCCCCTTCCGCATCTACCGTACGGGTTCCGTCGCCTTTCTGAATTGTGGTTCAGCCCTCCAGCCAATGTTGCCCAAGAGTCAATGCTGGGCACTGGCGGAAGACTCGAGCAAATTTGTGCTGCAGATACGTCGGCCCAGCTATTGGAGGATAGAGATCCCTGTCACCACCGCCGATGAACAGGACCTCGCTGTCGCATTGAAGGCGGTCTGGGACCAGATCCTCCAGTTCGAGAAGACGGAATGCCCCTTTAAACGATCTTTCACCATTGTCCTTCCCGACAAGCCAAAGACACCCGTCAAGAAACGACCGTGGACGCCTCCCGTGAAGGGAGCTTTGCCTGTTCTTTCCACGCCCGCCCACGAGGTTGAGGCTTCGCCGACTCCGAAGGCTCTGACTCCCAGCACTGGCAGGAGAGCCTCGACAGCCTCACTCCGTGGCCGTCGCCTATCGGCTATCAGCACTGACCTGCAGTTCACCTCCTGTTCGCGAGAGCCTAGCACCAATGTACCAGTGCCCGTCGAGTCAAGGGAAGACGACAAAATATCTACGACTGAGACAACCGAGACAACCGCTCCCACCGCAAAATCGCAGATAGTACCAGAACAGGCGGTCGAAGACACTCCTGCTCATGGCGATGAGGCGGTGGAGAATGGCAATGTAGCCGACACAGAAACGACGTCAATTGTGAATGCCCATCATCTTTCAACAACCGAAGACTCGATTGCCGAGGAGGTGGAGATTGAGGATCAAGAGTTCTCGGCAGACTTGAATACTGATGTTCAGAGTCAGTCAACGAAGCCTCTGGCCGTCGAAGAACCGCATCGCGGCCTGGAGGACCTGAGCAATATCGAAACCGTCACGACCGCAGATGCCGCCGTATTAAACCCCGAAGCCAGCTCGCCGTCAACTTCCCTATCGGCGTCCACGGCAGAGACGTCTGTTCGCCAAGAGGGCAGTCAACCCTCCAAACCATATCGAAAGGGCCCCGAGGTTCCAGCATTAGCGATCGCTTCCAAGGATAGCAAAGCAGATGTTCGTCCTGAAACGTTGACATTCAAGGAGCCGTTCGCGGAATCCTGTCCTCCGCCGAGCGAAATCAAGGAGCAGCTTGTCACGGTGGAAGTGCGCCCCAAGGGGCCTTTGTCAGCTGGAACAAGTACGCCAACGCCCACCAACATCTACGACGTTATCCGCAGCTACGAGCATAAGATGGCCACTGCTACACCAGCGGCGCCTGCCCCGGAAGACAAGGAGCATGCGCCTGTTGTCAAAGCACCGCAAATTGAGGCCAGTAACAATAACGAGGGTGGGCCGAGCAGCGACTCAACCTCGGGAACCGACGAAGAGGAGGTTTTAGAGGGCAGCGGAGTCATGGGCGGCAGACGTAAGAAGCTCCGCGGGTTCAGGGGCAGCCGTGCTCTTATGCCTAAGCTGACGCTCGTGACCTCGCCGCCATCCAAGTCGGCCATGAGATCGACCCCGATCCTAGATGATGCGGCATCCCCCACAGGATCTACAGATTCATTCCATAGTTCCCGGTCGTGGCACTCGCCGGTTACGCCAGTTCCGCGATCTCCTGCTTCGGATGTCTCCCCCACGAGGTTCCCTTATCCTCACGACAACATATTGATTCCGAAGAAGCCTTGGCACTACCGCGATGTGTCGGATCTGACCGTTACCCCAGAGACTCGACGTACATGGGACGCTACTTCGTCTCTCACCGATGACAGCTCTCAGGAAAGCGCAGCTACTGCGCCGGACGTATCCTTTGAGGCGGTGGAGCAGCCCGAAAAGGTCGCCCTCTCCGAGGATGAGGCTGCTACGTCGGCTGTTGTACGTCGCCCATACATCCGCCATCGGTCAACAACGAGCGGCATATCAGTCGGCCATAGAGCTCTTTCACCTCTTGCGACAGCGGCCAATCTGTTTGCTACTACAAACAATCAAGCCAGGAACCATCCTCTTCGTAGCCGCCTGGAACTTGTCCGCAGGATTCCCATGGCCATCGTGTCCAAGACTTGCGAGGTTTTGCTAGGCCCGCCGAGCCATCTGATTACCCTGATGCTGCAGGTGGCTGCTAAGATCGCGGCTGGACAATGGCGCGGTATGATGTTCGGTTTTGGCGAAGGCGGAGAGACGATTCCCGTGCAATGGGATTACTCTGACGACGAGTACGACAGCTGGGGAGAGAACGACGACTTCTACCTCAGCCAGGTCGAATCGTCACGCGCGAGTAGTGTTACCGGCGGCGATGACACGGATAATGATGCGGCCACCGACGGAATCGGCCGCGGTTGGGAGGTTGACTGAAGCCAACAAGGCAACGGTCCGTAATGAGCTCATGTATGACCACTGTATCTTTTAACTGCCAGAAACTGCATCCAGGATGGATAGTTTTGGGCACCTTCTGTTTTCTCATCAAGCGAGGCTCTGCACAGGCGGGCCTTGGATATCACGAGAGACGCTGGATCCCGTATCTGGAAAGTCGACAAACTCGTGCTCGGCAATATTCGAGTAGACGTCAGTCTTTCCCTGTTTTGTTTTAATGTCTTTTTTGATGTGCAACTACGGGAACGGTGGGATTGGGCTTTTTAACACCTTTTTCTACCCTTGGCATTACGAGACATTTAGTCAGTACACTGGTCTCATCAGGTACCATTCGGAGATGAATTCAATTCACGATTTGAAGGGATGATCAATATCTGTCAGCGATTCGCGGTGTTCTGTTTTGATGACCCATGGGGAGGGCGCTAGCTGCCACACGCATCTCTCGGGGTGTGTGTGAGGAACCAATTCGTGGGAGCCGCGTACTTTGTTGTTATGGGACGAAGAAGGGCGAAATGTCTCGAGCTAACATTCCACCAGTCGGGTCATTTCTAGTAACCAGTCGTATTCGAGCAAACAATGCGATTGGTCGACGGGGAGGACGCCTCGTGAGGCTGAAGCGGCGTATTCGTCGGGTTCGGGGTAGATCGTGCAGTCTTGCAAAATGAAGAGCCCGGGCTCTGATGACGATGCTATTCGTTCAATGGAAGAGCGAGAAAAGAGGGGAAAATGGGGGGAGGGGTTGAACTGGTTTGAGGTGTATATAACGGTTGATTCTCTCTGGTCTTGGTGGTTGTGTTCTTCGGAGCGAACTTCTTCACGAGCACTCGCTCTCGAGACTATGCGTTTACTATTACTACTGCTTCTACACGGTCTTCAACCTGTCCGATTGGACTGTTTCCGAGACGCAAAGAGAGAACAGCGACGCTTCTCTGGCAGAAGAGATTGATAATTTCGGCGATCAGCATGGCGGACGACAGCTACGGTAAGTCGACAGAACCGGCCTCTTCATGTATCGCCGTTCTCTTCTAAACGACACAAAATGCAGTTGATGGGAGCTACTTCTTCTACGCTCCCAACAAGGGCGCGCCATTCTTCTTCGCCATAGCGTTCGCCGGGTCGGCTATGCTGCACTTTTGGCAATGCTAGTAAGTAAAGTGCTCCCTCGTCGAGGCACCCTACCGGGCTCGCCTGCATTAACACGAGCCGTATGAACAGCCATTACAAGTCTTTCAAAGGTCACCGGCCTGTTCCCGTTCTGCTGTCTGCTCTTTACGGCGGGCTTCGCCGTTCGCATATACAGTGCGTGGAATTACGATAACCTGGACACCTTCATCGCGCCGGTTTGCCTAGTGTATGCGGCACCGTGAGTAGACCCTGTAGCCCTCCTTGACCAGTTCACCCGCGAGAGGCAAGCACTCGCAGGCAAGAGAGGCCATGGACTCACCTTTTCCCGCGGACGGCGTTCCGGATCGTGGAGTACTTTGGCGTCGCGGCGATGCGTCGGGGCCCGGACGCGGACGCCGGCGAGGTACCGCCGGCGAAGCGGTACGAGTGGTTCTTTTACGTGTTCGATGCGGGCCTGATGCTGGCCAACGTCGTCATATTCAATGCGCGGCACCCACGGCGGTACCTGCCGGAGAGATACACGGTGTACCTCGCCAGGGACGAGGGAACGGAGGTGGACGGGCCCGGGTGGAAGGAGAGCAAGGGGAGCCAAGCCGTGTGAGAGTGCATGAAGGCTGTATTGTGCGGCGGGTTAAACCGGAACATCTAGAGACTTATTGGGTCGAGGTGTTTGGATTGGGCCGCTTTCTCTATATTCGCTATTGAAAATTCTGGGTTGTTACCAGCATCTTACAGAATACGACAGACTTTTTTTTTCTTTTCTTTTTTTCGGAGACGCTATCGCGAGGTTTCTGACAACGTGAGATTTTTTCCTTCTTTTCCTTTCTCTTTCTCTCTCTCCTTTTCTCCCCTTGCTCAGAACTGATGACACCGGTAGTCTTTGTCTCCGGGCAGGGCTGAGGTGGCTTGGTGGCCTAAACGCCCGGTCGGATTTTGGGACGAGGAGGGCTCCCGAAGGCAGCCGATAGTCATCCGAACTAGACTTGAGGCTCGTACGAGGCGGAGGAGGAGGCATAGCGCACGGCAACACGGCAGCAAAAAGAAAGTGAAAGTAAAAGAAAGAAAAAAAAAAAAAGGAGAAAGAGAGAGACAGAGAGAGAGAGAAATGGGCTCGAGATTAGAGGCCGTGCCTTGTCGGAACCGTGAACGGCTCGAGGGAGTTGTCCAAGTGCGGTGGAGGCGATGGAGCTCGGATCGTAAATTTTTGAGTGAGTACACCACATGCATCCAAGTGCGATGGTCATGACGCCTTCCTCCTTCCCGCCCCGCGCGCTTGATGTCCAGGTCGGCGGCAGTTTGATGAAGGTTTGCAATAGAGAATGGTAGACGCGGGATATACGATGTAGAAGCGGAGAGGCGGCCGAACGGATCGGCGGAAGGTGGAGCACCTTCCTCCTTTTTTATGTGGAGACACGACAGGAGCGTGCCGGATCGGCACGGTGATAAAAATAGAAAACAGAGAAAGAGGGAGGGGGTCCCGCTACAATCTTCCGAAGTGAGTGGCGAGTGTCGTATTTCACAGAGCATACGGGGTAAGGATATTTGTACGAAGTATGTATGTGTAGGATACATAGATATCTACTGCGTAGGTACGATGTATTTTAGAAGGAGGCAAGCCAAGCTCGATCAAGGGTCCATCCATCTCGACAGATTGGCAGGCATCGGCACTGAACCGAAGTTCCATCCAGGGGCTCATATCCGAGACCCTGATGCCCGTCATGACCGGGGGGGGAGTGGAGGATTTGGGCACTTGTCCTCCTCCGCTGACAAGCCCATTTGCATGCATCCTCCTTCCTTATGGCGTTCACTGACACCGGCAAAGCCTCAAGCCCCCGTTCCCACATGCCCGACCAGTGTGCTGCCGCGGGGCAGTCGAGCGATTAATGAGTGGTGTGTATATTCTGAGGCGAGGCGAGGCGAGGCGAGGCGGAGGGGGGGGGTCTTCTAGTTGGGTATGGGTATTCGTATGTAGGTATCCGTACTATGATATGTATGGTACCTATTTGGGTGCTGACCGGTCCACTCATGGAAGCCTGGTTCGAAAATTCCATGGCGTCTGGCTGTGATTGCTTTCGTCCAAGCAAGCTACCAAACAAGCAAACAAGCAAGCAAGCAAGCAAGCATGCAAACCCTAGTCAGCCATTGCTGATGCGACGGGAAGCTGTGCAGTACTGTGCAGTGCAGTGCCAGTCCAGTCCCAATCTGACATGAGGGCTCTTCGTGGAAGGCACCGGCACAGTCGCAGGGTTGACGGGCACAGGTATCGTGCACACAAAAGTTTAAACGGCTGCCTGATTGATAAACTGCGACGTGAGGTTCGATATGTGTATGCGGCCCCGTTGATTGGCAGTTGGCACATATGATCTGCGGACTTGCAATATAGCGCGTGTACTTGGCTACTCTGCAGAGACGTGTGCGCATACAAGTATCCCATACAAAACGCGACCATGACGGACGCGGACTTTATGGGACCTGGTCTCACCACCGGCACGCCCGACACATCGGGCCAAGATTATTCGTACAGACCTATACCTAGTACAGATACGGTACTATTATCTATAATAGCACATACTACTATGTGCTACAAGTATCTGCACATTGTGTAACACTAGGTATGTAAGTAGGTGGATTAACCATGGGTGATGGGTTTGCCTCATCCGTCCCCGAGCAACGTCCGGATCGTCGCAGCAGGTCCGAAGCAACAGGAGACGGGTAAGATCGACAGCAGAGAGTACGGTACAGGACATTATACATGGTAGTAGGGCATGTCTGAGGCGGTTGACATACTCACTCGTGGGTATGGACCAAACACAACTATATGGTACCCAACCCTGTCTTCGACCCTGCTCTCTCATCTCTGCCCCACTCAATGTTCCCGAGGGGAATCCATGCAAATAAAGATTGTAGTGGTAACGGCACTCTGGGCGGCGGCGACGGCGGCGTCGGGTCAGCGCTGACAATGCCGCAACGGAAGTCCACCAGCCTAGCAAGCAGCTGAGCATGGAATGGACGATGAACGACGGACGTTTATACACGGTCCCGAATATTGAAAGCCTGGGTTTAGAAAATAGTGTGTCTCTCTCTCTACCTCTAGGGTGTCTAGGTACGTACATCAGGTAAGTACGTACCTTGATACGATTAGGAAGGGATAGCTAAGGTAGGTACGTAAGGTGGGTACCGAGGGAAACGGCGGAAAAAGTACGTACCCTCGACTCCCTCGTCGTCGTCTTCGTCGTCCAGGGTTTCTCATCCTTCCAAAACCTCCATCCATTCCATCCCAATCTGGGTCAAGCTTCCCTCGCCATTCCGCCATTTGTTCCCTCGTCTCTCTCTCTCTCTCCAAGTTATTGCGGCTGCCCGCTGACTTACTTCACCCAATCTTACAAGCCCACACATTCGGGGGAAGCCTGAGCGGTGTCATTTCCGCCCATCCATCCCTTCACCTATCTATATCCCACCTTGCTTGGCTTTCTTTCCCTTGACAAACCAACCAAACGCCAACAGGACGACGGCATAACACAACACAGCCAGACACAGTCACAGCTAGACACAGTCACAGCTGGTTAACTCGCCGTCGTGGCCTGCTATACGTTCCCTGTCTTCGACCTCGACGTCCTTCGCGCCAACTGATGCAGGCTTACACCATCGCCTGACAAGCGAGGCGCCGAGGGGCTGTACTTCTCTGCTGCATTGCACTGCGGTCCTTGCTCTGCTCTAGCCAGATCGACAGTCGACAGCATCCAAAGCCTTGGTGGACGGGTCCCGGCGTTCGGGACGTGCTGTGCATCAAACTAACCACCCGAACACCCTTGAGACTCGCCATTGCTTTCCTTTGCATATTTCATTACCTCAGCGTACGGGTCACTCACACGGAGGGGGTGGCGTCTTCATTTAATTTTTATTTTTATTTTATTTCTTTTTGCTCTTAATTCTGCTGCCTCGGCCGCCCTCCACACTCCTCCTCCTCCTCCTCCTCCTCGGCCTCGCCTCACACCTCCTCTCTCATCTTCCATGCCGACTCCCGCTTCGCCCACCAACTGTCATCAGGTCCCTGGCCCGTCCAATCCTTGCTCCCCCGGGCCCCTTCTAGCGTCCTTGTTCCCACGTCCCTCGGACACCCTGCGCCGGCCCTGCTTGCTTGGATCGTCCTTCCTCCCGAGACTCTTTGCCGGGGCGGTGTCTTGACTTATTCCGCCACAAACCTCTCCCCTTCCTCCTTCGCGTTCCTCTCGCCGCCGCCGCCGCTGCTTCTCGTCCATACGAATTCTCGACACACTCATATCATCAACTGACCCGCCCCATCCCAATCTGGCTCGTCCGACTGCAGCCCCCAGGAGGAAAACAGCCTACTTCACTTACATTGGAGCGATAAACCTCGGCGCCCACTCTCTCATCTCACCTATCCTCATCGCCAGGCACATCCACTGACAACCTACGCTAGCCGTCTCACTTGGTTGCCCGTCGTTGCATGTACATCACGCATACATATGACACTAGCGTCCAAGCCTAAGCTCGACCCCGTACATACGCATCATACCTGCTGGCATTCCCATTCATCCGACTGCATCTCCGCTTTGTCCTTATCCTTTCGCTAGCTCAGGCCGCCGAGTCTACCACACCTGCGCCTCGCCCACCTCCTCCCCCCCTCTTCCCCCTTTCCAGATATCAACCCGCGGATGTCCCCCCCCCCCCCGTCTACTCCTCTGGCTATGAGCGCTCTCTGGAGGACAGAGCCAATCTCACCTCACTTACATCACGATATGGCGTCGAGTTCGAGCCGACGGCCTCAAATCTTCGTGCACTTCGAGTTTGGGGTCTCCTTTTCACCTAGGCATGCTCCCAACCAGCACTCCGTTACCTACACCTCTCGCGGCTTCCGCAATCGAGCTCAGCAGTTTCCGAGACAAGTTCCGCCGCCCAATACAAACTATCTGGCAGAACCCACTTACACAACACGTCAACCGACACGCTTTTCACCACTACCCATCCAGGAGGACTATCAACCTCAGCCCCGACCAGGGCCGCCACAATACGATCCCAGCAGGAAGCCTCGACAGGACAGCCGATCGGATTCATCGCACGAGAGAGGTAGCTCTGCTCCTCCGCCCTGGAACGACAGTCCGTGGGATGCCGAGCCCGATGCCCTGGGCAGTTCAGCGTTACCGCGTCAGAGACCACGCCCCAGCGATGCCCCTGATTATTGGAAGGCATTGCCTGAAGTTCCCTCGCGCTTCAGGCTGGGAGAAGACGAGCTGCCTTGGTCCGCATCAGCATGGCCGGGCGAGTTTGGCATGCCGGACCGTTCCGAAGTCGACGACTATTCTTCCGAGCTGTCGATGAAATTTCGTGACGTCTCTCTAACAGACGCCGCACCAGACTCCAGGGATGTGGATGACTCAGGACGGAGACAAGAGCTGGAGGCGCTGTCCGCGGCAATGATGACGGTGGACAATGGGTTTGAGAACCAGTGGTGGTACCAAGGGGAGCGGCAACTGACATCTCCGCTGGCAGGAGGCCTGCCCACGTCCATGGCATATGCTACCACCATGGCGACTGGGGAAGCCGTACCGCAAACGCCCGTGGTCCAGCCCAGTTACGACAGCAGGGAGTCCATGGGATGGGCTACCTTCCAGGACGACCCTCACGCCAGCATGGTGAGCGCTACGGTTTATGATCCCAGTCTTTTGGTCTCGCCCTTGTCCGAGTATGCGAGCCCGCGCATCCATCGCTCGATGACGACGAGGTCGGAGGAGCTGGGACTGTATAGTTGAATGACGTTTATGAAGGATGTGGGCACTGAAAAAGGAGGTTTTATTCTTGATTTTTTTTTTTCATTTTACGCGGCGTATGGTTCTCATTTCACGGATTGGATCACGGAGGTTCTTGAGGCGCATCGCATCTGTCATGGCCGAGCCCGGAAACCGGGATTGCCTGATTATGAACATGGAGCATAGGATCATGTCATGGAGGAGGATATATCCCATAAAGTTGTCGAGTCTTGGGGAAGGGAGGGCTACCCAGCTTGACCTGGCGCACAGTGGAAGACCGCAGCTATTCACTGCTGCCGCTTAACTAATATTTTCACGTTTAAAAGCTCTGCCTTCTTTAAACGCGTCGTCTATCCAAAAAGCGAACAGCGACGTGAGCAGAATTGATTGCCTCCGAAGGGCAAAGGCGATAACATACGCACACGCACATAATGTGTCGGCCAAAGACAGTCGTTTCGATAAAGTGACTTCTTCCAGTTATCCTAGTGAAAACACGCCCCTGACTGGGATCGACCATTGAGGCAAATGACCAACGACTCGCAGATTGGCGGAGCAGCAACAACACCACCCAAACATTATCGTTTGCGGGCCGAGGGATTGACAAGACTTTCGAGGTCTAACCAAATCGAAACGATTACTTGTGTCTTGTTCCCTCTCCTGTTTTGCCCAGCGACGCCGAACCAACGTCCGTAGGGCCACATTTCGTGACCTATGGTTCGTCTTGTCGAGCTGACGCAAAGCGAGGCATATCTCCTTCGCTATACCGATTGGCCCACTGACCGGTCCTATTTGTGTGGTGTTAACATGGACGACGGGGGGGAGTATATTTGCTCTACGGCCGGTAAGGTGCCTTCTTCGAGTATCAGTCCATCCCGCCGTGTCGAGTACTTTCCAAGTGACATGAGAATACGTTGTCGTTAAGTGCGGAACCAACGTCTACGTTGCGGTTATTGCCATATGCCGATCTCCTGATTGTTGCCCTTGCTCGGCGAACGTATACTGATGGTTTCCCCGCGCAATGTCAAGACAGAACGCTGAAGACGCTTTTCATTGAACTCTACTAACAGAGAGAATGTCCATATGCGACTGGTGCTGACTGTTATCCAATTATTGGTCGAGTCGTACACTCATGATAGCGTCAAAGACTGAAGTGGTTGTTGAGGGCAAGATTGCTCCACCGGAACCACATGCTCTCTCGGCTTTCAGCGGGAGCGGAAACGAAGGCTCTGAAGATGCCAAAGAGCGGATTGGAAAGAAAACCAAGAGTTTAGAGATAGTGCATACCGGCTTAGGTCCTTGTGGATAGACCAATCTTGGACAAAATCGCATGGTAGTACATAGGGAATGGGGCCCTCGTGGTGCTGAATTGCTGTCAGCCGGTGCACCATTTCTTCCGGACTTGTCTGTGGCGAAATTCAAGAGCGGAAGTTATCACATCGTCCAGTGAGACCCCACGGATAGCTGCTTCATTGGCGGGCGAGGTCAGAGTTGCCAGGACTTTTTCTCGTACCACTAGGTATCGGCGATCCTTCATGAAGCACGGAAATACGAACGTCGATGATACAAATTTCCTCCCCTACCCCCACAGACACAAATCCTTTCGGAGTTCTCGAATCTCCGAACTTCCAAGTGTATGACGGAGACTAAAGAGCCTCAGTCCCGTCTCCTGTTGTTCCTCTGCGGACCAGCCAAGACGCCCTTCGCGAAGCAAACCCGAAGCATGAGTGAGGGTTCCCTGACATATAGACTCGATGTTGTGCTGCTTAACTATCGAGTCGAATTTCGGAGCTAGAGTCCTCATGGACCACAACGTGAACATGAACATTTCTAAACAACAGCGTGTTAGAATACCGAGACGTGCTTTGGTTCCGATCAACATTATTCCAAGCCCGCCCTGCTGGGGGACGGCATTATGAGCCCCCCCCTTTTGAAGACGCCGCTTTTCAGCGAAATGTAGAAATGGAAGCCTAAGATGAAAGAACGGAGAGGCATTCCGCCTCTACCACGGCGTATTGGACCGCGGAGGATAAGCTCCTCCCTGTTAAACACATGTCGGCTCGCTCGACCTTCGGTCCATGGCCGCTTCTGCGCAAAAGCAACAGCATGAACGAGCATACCGCTTCTTTGAGGCTAACCGCCAGATACACCAGAGGAGACATCCGTCAGGCTACGTGTTACTGGTCAAGACTCAACGGGTCGATCATTGTGAAGACCCAATGGTTGATTCTTGCCGTCTCAGACCCACAAGAAGAACCTGGCTCGAATCAACTCCTCCACTATGGCGGGTTCATGGCACTCAATACGTGTGAAGGCTGGGCGGGTATCCGTTTCTCGCAAAAAAAGGGGGGGTGGTCGTGCATCAAGGGGGGAGCTGCGGTTTATCCTGCTGCCTGGAGGCGGGTGAGTATGTGCCGCGACGGGGATGTCTGAGCCTTAGTGTACGTGGAAAGGGGGTCTCGGCCCTGCTTGGGATCTACTCACGCCTCAAAGGTGATCCATTGGGTAAATGATTTGATTAAACTCCTACAAAACTAAGCTTGTTGCATTGTCCATCGCTGGCGACGTATTGAGCATGAATGGTGATCCATCCTGCTGCCACACGGGCGGTGGCGCTCTTGATGGAGTCGGTTATGGTTGCAGATCTGCTTTAGGAATGCTAAACGCAGCTAAAGTAGAACGGTAAGAAAAAAGGCCATGTGTAAGTTGGTGTCTTGTCTTGGCTCGACTAAGCCTGTGTGCTGCTGACTGTTGGAGTCGAGCGCGGGATATGGCGCTAGGAAACCCATATCCCAAAGCATCGAAATACGTGTGTGAGTGTGACATGTCGTCTATCGGTTTCTATTCATGATATAACCTAGGCTCTTCAAGTCTTACTCGGCTGCCTCATCATGTCATACACACGCCCCCGCAAGAGGCCAAGTGATATGACTCCCATAACCCAAGAATCCTTTCGACCGCCTCGACATCCAACTCAGCCCTTGGCTCTGACTGCAGCGGCACCACCATTCCACCCGCACAAAGCCCACCGCTTGTAGTTGCAGCCGAGACGGATTTGATCATGTTTCCGCAGTCTCCGGCGGCATACACCCCGGCAACGCTTGTTTCGCCAAACGGCGGCGTCGTCTTGATGTCCCCGTTCTCTGCCATCTCCAGCCCCAGCTGCTCCGCAAAAGGACCGTTGACCTTTGTGAAGGGCCCGTGGGCGAGGAATCCCTCCGTGACCTCGTCGTCGCTACCCTCCAAGGTGAGTGTGACGCTGGTGTGGCGGCGCCCTCCGTTGTCGCCGCCAGCCATGCGCATCTTCGTGATCTTGCGGGCGTCGACTGCAAAGGGGTTGTTGGCCAGTGCTGAAATCTCCGAGGCCAGAGACGAGTTCCCGTCCGTATAGATTGTCACCTGTTTCCCCAGGGGACGCGCCATATGCGCAATGTGCGTCGCCATCTTAAGGTTCCCTACCATGCCGGACGCCAGGACGCCAACCCTCTCCGCCCCGCGCTCCTCGAAGCCGTGGCAGAAGAGGCAGTGGAAGATGCCACGTCCCCAGCAGTCGGCGTAGCCGGGGATGTCGGGCATCACGTCCGCGACGCCGGTGGCCAGCACCAGACGCCTGCCGAACCACGTCCGCCCGCGCGCGTCCTCCGCCCTGAAGAGGCCCTCCCCGACCTTGGACGTCCGTAGGACCTCGACGTCGGCAAAGGCCACGCTCTCCGCGTACCGGGCCCTGATGTCCTCCCTGGCCTTGGCGCGGAAGGCGGCGGGCGGGACGTGGTCGAAGCCGAGGACGTTGTGCATGTGGGCCGCGCGGGCGTTGCGGTACAGGCCCGAGTCGAAGAGCACCGAGGTGTACAGCTGGCGGGCGAGGGCGGTCGCCGTGGCCAGACCGGCGGGACCGGCGCCGACGATGAGGGCGTCGTGGAGCATCGGCGTCGCGGTGTTGTGCGCCGTCTGGGAGAGGGACATTGTTGAGATTGCTTCCGAGGGGCGTCTTGTAAAAGGGACCCCCATGTAAGCGCGGCGTTTGCTGTTTAGTATTCTTCTGTAAGACGAGCGGCGATGACGACGATTCGAAGCACGGCTTTCCCTGGATTTTATACTTGCTGGATCGGCAGCCAATTCACGAACCTGCGTGAGATGTCGGAGGGCATGGCATGTCTCCGAGGCCATGGGGGGGGGGAAGTTGCCGAGATGATCGGGCCCGATGTGGGGCTGCCAGCTCCGGCGACGCAAAAGTCTCCGAGAAGGCACCGATACGTGCGCTTGGACGACTCAGACTACGAAAAGGGTACGGAACCCGGGGCTTACAAATAGAAGGTTTATTGTAACATCCCGAGAACTGGATAAGAATACCATGGGTCGTGTCAGGCAACTGGTAGAGATCCCTCTTCTTGGCGGGGACATTCCGTCATGATGGCAGCAGGAGTAACTCGTCCGCTTCTTCAGGGCAGCAAGCAGTTATCGGATGATTTGCGATGGCAGCAAGAGGGTTGGTTCATGCCATTCTTCTTCTCTTGTCCAAACTCACCGGCATCGTTCCTTCCATTGATTCGCATTCCTACAAATGCGGTTTTTATGTCATCTAGCTAAGCAGAAGGAAGCTTGATCGTATAGCTAAGAGGAGTTTACTAACTAATCTCAATGCTGAGGAAGACACCTGAGAATAACTATTATCACGCCCAGATGTTCAAACGGGGACTCTGGTCTAAGCGCTTTTCACCGAAGCAGCGATGACCATCCTCCTGTCCAGCCCCCCGGGCCTCCCGACAATACTCTCCGGGATGTGACTAACCTCCTCGTTCTCGATATACACGAAACTCTCCGCGTTGCAGCCAGCCGCCTCGAACCATCCCTCGAACAGCTTCTCGTCGAAGACGATGTGCCGGTCGGTGGTCTTGAGGACCTCGTGCTCAAACTGTTCGTGGCCTTCCGCATCCCCCACATCCGCTACTGCCTCTATGGCATCCACGGCCTCCACGGCAATCAGCACACCCCCGGGCCTCAGCCGCCGCGCAAGCAGGCCCAGCATTCCCTTTGGGTCGTCGAGGTGATGCAGTGCCATTGATATAACGACAACATCGAAGCCCCCCTCGGCGGCTAACGACCGGTCTGTCGCCAGATCCCCCGCGACGGCATGGGCCTGGGCAGGAGAGTACCCCAGCTGAGCGGCGCAGTCGTTGAAGTGGCCTACCATGGCGGGGGCGATGTCGATGCCCAGGATCTCGTCGACGAAGGCGGCGAGGGCCTAGCCGGTTCACAAGGGAGATGTCAACGGAGTCCTGCGGAGGAGAAGGGGGGGGGGGGGGGGGGGACTGTTGGAGATGAGGGCACGTACCCAAGACGCACCCCCGTATGCACAGGCGTAGTCTAGGAGACGGACGGGGTTGGCCGGGTCCCGTGGCCGGAGTCCCAGTTTCGGGGCCTGCGTGCTGAGGAAGCGGGTGAGCTGCTCGGCGAAGGTCTTGAGCCAGTCTTGTTCGAAGAACGTATCGGCGAAGGTACTGATTCAAGGATTAGTCGGGCATACGGTGGTTTAGTAGACTAGGGTAAGGGGTTCGACAAACTCCCAGAAGACGCGGTTAATTTCTGCGAGGGACGTGGTTTGGGACTCGGTTGAAGCCATGGCTGCGATATAGTCTGTAGATTGGTTGTGCTTGTGAAGGCTTGTATGTGTCTAGCAACTCTGAGAAACGAGATCTTGTCCTGGCTGCGCCTCGTACTTTATACGCGAAATCTTCCTAATCTTTTTGTTATATCCGTGTGTGTACTCAACCCCTCCCGTCTTTTGGTTGCCTTTACGGCCGGAGAGTATTCGGCAACATTCCCAAGCTGCGCGTATTTAGCGGTCACCCTATGGAGACCTTAAGAACCCTCAAGGGTCAACGCTAAGCTCTCGGGCCGCCTGCCAGCCTTGATTCAATCCGCCTCTCATCACTCGTGGCACTCAGAGCACTTGCCCCGCAGGCTCAGCAGGAGAAGCCGCGGCAGCAGCAGCAGGCCGTTTCCGGCCCTGGCCCATCTCATACATGACCCATTCGTATACGGCCCACTGGACCGCGTTGACGACGAAAGCCCGCACGCTGCAGATCGTGAGGCCCCGGAAGAAGACTCGCATGCCGCCCTCGCGGTATGCCGCCTTGGCGACCTGAACAGCGCCCGCGCGCTTATGCGACTGTGGTTGCTGCCGCCGCTGCTGCTGCGAACCCTGTGTCCCAAGCAAGGGCGAGGCCTCGGCCGACGTCGGGGCCTCGAAGGCCTGCATCTGTACGCGGGTCTTTATGACATCGAGCGGGAAGATACTCGCCCAGGTGACGATACCGGCCAGGCCGCCGCAGAGGAGGACCTTGGCGGCCTCGTCGCGCATGTTGGCCTCCTTGAGGCCGTCGCCGCCGACGCCCATCCAACGCGTGGCGAGCTCGTAGGACCAGAAGTAGAATCCGTAGCCGACGCTGTCCCGTAAGGCAGTGACGGCACCGCCGAAATACAGGCCTCGCAGGCCCTCGACGCGCCAGGCGTCCCTGGTAATAGCCCAGCTCGAGGCGGGGGGCGAGGACAGCTGTGCGCGGCACTTGACGAGCTCGGTGGGGGTGCTCACGACCCAGGTGGCCAGGCCACCGACGGCGCCGGCGAGCCAGGTGGTCCAAAGGCTGGAGCGGACGTCGAGGGCGCGGTTGAGGGCGGCCTCGGTGCGGTTGTAGGAGACGAAGAGGAGAGCGTTGAGGGCGCCGTAGCCGAGGATGGGGGCGGCGGAGCCGGTGACGAGGGAGGCGGGGGATTCGAAGTGGCGGAGGTACGAGGTGGCGGCGAGGGCGGGGGAGGCCCCGGGGGAAGCTGCTGCGGCGGCGGCGGCGGCGGTGGGAGAGACGGTTTTTGCTTGGAGACGGACTTTGAGCAGGTCGAGGGGGTTGCCGATGATGATGCCGACGGCGCCGGAGATGTAGCCGGCCCAGAAATCTGCGGACATGGCGGGCAGTTGTGGTGGTGGGGAATGGTAAGAGGTGGTAGATGGTTGTGAGCGGCAGTATGTGGGAGATCAGGGGTCGTCGGTGTAGAGAAAACGGGTCTCGGGGTCGCGGTAGTGGTTAGCCTTTGCCTGCGCGACGGCGATTCCGGTGGTGATGGTGAGGTAGGAGAGCATCCATCCGCCGCCGGCTAGAGCCCAGAAGCGGGCATTCTTGAGGGGGTTCGGGTTTGGGGTACGGATACGGTTGAGGTACTGATAGTGGGCGAAGTGGACGAAGACGGTGCCGCCGAGGATGGAGGTCCAGTTGTCGGCGATCCAGAGGGTGCGGGCGGAGGGCGGACGGAGGAGCGGGGTTCCGGAGGAGAGGGAGGAGGAGGAGGAGGACATGGTGTCGCCGTTGAGTTGCGTTCAGTTCAGACCGAGGGAGGAGGGGAAGTTCAGCGGGGGTGGGTGGGGGACAGGGGCCCCACTCTTTGAACTGCGCTATGGGCGGACAACGAATGTTAACAGGACGAACATGTGAATCTGCTGCTATGAGGGTTCGGACGTACGTGGGAATTTGGTTTCGATGCTTGCGGTGCGGCTAGAAAGCCAATTGAGCACGGGAGTGGGCCAACCGACGGCGGGATGGTGGAGGAGGACGGGGGAAGCTTAGGATGACTGAGGGGAGTTCCATTGGTGACGCGCTGCAATGTACGTACCCCGTACGGTACAATATGTAATAGGTACCTCAGGTACCTATATGGGGAACCATGTTTGACCCTTTGCCGAGAATGGGGCAGGTAGGTACGTACCTACGTAGTTTATGGTGCAATGCAGTATGTACATCGTAGGTACCTATTCATCTCACCGAGACACTCGGAAGGCGAGGTTCTTGAGATTTCACAATCCCCAAATGACCAGTACATATACATCTATCTACCCGTATCCTCTGACTTAACTGAATAACCGCACAGACCATACGCTAGACCCCTTATAGAAAGCGGTCAATCTATTTCTACACACACCCACCCATGTAACCCTAACCCTTGCCGCCTAACTTGCTGCTGACGTAAATGACTCCCTGTATTTGCCACATCTAGATCCCTGTTTCTGCCACCACGCCAGCCCCTTTTCAGCAGCCCGCGGTCTGTGCGGTTATTCAGTTAAGTCAGAGGATACGGTAGTGCTTGACTTGTACTTGGCAGAGAGATACACGACGTATACACACACACACACACACACATACACATATACATACTAACCCTCATTGGATGCAGATGTCCTCCCACTGCACTCCCTCGTCAGCCGCTTCCCCATGCATGATGCCATGCAGGTATGCCTCTCCGACCAATCGATAACAGAAAGGACCTGAGATGGACGAAACAGGCACCTCACGCAGTACGAGAGGCGACGGGCATCCGGCCACCACCCAGACACCATCCCCCTCCTCCATCGACCGGCCCCCGAGCCCGAGGTACCCGCTGTCCGTCAAAAACGGTCGCCTCTCCCAGAGGGTCTCGAATGCGAGGTTTATATAGGCCTGGCAGCGATGCTTGAAACTGTCCAACATACTGTCCACTTCATCCTTCTTGTCGCACTCTTGTAGCCGCTTAGCATATGCCATGATCTTGTCGCACGACGGCACCGTCTTGCTGGTGTCGGACCTCGCGAGCTTTCGAATGCTCTCCAATCGACCGAGATACTCCCCCAAATCCGCCCCATTCTTCAACGCGCAGTACACTTCCCATACCAGGTGGTCTGTGATCCAGTGCCGGAACGCCTTTCGCAAGTCGCTGGGCGCCGGGTGCTTGGTCCCGTCTCGGTCCACGATCAATGTCCGCCAGAAGGCTTCTACGCGGCACTGCCGCGTGGGCTTGTAGACTGCGTCGCATTGCAGCAAGAAGTCGGCCCACTGCGCGAAGCTTCCGCTGGCCGCGAGCTCCGAGTACACCGTGCCCATGAGAGAAACCGTGCCGACGCAGAATCCTCTGATGTGGAGGAGCCCCCCGTCGACCACGCCGTACTCTGCTCGCGCCGACCGACAGGCGTTGAAGTACGGTGCGCCGGCCGGCCACCGCACCCCCAGGAACATTGACGGTCCGTTTGCCGAGAAGTCCGGCACCCATGATGGCAGTTCCTTGACCTGCCTGTCCGCATCGTCGGCCACCCCCGTCAGCAGCGCGAGGTTGCCGCACTCCTCCATGATGAGCATGGCCGTTTCCGTGTACACCCTGACAGCCGTCGAATCTTTGCAGTAGTTGGGCTCTAGGCCTGTCCTCGGCCGCCCCCCCGTGTCAAGGAGCAAGTTGAGGATGCCGAGGAGGCCGAAGACCTGGTCTCTGGGGTCGCTCGCCTCGACTCCGGTCGTCAGGTGGAGCATGAGGAAGAGCAGTGCCCCTCCCGTCGTGACCGTGCGGCCTCCGCTTGCGCTACCTGATGCGCCAATGATGTGATCCAGCGTCACGCTGTCCCAGGCCCCAAGTGCGTCGTGGCCACACCTCTGGATCGAGACGATGCCCGCCGAATTGCTGCCGACATGGACGTCCTTGATCGTGGGGTTGTTGTCGTACAAAACCTCCGAGAGCTGTTCGTACAGATGGCTGTCGAACAAGAAATCCGTGCAGAGTGCCACCGTCTCCCAAGGTATCACGTCGTCGCCCCAGAGGACGCACGCATCCTTGGACAAGGCCACCTCCTGGACGACCCAGACGCGGCTGAACCACTTGCGGTCAAAGAAGGCAACGAATGCATACCAGACGGCGTCAGGCACGTCCTGCAAACCGTATCTCCGCAGCGCACCGGGGTCGAAAACGTGGTTCCCTGGCTTATACAGAGACTCTTTCCGGGCGTTGGCAGCCATCGTGTGAATCAACCGCGAGACCTCGGCCGGTCGGTGCTCCTCAGTCACGGTGCCAAGCCATATATCGACCCGGACCGCCAGCTTATAGATATGATCCATTACACTGACCTGCACACCCCGCTCGACGTCGTCGGCCTGGTTGATGCTGATGGCGTCGATCCAGTACAAGTCGCATGACCCGCGCGCTCGCATCCAGAGCAACGCATCGTGCAGGTTCGAGAACACATCAAAGTCGCCGTCCTCGAGGAGGACTGTCACCACGTCGCCCTCTGGAGATTCGTCGGATGCGGGAGGCCCCCAGGTGTAAGACAGAGCCCGGTATGCGGGAAGGTTGGCGATGGCGTGTTCCTCGAGTGCAAGTCGCAACGGACCATTCTCATTCTCCCGGTGGCCTAGGATACGTACAAGACGAATCGTCTCCTTACCGATGGAGCGAGCATACTGGAACCTCGCCCGGTCAGACGGCATGTTTCTTTATGAAAGAGAATCCTTTGATGGCTCATTCTCGGCCACCGGGCAGAGAGAGGCTCTCATTGACTTTAAAAGATCAGTCCCCAGGCCCGAGGAGATCAGTGGTCTCGGCATCGAGAATTAAGGAGCCACGTATGACCACCAGTAAATCATCAGCTGCATCTTTAGGACTGAAGCTAAGTCAGAGCCAACTTTGGTTCTTACGCACTTTTTTTTGGCTGAATTGTACGCTATTGGTCAACCCTTACAGATTTCCATTTGGCCAACTCCGTAGCGCTTAGAAGGTGGTGCTTCTAGAGTTGGTCGACTCACTGCAGGTCCATTTCACATGGCCATTCATCATGGTCACCATTGTGTAGGTTGTCAAGCTGTGTTGTGGGGGGAGGGGAGATACAGTTATATGATTAGTCAACCATGTATGCATCCCGAGTTGGTAAGCGTTGGGAGGCGAGAGATAATTAAGTGGACCAACCCCACTGCAAATGACTGCTCCGTTGGTCTGATTGGACGTTGGTGCCTGGTGCACGTGCGATCATGTGACACCGTGTTTGAGTGGCGACGCGGGTAGAGTCGCGCTTTCTTAATTCCCCGGATCAACAACCCAGACCAAGAATCCTCATCGTTCTCCCCTCCATCTTCGTCCGCCACCACGCCCTGCTTACTGCGACGCTTCACCGTGTTGCTGCTTAATCTGCACCTGCAGGCCTTCAAAAGCCTCGGCTGTTGTTCAACATGTACGCGTTCTTGATCTACTCTTCATTCAATTCACCACAAGTCACTGACCCCTCCATAGGACTGCCGGCGTCGCCACCACCCCGGCCGCCAACAAGGAGAACATTCCTGTTAAGCGATTCTCGACTCCCCAGTCCGTCGACAAGCTATACAAGCCCTTCAAGTGTCCTGGGTCGGCAGTGAGAACGGTCTCAACCGACAGGCCGGCCCGTAAGAAGAGAAGGGTTGATTACAAGGGTGCCGATGGCGAGAACGAGGCCGACAAGCCTTACACCAACGCCGAACGGCTTGCTCTTGCCAACCGTGATGCAAACAAGTTTCCCGTTTTCCAGGCAAAGGACAAAACGACAGTCTTCCGCAAGGCCTTCTCGATACCTCTGATCAATAAGAACTCCGCGGCTTACAACCCCAATCGGCCCCCTCCCACCCTTGGCCTTCGTACCGGTGCTACTTTCATCGCGAAGCCATTGCACGACCCCAGTGGCGAGTTCTCCATTGTGCTTTACGACCCGACCGTGGACGACAAGCCTAAGGTCCCCGAGAAGAAGCAAGACAAGAAGGATGCCGAGGCCGAGGCTAAGATTGATGCGCCTCTCGTCCACAAGAGCTTGGCAGAGATCCTCGGGATCAAGAAAAAGGTCGAAGGAGATCACCCCAGAGTACCCGTTGTCATCGATCCGAGACTGGCCAAAGTTCTCAGGCCACATCAAGTCGAGGGTGTCAAGTTCATGTACAGATGCGTTACGGGCATGATTGAGGAGAAGGCCAATGGCTGCATCATGGCCGACGAAATGGGTCTTGGCAAGACGCTTCAGTGCATCACCCTGCTTTGGACCCTTCTCAAGCAGTCGCCGGAAGCCGGCAAAAGCACCATTCAAAAGGCCATCGTCGCCTGTCCATCCAGTCTGGTCCGCAATTGGGCCAACGAGCTGGTCAAATGGTTAGGCGCCGATGCCATCACGCCCTTCGCAATCGATGGAAAGGCATCAAAGGAGGAATTGACGCGCCAGCTGCGCCAATGGGCTATTGCTAGCGGCAGGTCAGTCACCCGGCCAGTCATCATTGTGTCGTACGAGACCCTCCGTCTCAATGTCGAGGAGCTCAAACACACCAAAATCGGTCTCATGCTTTGCGACGAGGGACATCGTCTCAAGAACGGAGACAGCCAAACATTCAATGCGCTCAACAGCCTCAACGTCACACGACGCGTTATCCTGTCCGGAACCCCCATTCAGAACGATTTGTCCGAATACTTCGCCCTCATCAGTTTCGCCAACCCCGACCTGCTAGGCACTCGCCTGGAGTTCCGTAAGCGATTCGAGCTTCCCATTCT